AGGAACAATACAAACATTACAGAGTTATGGACAGATTAGTAGGAAAATATCGATGGCTGCTGTAATACATGGTGGTATCTTCAAAGTATTTTCTCAGGAAGACAGAGATATGCAAGAAAGATCTAACAAGTAGTTACAGCCTAAGGGTTGTGAAAAATAGCATATTACCTCCTCACCAGTGAAAAAACCTGTATCTTTAAAGCATGTATTTTTCAGTAGGAGGAATACAGCCCCAATGGGTAAAAAAAAAAATATGTTCCAGTGGGGACAAAAAAAAATCTGAGGTATTGCAATGGTTTGTAGCTCTCCAGAGGATCAAAGTAGCTCAATAGAGGCCCAGTGTGTATTACTGTTTCAGGGGGTTGGGGATTGGGTGGCGCATTGAGCAAAAATATGCCTGAAGAGTCAGTATTTTGTTAGTCTTTAGGGGGAATAGTTAAAGCAAAAAGGACATAAGAAATATCAGAAAGAAAAAGAAAAGTCCAAAATATTAGCAGTTGTAGTCATAGTTAGATTGTGACAACAGAGAAACTTTTTGTTTCCTCTTATATTTTCTAAAATTTATACAATGAAAATGTATGCATTCATAATTAAGAAAAACAGTAGTTCAAATTTTATTTAAATTGAATAAATTAAATAATTGAAATAAGTGAGTTAATTGAAAGTTAGAGATCTTACTGAATGTAATAAAGAGAGAAATGGATGGAGTGTATAATGATGCTTCTCCATGCTGTAGGGATATTACTTTCACACTGAAAACCCCTTCAAGGACTGGCCTGGAGCGTTTGAAGAAGGCTTAAAAAGGCTGAAGGAAGGGGACCTGCCAGTCACCATCCTGTTCATGGAGGCAGCGATCCTTCAGGACCCTGGAGATGCAGAGGTACCATTTCCCCTTCACTTCCTCAGACTCAACATGGCTGCATGTGCTAGTGAGGGACAGGAAACCACAGGGCCCTGCTGGGGCCATTTTCATTGTGTAAATGTTCACAAAGGTATTGACATGGCTTAGTATAACACTTCATTGAAAGCAACAAATCAGTATCTATTTTCTAACCCGGTTTCTGATCTGTAGTATCTCCAGGACCCAAAGAGAAAGGCTTGGGACAGGAAGTAAAAATTTGAATTCATCAACCTAAAACTCAAAGCAGTTTCCAGGAAGCAGTGTGTACTTTTGTCTGGGTCTCAGGTCACACCACACAGTGCCGTTGATTTACTCACTTTATTGAGCACATACTGTGTCCCAAACAATTGTACCAGGTCCTGACTTAAGACACTGAAAAGCTGGAAAAATGTAACAGTTGAAAAGGCATCTTTATGGTCTATCTGGGGAGGCGAGGATCTAAAGCAATGCAGTGCAGTAAATACCACATCAGAGGATGTGTGGACAGGATGCTTGGTGAGCAGAGGGCAGGGATGCTAACCTCGCTTCCCTGTACACGTGTATCAAAGGCTGAGTTCTGATGGAGAAAGAATTAAAAACAATGGCAAAGTGGAGACGTTTTTAAGAAGCAATGCTGTGTGTTAGGCAGAAGGGCTTGAAACATTGAGTGAGGAGCAAAAAGGGGGAAAGAAGTATAGAGGGGAAGCAAAAGGAGGCCAGCAAGAGTTGAACTACACAGAAAACCATAGGAAACCACTGAAGAATTCTAGCGCTCTCTCTGTCTGTCTGTCTCTGTTTCTCTCTCTGTCTCCGTGTGTGTGTATGTGTGTGTTGAAAAGACAATACAGAATCACTAGTGATTAGCCTTCCAAGCCTTGTTATTGTAACTGTATAGGGCCTAACAATACAGACCCTGCTATCCCTGCCCTAGGACGGCTCGTTGAAGCCCTCTAAATTTCAGCTCCCTCTCTACATGATGAAGGTCACAGTGGCAACTCTATCAGTGGGTGCTGGAAGGATTAACTTATCTCACACTGATGAGGTGTTCAGATCGGTACCTGGCACATCAACGGTGAACTTTCATTTCTTATTATTGAATGTACTTAGTTGTGTGCAAAAAATGAGTAAACTGACTATGAGTTTTCTAAAGTTCCTAATGTCTTTTTTGGGTAAAGAGTTCCCAGTGAAGTGAGATTGAACTGAAAGCTGTAATTCTGAATGAAAATATTGTCATTTTTTAAAAATACATGAAGTAATTTCATCTTGCATTTATAAATTGTACATATTTTACAAGATATTTTCTGTACTACATATCATTCAACACAACAACACTGGGAAGTTAAAAAGAAAAGTATATCATTTTCCCGGGATTTGTAAATGAGAAAATTTAGGTCTTTAGTAACTGAACTGATCCCAGGGAAGGCTTTATGTAGACTCCAAGGTGAAGATAATGATATTGTAGATAACGAAAATGGCACCATGGCCAAAGGCTACAAAGAAGCTCTCAAGAAAAGACAGTTTTGCCAGGTGTGGCAGTGCATGCATATAATTCCAGCACTCAGGAGGCTGAGGCAGGAGGATCATTGTGAGTCTGAGGCCAGCCTGGGCTACAAAGTGAGCTCAAGGCCAGCCTGAACTGCGTAGCGAGACCTTGTCTAAAAAAAAAAAAAGAAAAGAAAAGACAGTTTGATTGATCTCTTCTTCAGAAGTATTCTAAGATTCATGAAAGGAGAAAACGAAGTGGAAGCTGTTCTATGTAAAGACTCACGAACACCCTGACATAGAAATAATCAGGATTTTGTATGGTACATCTCATCTTAAAACATTTTAATATAAACTAGACTATTTAGCTACATTTCTGGGTTATTTTCTACCCATTTTCCTCATAATTACATAATTTTACATATTCATCTTTTGACTTTAAGATACCTAATATCATAAAATCTCAGAAATTCAGAGATTTCCATAGCCCTCGGTTAAAAATACTGGAGACAGAGAAAATTATGTCCCAGATATCACAAGACAATTTGAAGAAAGGCATTTGATATTTTTCCCTTTTACGTGGTTGTTAGATCTGACTCAGGTTGCATTGCATAAGAGATCTGTTGCAGGTAAACCAACAGAAGCACGCACGTAATTAGTTGGTTTTCTTTGCAGGCCTGGCAGTTTCTTGGGATAACCCAGGCAGAGAATGAAAATGAACAAGCAGCCATTGTCGCCCTCCAGAGGTAGGTGGAACTAAGTGCAAAATACCGGGCTTGGTGCACTTTTGTCGGTGGATTTTCTGTGTTTCAGATTTATCTTCTGACCCTTGTTGAAGTACAGGGTAAAGAATTTGACCAGGATAAACATTGGGATGCCACATACAACCCACATTTAGCTCTGTAAAACAAGAACTTGTGATAAAGTCACGCTGCTAAATAACAATGTTTTGCTGTCTAGGGGGGTTATAGGTACTGAGCTTGCTCAGGAGGTACGAGCATTGTCAGTGCCTAGTGGCCCGTCAGACCTGCACAGCACTGAGCCCTATCCCACGCTGCTATAATACAATGTGCATCTTACAAGATCCGGGCATGATTCATATGCACTTGGAAGTGAGAGAAGCCCTTGGTAGAGGTCTGTGGAATAGAATGAGGGGGAGCAGTGGTGGCCGGTGTTTCCAGTAAGTCCATGTCAGTAGTGTGGAAGCACAGGAACTTACCTCTTCCTGTACAAAACATGGTACAGTCTTTCATCTCCGGAGGCACCAATTTAGTTCAAATCCAACTAGGTTGTTTGTTTTCTCTTTGAAATAAAAAAGAAATCCAACTAGGGGTGGGAGATAGAGTAATAAAGCATCATTAAATTATACTATCTCTTCTTCCTATTGGTTAATCATTAATACTTTATGTGCATGTATTTCCTGTTATTGTGAGCCCGTTTATTAAAATTATCCAAAACTGGCAGTCATCAGGATGAGTTTTAACTTTTTAGAAAGGTACTCTGGTCTCAGTTTTCATACAAAGAAATGGAGTGTTTTGCAGGAACTTGACATAAACAAATTTAACAATGCTTTTGCAACATTTAACTAATAAAGGCTTCAAATTTTCTAAAATACTGTTAGATGCTGGGTCAAAAAATATCTGAAATTATTTGTTTTACCTTCTTGCAGATGCTTAGAATTGCAGCCCAACAACTTGAAAGCTTTGATGGCTTTGGCTGTGAGTTATACAAACACTGGCCATCAGCAAGATGCCTGTGAAGCCCTGAAGAACTGGATTAGGCAAAACCCAAAATACAAATACCTTGTGAAGAGCAAGAAGAGCTCTCCAGGCCTCACTCGACGGATGTCAAAGACCCCAGTTGACAGGTATCCTTCTTACTAAACCATGGCTGGCAGTAAACACCCATACACACGAGCGGTCACCTTGAGGACAGTTCATCAGATCTCTGCCACCCCTCAGCCTCTCTTTTAGGACATCATTATCCTAGGAGAGCAGCACTGATTAGAAAGATTGATGCTGACATCAGGGCCATTGAATTTTCTATCAGTTTTCCATCAGTGTGACCAACTACTGTACCAGAGATAACTAACTTGTGAGGTTTCAGAGGCTGTATTCCACAGTCAACTGGCCCTGTTGCTTTGGGCCTGTGGTGAAGCAGCGCAGAATGGTGGGAGCAGGTGGCAAGGGAAGCTCCTCCCGTCATGGAAGCCAGAAGGCAAAAACAAAGACAGAAGAAGGGACCAGGATCCTCATATCCTCTTCAATGACACATCCCCCAGTAACCCAACTTCCACCAGGCTCCATCTCCCGAAGGTTCTACCACCTCCCAACGTACCAGAGACTAATGACCAAGTCTTTAGCATATGAATTTTTCTTTGGGGGTGGGGACACTTATCAAACTAAAGCAGCCATCCATGTGCTCACTTCAGCAGCACATATACTAAAGCAGCCATCCTGTGGACTCAGGATCTACAGTATGTGCACTCTGAGACATTTACGAAAGTGTCACACTTTAAAGCCAAGTATTTCAAACATCCAACTGTCCTAAAGCACAATAAGTGCCATGTTTTATACAATTTGAGAATTAGAAATGGGCACATAGAAGTCCTTTCTTCTAGAAATTTCGGCTTTGTGTTTTGTTTTGGTTTGTTTGTTTGTTTTGGTGGTACTGGTGATTGAATGCAAGACCTTGTGCATGCACTCTAACAAACACTGAGGCAAGCACTCTAACACTGAGGCAAGCACTCTAACACTGAGCTGCATCCCAGCCCTTTTATAGAGGGTAGGGGAACCAAGGCTGGCTGCAAATGTGCAATCCTCCTGCCTCAGCCTCCTTAGTAGCTGAATTACAAGCATGCACCACCACATCTGGCAGGAATTTGTTTTCTATCAGTGATAAATTCTGATTGAAATTCTTACTCACTAAGACCCTTGGAAAATTGGCTGTATTTTTAACATTGAGTATTAATAGTCACCTCATTAGAGTAAGATACTTTTAGCAAAGTTTTCCAGTTGGTAATGAAGGGAGACTTGAAATAGACAAGAGAGCTTTGGTTGTTCATCACGTATGCCCAGGCTATTTGGTTTATGCATCTTTTTTCTTTTGTAGCTCTGTCCTGGAAGGAGTGAAAGAATTATATCTGGAAGCTGCTCACCAAAACGGAGATATGATTGACCCAGACCTGCAGACAGGTCTGGGGGTACTGTTCCACCTGAGTGGAGAATTTAACAGAGCAATAGATGCTTTTAACGCTGCCTTAACTGTTCGGCCAGAGGTAAGAAAGCTCAGCCCAGCAAGAGGCCTTAATTTTCCCTGTAGTTTTCACAGGCTACACTCTATTCATGTCTTCCAGGCTTTATCACCCCCATACCCTCAGTGTTTAAAGTGATCGGTATTAATGATGTGCTACAGAGGCTGTCACACTGAGATACTACAGTATAACCATTAGCACACACAAGCACCAAATAGTAACTGCTCTTTGGTCAGCAAGTCATTTCACAAAATTGTCCTAAAGATTTTTGACCAGTTCACTTCAACATGGTCTCTGTCCATGAGCACTGGGTAAACTTCAGCTATCTTCCTTCTTCTGCAAAGAAAAATGGGAGCGTTGGCTCACTGTGGCTTCTTCTGGTTGTCAGAGGGCTCTGATTTTTGTCCTCAGGACTATTCATTATGGAACCGTCTCGGGGCGACCTTGGCAAATGGCGACCGCAGTGAGGAAGCCGTGGAGGCCTACACACGAGCACTGGAGATCCAGCCAGGCTTCATCCGGTCCCGATACAACCTGGGGATCAGCTGTATCAACCTGGGCGCCTACAGGTAAAAGCATCAACAGGCAGACTGGTAGCCGCGCTCAGGACTGAGGCTCAGCAGCCTGAAACAGCATTCCCGAATGACTAGATCCAACTTTGTAACCGTATTCCTCTTCCTGCCATTAAGGGGAAGTGGAACCTTGCGGCCCTGCAGCCTGCTTACGCAAGGACATATGCTTCCCTGGGTTTCGGTCTGACATCTGTAATCATCCAGGCATCTTGGGAAACATAGATTCCCATGTCCCTCAGCCCACATTCTCAGTCTGCCTCGGTTAGGATGAGGGATCTGGGTTTTTAATCCTCCAAGGGCAACAATTTATGAAGCATGAACTGTCCAACCTTTCCTTTTCCCCTGAAAGGAAAACAGGGCCTCAGGGGTATGGACAAGGGGAAATGGCAAAATGACTGCAGAAGGTCCCAGAACTGGCGCTTAGCAAAACCAAAGCAAGAGCCCAGGTTTCTAAACCTAATGTCCCAGTAAAAAGATTCTGGAAACAAAAGGAAAAAAAAAGTCCGTTATGCTTTGAAATGCTTTGCTCATTTTCTTCCAGGTCCATCATCATCATTCAGGTCTGTATCTTCTCTGTCTTTTCCAGTCCACAGGGATCACAAATGACCATTATTTCTTTTGGATAATGAATGTATGGGTGGATGTTTTCTTTAGTTTTCTGTTTGCCGAATGAAAAAGTATTACTTCCACAATTGGAAGAAGAGAACCAAATGTTGGTTTTAATCCCATAAAAGTGTGAACCGTGTCTCCTTTTCAGAAAAAGCCAAACTATTATAATTAGACAAGCCTGGGCTCAAAGGACAGCTCCATCCTTACTTAGAGCTTCAATTTCTCCACTTGTAAAAGCAGGAGCGGGCATGGGGAGAGGGAAATATAGCCATCTTGCAGGATCACTGCGCAAGGTAAAGCAGCTGCCTAGCCGGCAGCAGACAGCCACTGCCTCGTAAGCATTTATGATGATGATGATGGTTGCCATCATCAATACCCATATTGCTATTATTTATTTCGATAAATTTTCAGAGAATTATATAACTAGGTTGCACTCTTTTGACATCTGAAGAAATGCTATTTCCAAACTACATTTGTGCATTTTGCCACTGGCTAATACTGAAGGAGGCCTCAGAAAACAGTTGTTGCATTTATACTGAAAGGATCTTACAAAGAACAGGAGCCCCTGGATTTTACTGTGTCTTCCAAACAATTTTCCTCAGGTTAAAGCCAGGAAAAGCTGAGTGACTCCTGGGCAGCTGGTGTTTTATTTGATGGACACAGAAAGTGCTGCTGCAGAGACCCTCTCTGCATCATCTGTGAGGCCCCGAGCTGGCCCTGGCCACCTCGCTCCTAACCAGCTATCTGAAGCCCGGTGGTGTCCTTTTGTCCTTTTTATGCTAACTTCATTTCTAGCTCCACCTGACTTTCCCAACCTGATTTCCTGCTTACCCTTTACATTCGTATTTTTTGTCAGTATGTTGTGTGTATGCATTTATGAGATAGCTTAAATCCTTTTTTTGGAACAAGGGAAGATGTAGACACATACATATATACATATACATATAGCACATTCAGTTAAAGGCTTTTTATAAAGCTGTCAGGATGGGGTTTTTTCTTAATTGTAACTTCTTAGTACAGAAAATAATACTTGAGGGGGCAATTCAGCGGGACAGCTATTCACTGGAGACTATGTCAGGCAAACATTAGCATCTCTGTTGAGTTGTGAAATATAAATCCTCAAGCATAAAGTCTTCTGGATAGGAGCAAATCAATTCACAGTTGCCAGTTAAATTTGAATTTCAGATAAACAACAAGTAAATTTTTATTACAAGTAATTCCCAGATATTATATGGGATAAACGTATATTAAAATAGAATAATAAAACTATTCATTGTTCATCTGAAATGCAAATTTCACTGTGCGTCCTGTGTTTTTATTTGCTAAATATAAAACCCTGATCAATTAGCTACTCTGGAACATCTCCGATAAGCTTTGCACATCTTTTATTGTTGTGCCAACTATGGGAAATCTTAAAAAGCGATACATATTTTGTGGCTTTTCCTGAGTAACAAAGACCATCGAGAAAAGCATACACCTTAAATGAATTCTGAAAAGGAGTTTAACTTGGGTTGTGTGTATATGCCTAGGAAATAATCCTCAATAGAGATATGGCCCAGGAGAAGGCCAGGAGCTGAAAAAATACTTCCATCCTCACAAAACACCTCTCCCCCAAGAACTCCCAGGTGTCTGTGTGTGTAGCTGTAATGCTTGCTGTTTTTCATCCCACATTTTCTGTGGAATCAAAGGCAAGCCCTAGCCTAGTGCTGTATACAGTGGAAATAAGGAAAGGAGATTGTTGGTGTGAAATTTGGGTAGAGTTTAAAATGTCACACCTTTATCAATAGGAGCTCCAGAGTAAAGCTTAGTACCTTTTCAAAAGTAAGGACCCTTTTCAACGAAACAAGAAGCCCTCCCCTTTGGTAGTAATGCTTTTAGTATTCATATAATGAGGGAAAGCTACTAAAGTGAAGAATACTTTTAAATAAATGAGCTTTTCATTAAACATGATAATATGCACAAACTGTTTGCAATTATCTGCACATATATGTGTGAAACATTTAAAACCAATCATACAAACACATGTACAATATTCTGAGTCCCTCAGAAGGCCTCTGGGCTCACAAGTTGAAGAACAGGTCTGCACTATCTTCATGCAAAGACCTGGAGTGGCTTGCTGAGGTCAGTAAATCAGACTGTTCTGTGACTCTCCCAAGCAGCTGGTGAGTGAGAGGATTCTAAGGTTTACCTTTACCAGAGTTCTTACTAGCCTAGCATTACGAGTAGAATCCAGGAGACGTTTTCACTGGAGCTGCCACCCTGTGAGGAGGGCCAGGAAGTGGCTCTAAGGCAGACTTCCTATGCCCATCGGTCTTTAAGGCATCCTCTCCCAGAAGAGGTATGCTGAGGACACCCACTCCATTTTCTTACCTAGCTTGCCTCGTTCAGCATCACCATTTCCCCACTTCCTTTTATTTGCAGGCAGATCTAACAAAATAGATGAACACATGCCAGATCGTATGCACTGGAATTAGAAATCCAATCTTCCTTTCATGGTTACTTCTCAATGCGTAGTAACTACCTTCCAAGATTAAGTAAGTTCAAGTGTGGGCAAGTTTTTGAGAAGAATAAAGCAGGAGTAAATGAATGTGGCATTACTATTCCTAGTGAGGGTCAGCCTGTGAGACATATAATACAAGGTCAGGGTGACACTGCACTGCCGAAGAGGGCAGAGCCAGCAGGAGCAGCTGGCAACAGTGCAGATATGGACTGCAAGGCCTTCAGACATCATCTAACTCAGCAGTTCTCAAACCTCCTACTCTCATGTTTAGTGATTACTGAGAACCCCAGAAAGTTTTGTTCATGTGGATTTTATCTGTCAGTACTTACTGCTTTAGAAATAAAACTTAGAACACCCTAAAAGATTAATTCAAAACTAGTAAAACCCATTACATATTAACATAAATATCATTTAGCAAGAAAATAATTATTTCCTCAAACAAAACTATGTCTAGAGAGGAGTGACATTGCTTTACATTTTTGCAAATTTCTTTTATACCTTGCTCGCTAAAAGATAGACTTTCCTGTTAACTTCTGCATTCAATCTGTCAAGATATTTCACATCATATAATCTCTGGAAAACCCTACTTTATAGACATGAGAAAATGGAAGTGAAAACTCAAATAGTAACTCAGTTTTATTGTGAAAATGGTTTTGACCTCATTGAACTCCAAAGTTCCCTAAGACAACACTTTAAGAACGATTGATCTTAATGATAAGAGCTTTTACAAAAATTGATTCAAATGCCCCTCACAACAAAGTTTTAAAATGATTTCTGTTATCCCCATGACACACTCAGGGAAACTAAGCCTTTGGAGACCATAAGAAATTTGTTTCTGGCTCAGGGTACAAGTCCAGATATCTGATAGTAAATTCAACTCCTTCCTACCTAAATTCCATATCTCTACCACTAAGAGGAAATCGTAGACAGCTATGTTCCTGAGTAGGGCCATATTTTTCTTCTTAAAGGAATTATAGAAGTCATACCTGAAAGTAGACTAAGCATTCAAATCATTCCTAGAATAGGGAAAAATCAAATGCATCAGTGGGTTAGCAATGGATATGGTATTCCTCCTCTCCCATGTGGCATTCATAAAATATAATATTCTCTCTGATTTCATTCTATTTAATAATGATTGTTGACAAAAGAATAAGAGAATCAGAAAGTTGTTCATCTGGTCACCTAAAACACCGTGGAGCAGTGAAACAGGATTTCACACTGTAATAACTCACTCTGTCTCTTTTTAAAGTTTTCTATCTCTTAAATTTGTTGCATCTTAAAATGTGTGTTTTTCTCCCCTCTTAGAGAAGCGGTCAGCAATTTTCTCACTGCCCTCAGTCTGCAGAGAAAGAGCAGGAATCAACAGCAAGTTCCTCATCCTGCAATCTCGGGGAACATCTGGGCTGCCCTCAGAATCGCACTGTCACTGATGGACCAGCCGGAACTCTTCCAGGCAGCCAATCTTGGTGACCTGGATGTCCTCCTAAGAGCTTTCAACTTGGATCCTTGAAGGAAAAGAAAACAATAAAGAATAATAACCCCCCTTCTGTGTTATTGTACTGAGAAGCGAAAAACTGTTTTATTATGAATTTCCAAAAGGATAAACAAATATTGAAAAGGCCATGGTCACATAACCCAAGGGAATTAATTTCTACAAACAATGCCCAGTCTCTGTTCAGATCCAAAAGCACAAATAGAGTCAAGGTGAGGTTCAAAGGAAGAATTGAGAGATGCAAGACAAACCGAGATAAAGTAACTGCGTGTATTCCTCCTAAGTTGCCAGTGTATTGCAAAACATAGTCTTTGGGTTTTTTGTCCCCAGTTGCAGTTAGTGGCACCTCTGATGAATTTGTTTTTAGGACACATGAAGAAAGCACTGCTTCTGATCAGGGAATCCTGACCGCATCTCTTCTGTCCCCCGAAGTCCTCCCTTTTGCAAGACTGAACATAGTTTGGGCCGTCGGTGCATGCACATGTATTAACGCAACTAAAGACAGGCATTGCTTAACCTGTTCCTGTTTTAACTTTCTCTGTAGCCCTTGTTTCCAGAGAGGAAGCTTTGCTGGCAAAAGCAGTTTTTGCACTAGAAATTTTTGCTGTTCCCAAACAAAACTTTTCTGGGATTGTATATATGCACTTTAATATTTATGCCTTGCAGTTTTGTTGCTCCAATTTTTAACTTGGGGTAAAAGATTTGAGAACTCAGACTTGTTAGATTAATGGACCAAATAAAGAAATTCTTGACAATAGTTTTTCATAGTGTAGGGTTTTGAATGAGTGTTTTTCTTAAAGCAGACATGATGCAGGGCGTAAATATGTCAATCACAGATCTTATTCCCATGCTTTCTGGGACTGCATGAACATAGGAGGCAAAATTCCTTCTATTCATGCATTCTCTGCAGGGAGAAAGCCTGATGATACTGTGCTTTCTCTTGAGTTTGCTTACTTGTCATATTTCACTGGCTTTCTAACTGCCCTGCACAATAATGTTCCTTTTAAATTGTTACTATTTCAATGTGATTTCTTAAGAGTGATAGTTTTTCCTAAAAATGATGTGTTTCCTTAGTTCCATAATAATCTGCAGAGTTAACCTTCTTGTGGATAATAGAAGATCAACATTTTTTAACTGGAACTCACTAAGTGTCAGTGGATTCAAAAATGCATGCCCCTTTGGCTCTTATTTTAAACATTTAGCAGTAACAGGAATTTTCTATTGGCATTAGTGTTCTATTTAGCTTTCCACTTAGTTCTTCAGTATTTTGTGCATATTTGGGGCTTGGTGAGTATTTTGAAAGTACATTTTTCAAAGAATTAGAAAAAAATGTTTTCCAAAGTCTAACCAAAATATCATTTTACCCGGGTCTGTTTCTAGTACGTTGTCCTAGTCTTCACCTCATCCCTTTCCTTGCTGTAATACCTTCCCCTAAGGTAGTCTGGTCCCAATTTTTTGTTCATGCTCTTTGGTTAGTGATAATAGCTCATTCTACTCATGATTATAGTTACCAAAAGAGACAGAATTCGGATCCAAACAGTTTAATTGACTGGGGAATGCACTTCCACTGAGGGAGAAATGTGCACACAGCTGAGAGACAAGACTCCAGGTGCAGGTATGAACCCTCTCCTGTGTGACCTTGCAGTTCCTGAGCTGTGAGGAGTCCTCAAGCTAATTCGGAATCACAGATCTGAACCTTAGGTACATGACACCCTATTCCCGTTTGTAAAGATGAAGAGGTGCGGACACTGTGGTGAGCAATCAGGTTTTAGTATTCACTGTCAAAGCTCTTGCTGACAGGATGACAGCCCCAGCAGCAAGAGGCAGAGGCTTTAAGGCATTCATTTTTGTCAGGAGTAACAATCCAGTCCTGGCCTTCTTTTAGCCTGAGCTGCAATGTGAAGATCAGCAATATTTTCAAGAATGACATTGGTTAAAATTTTAGAAATCAGAAACAGCCTGGCAAGGAGTCTTGGGGCTAGCCTCCAGCCAGTGACCCCTGCTTTCTGGAATATTCCCAGTAGGCCAGCATCTATTCTGTGCCAGCTCATGATCTCTACATGCTCAATGACTGGCTAGTCGACTTGGGTCCATCAAAGTCCATTAAGATCCTCTGAACAAAGGACTGAAAGCAACTTTGCAGGTGTTTCGGTCATAATGGCCTTCTATACTCAGGTCCAGCTGAATTTGCAATGATAGTGAGATGCTGTGTTCTCACCTTGCGAGTGATGTTTGCAAGAGATCAGCAACAATTGAAAGTCTGAAACTAGTGGGGTAGTTTCAGAAAATGTGGGGTAGTTTGGTTTAATTTGATTGTTGCTCAAGAGTAGCAATTTTTGTGGCCCAAGTTTTATTTTGATATTGGAATTCAAAATAACCTCAAAGTCCACAGAGTTTGTTCTAGAGGAGAGCTGACAATTTTCCACTCCCACCACTATTCAGCAATTTATAGTGTTTCATGGGACTTTCTTCAAAATATCTACTACTGTCCATTGGAACTAGGATTTTAAGCCGGGTGTGGTGGCACACGCCTGTAATTTGAGCTACTCAGGATTCTGAGGCAGAGGGCTCAGATGTTTGAGGTAAACCTTAGTAACTTAGTGAGACTGTCTCAAAGTAAAATTTTTTAACGAGCTGAGAAGTAACTCAGTGGTAGGATGCCTGTTAGCAATTCTAAGCCCTAGGTTCAAACTCCAGTACCAAACAAAATTCTAGTAATAACTAAGATTTTTGTAGGCTATCATCTACCAAGAAGTCCCAAATTACTGCCCAAGAAGAGCTGCAATTTTCTAAGTGAAAATCATTAGTAAAAATTGAGCAAAAGTTTATAAATATAGAGCAGCACCAAAAATTAATAGCAAAATTTTAGAACATTCTTTACTGTACATACTTTTCTTAGTGTATTCACTTTTGTTTGAAATACATTTGAAACCTTCATGGCAGGAAATTGTCATTTAAATTACTCTTTCCACTTAATGGAACAGTGTCCTTGGTTCTCTTCTGAGACTATCCAGGAAGACTTTGAGTCTATCCCTTTTTTTTTTCTTGTCTCAATGAGTAACAGCCTACCAGTTCTCATAGGATGCTACTCATTTACTAGAATGGCTGGTCAAGTACACACAGGTGATCTTTAGGAACTGACATTGCCAGCAAATGTAATGAAAATGCACACAAAGCCACTGCTGAGTTTCAAAATATATTTGTAGTCAGTATCCTTATGCACTCCTGTACGTCAACAATGAGAGGAGACAGAGATGGCGAAGAGGGGTAGGAAGAGCAAAGGGTCTCTTGCTGGGCCAGGCTTAGTGATTCTTCATTCTCCTCACCTTCTCCCAAGATCACTACCCATGACTCCTAAAAGAAAGGCAGACCTTGTCTACCAGGAAACTTTAATAAGAGAACTATGAGGTGCAATTTCTTAGCTAATCTGGATTTCTACCAAAGTGGCAAATAAATGATACAGAATGGCATGTGAGTGATGGCTAAGGATGTCCAGGACAGGCACACTTTTAGTTAATGACACTTTCTTTTATATTAAGACACTTTTGATGTTGAATCTTGGGCCCAGGTCTAAATTCTCACAGAGATTAAACCTTGCTGGTATATTCTTGCCATACAAGCAAGATTTGAACACAGGCATACGTAGTCCCACTCAGGCATCCCAAGCTGCTTACCATGAACATTATCTGTGAGCTCCTCAGGAATACAGAGAAAGCAAGATGGTCGTTTTATATCTCTTCCTCATTTATCCTTGAATCGGTTCCACAAGGCTAAATTGTACTTTCAGTCCTTAGAGTAACAGTATTTTTATACTTTGAAAACTCCCAGAAGCATTCTAGAAACAGGGTGTTCTAAAGGCTTAATTCATGTCCTATTTTTTTGAACCCTCTTCTTTTAGAAATTATTACATAGCTACAACACATATTAGTTCAACTTTGTAGAACAATTTCAAATTCATTCCCTGTCTACATTTTACCACACTATTTCCCTCTCATCTCAGTATTTATAGAACTGGTTAAAATTAAACTGTTTTGAAATAAGAAGTAGATACAAATATATTTTTAAAGAGTGTTCATAGATGAACTCTGGAATAAAGTTTGTAAGCAGGTAATTTTTTAAAAGGAAAACATATAACCTCAGGTACAAAAATACTGCATGCGTTAGTACTTACAAATCTGCCTATTCAAATATTAACCAAAGCATGCAAGATAACTTTACTGAATGTAAACTTACACAGTGCATGATTGAGTCTCACAGGTTAGTTTATTTTTCCTTGCTTCTGAACAAGGGAGAATTTTCATGAACTCTGTGTTTCAGTTTTGCTACTTGCTGTTATTATCCTATCCTTGAGATTGTTTTCATGCTATCACACTGAATTTGACAGATGTTCACACTTCTGATTTGTGCAGTGTTGCAGACGGTGCCAAACTAAGCCTCTACAGACTCTAGGTATAGACATCTGAATGCTTCTCTTAAAAACCAACTGAGTCACAACAGATCCAGGCTGAAAGAGACCTGCATATCTGAATGCTACTGAACTAAGTCATGTTCATTATGTCAGCTCATAAAAATACGGGCTCTAAAAATCTCTATAATACATTTTATAAGTTTTCTAAAAGTCTAGGAATGACTTTTAAAAAGCTGGTTTCTACATAATGTCAGACACACAAAAGTCATCATAAGGCAAAGTGGACATGGGCCTTAATTTTCATAAATGTTACCTAGGGATGACATAATGTCACATGGGCTGTGTAGAATATCATAGCATTGCTCTGATACAACCTTGTTTGTATGGCTTCTGAGCTACTTGGGTCTCTGTCCCTTGAGAAACTAGATTTGATAAATATGTGTACTGACTGAAATTTAGGAGTGATGAGATTCTTTTATGGTCACTTGAAATCTACACTGAAATTGTTATAGTGATTTTTCTGTCACCCCTATTATATGAGACCAGAAATGGACAGAGCAAAGCTCAGTAAAACAGGGGGGTGTTATGTAGGTAATGGTTTCATTATCCACTTCATAGGCCCCTACCTATCACACACACACACACACACACACAATGTAAACTCAAATATCAGACTCACTCAACACTTAAAAGAATCTTGTGTGCAGCCATTAAACAGTTAAGTTGAGGAAAAAAATAGAAATATGAGCTTAACAACCTCTACTGCAGTGTTTTACTTTGCACACTTTCTGCTACCTGCAGCCTCTGCAGAAATACCAAAATAACACACTCTGTAAGCAAGTGCGCCAATCTATGGACAGCTTTCTCAGGAACTTCTCAAGAGAAAACTAACTTGCAGTGTTGCAGATTGATTCAGTGGGATGCTTTTAGAAAAACTGCAATGAAAACAACATGAAGATGAAAACAGAATAATGAAACCACCCTGCTCAACAGTCAAACGTGTGCAGTTTGCTTTTGGTGTTGGTTTTTCTTTGAATCTGTTGACGACAGACACAATATGACACAAAAAAGACTAAGGGATCTACACACTCTACAAGGTAATCTGAGCATCTGACATTTTCACTGAGGCCTGTAATATTCTTGCATGGATAGCATGACAGGATTGCACTCATAATGACTATGTTATCAGTAGTGAAAGGAAATACAACAAACCAAAACTTTTTAACGACTTCCTTTCGTTTCTCCCATACATCATCAGATCGAAACCCTTTTCAATGTTCATTTCTCAAATTCATTTACATCTGTTGACAATAACCTGATTAATTTAGTAAACTTTTTTACAAAAGGAACATTTATTAACTGTTTAGAAAAGACATTTCTATATATTTTGTATATCTATGAATATTGCATATCTAGTCTAACCTAAAAATTTTGTTTTAACACAAATTCTATGATGCTTCCTCATCATGCTCAATAATGTTTCAAATCTTGAGATTTCATTTTTAGGCTGAAATATGTAACACAGAAAAAAATTAAATGTTTTATTGAGTTTCTAAATATCAACTGAAATTAAGTGATCTATAGTAAATTAATGGCAAGGGGGGATTTAAAAGTTATTGGCATACTATATGATATTGTATCCATGATTTAGTGAAATAATATGTATCATAGCACAAGTCTGTTGGTTATTATGGCTTCATCTTAGTCTTTCCTTGCATTGCTTTTTGAAATAAAATTACTACTATAAAAATAACCTCTTATCATACTGGATGTGTTTAATTTACTCAGATGGCTTAAAATTTGCAAAGTACCAAGATTAAGGTAGTATTTTTATACTATTATTGGAAGCATGCCTTCCCTTTTACACATTATTGAACTGTATTTATATTTGTGCAGTTTTAAACTATGTTTTCAAATAAACTTTGTCTGTGGCTTCAAGGTCTTTTCAGGTATCTTTCAAAATGGGATTTGAGGATCTCAACGGCTTCAAATCAAATAGAATCCAATTTATACTACTGGTTAAAAGGTCCTTTTGCTGAATATCACTGTATATGATTTTGCATGAGTTATCTGGAAATCAGGAATGCACTTTTAGATACATAAAAGACTTTAAACCTTCCTTTGTGAATTTTCTAATACTAAAACATTATTTAACCTGAAACTGAAATTTGTCATCTTTTTAGAATAAAGCTATTAAAATATATTTCACTTCAGGGTCTTTCTTGGGGGGAAATCAGTCATTCAATAAATATGTGAGCATTGACTACTTGAGCAGGCGATATTCTAGGTGTGTGACACAGTGATAAATAAAATCAAACTTATGCTTGAAAAATACAGATTTCTGTGGGAAGAGACCAAGAGTCCCTTAAGAAGAATGTGCTATGATGCAAAACTGTAGAACAGGGCGAGTAAACAATTATGAGAAGGAGCAAGGGCTCCTTTATGAGTGATCAGAAAAGGTTTCTCTTAGGTGCCATTTGGGCTGAGATTTGACCGAGAGTCCAGGCAAATGGAGTTGGAGAAAACACGCCAGGCAGAGCGGAGAGCTACTGCAAGATGCTGAGGCAGAATGAGCTTGAGGGGTGGTGAAGAGGCTACACTGCAATGGCCGTGAGCAGGGCAACCTGGGCAGGTGTACGGCGGGTAGCGGAGGTACGGCGGGTGGGGGAGGTACGGGGCCTTCCCAGGGCAAGGTAACGGGCACAATCAGTCGCCTTCCAGCAGACAGCGTTCGGGCTGAGGTTTCTGCTTCCCAATGTTTAAGGCAGGTGAGCGACGGAGGGGAGCACTAGTCTGATGAGAACCGCTAGAGGGAGGAGCGACTGGAGCATCCCCGGCTTACTCTTTACCATTTCTTCTCTTGATCTCGGACAGCACTTAACCTCGGTGGCATTTCATTTTCCTCTGCACGTTTTTCCTTCCTGTTTCAGTGCTGTGCTATGTAGGTATAAACCCATCTATCTAGCAGTGGACTGGGGCCTTTCCTCAAGATAATTCAAACCCCAAAATAACTCAAACCTCATGTGTCTTTCCTCTATTTTTTAAATATGAATTATATTAATTTTCTGAAATTGCTGCATCTCACCATGTGTATATACAAAAGCAGCCCAAGGTTGGAAGGGTTCTTTATCATTTTTTTATAAGACTCCTTAAAGTAATAGACACTTTAAGTTCAAAAAAATGCTTACTTTTTAACTTATATTCCGTAGTAGGCAATGTTGCATGTTGCATGCTAATCTCCACGCCCCCCCATGCTGGAGATTGAATCCAGGACCTCACACGTTAAGCAAGTGCTCTACCACTGAGGTACACCCCCCAGCCAACCTGGTGATCATTAATGCACCAGAATGTTGAGAATTGATGGCTAATTTTAGTATTTTTCCTGTAGAACAAACCTTTGGGTAGGTGGATACCAGCCTTCTCAGCACAAGTTCTTATCATTTATACTTTGGGCTTCTCAAAGGAGAAACCACTGATATTTAAGTTTGTGTGTTGATTTATTTCACTTAACATTATGATCTCAAGGCACAAGTTCTCTGAAAGAGAAATAGAAAGAAAGCTACCATGAACTGAAACCTATCCTGTGCCAGATTCCTGGGCTAAATGTCTCTACTGTGCCATTTAACCCGAGTGGGTACCCACATCCCACTCTTTTGCTTTATAGTTAGTTTTACCTGGTCCATAGTTAACGTTACTGCTAATAATGAACGTAATAGGAACAACTGTTAAAGAAAAAGCATCTCCTACATTAAGAGCTCACTAAACAGCACATCTAATACTAAAAGCTGCCAAAACTGACCCAAGAAAAAGCAGGCTTGAGAGGAAATTGCCAAAATAACAAAAGCTAAAAAAAAAAAAAAAAAAAAAAAATGTTCTTGGCAAAATTTAGATTTGCAAAACTTGACCTAGTAAAGCTAGGTCCCATGAAAATTATGGCTGCAAAAGAAAATACACAACAGTAAAAGTTACAATACGGGAAAATCAACAAGGGCACCACATTGAAAAATCTGACTATCCTCATTTAATTTTGTGAACTGATACCTGTTAATTTCATTAAAATTGAAAGGAAACTATAAAAGCTTAAAAATAGTTCAGCTGAATAGCTATTTCACACCTTCTCCTCTCTTCAAATTTCCAACCTTTGCCATGCTCTTTCAGCTGACAATCTTGCTTCCTTTTTCACTGAGAAAACTACAGCAGGCAGGTGAGGCCTCCCAGATGACCAGCTGTCTTGGTCTCTGGCTTCCTCTCATTTCCATCCCCTGATGAAATCAGTTCCCCACTTTGGCACCAAAGACCGTCCGTTTGCCTGTTCAAGGACATCAGACCAGTAACCCTTTCATCTTGCCTCCACCGTCTGCAGCATTTTGTTAACTGACCTTTTTTTGGCAGCCAAAGACAGCTGTGGAGGGTTGCCTATGTCCACTACCTGCAACTCCTCTTCTCCCATTCTCTCTTCAACCCTGTCCTTTCATTCTTCCTCCAGAATTTTTCACGTGACCTCCAAGTTGACTAATCTCATGCTTAATTCTTAGTCCTCATCTTACTTAACCTATCAGTTGCTAGACAGCTGTCACTCTCCCTCCTCTTGACATCTCCTTTCCTGGTTTTCACCCCAGGTACCATTCTCTTGCTTTTCCTCCACCTCAGCATTTACTCCTCTTGGTCTCCTTTACTGAGTAGTTTCCTCCCTGGCTCCTTCTACTAAAGTGATCTGGGACTCAGTATCTCACCCTCTGCAATTTCCCATCTCCCTCTACTGGTGTTCGCACCCAGGCCTATTGCTTCAACTGTCATCTAAATGCCAACGCTTAAATTTCTATCTTGTCTTCCAAAATCCAGTGTTGTGTAACCATCTTCCTAGGCAAAGTCAACTAGGGAGGTCTGGCTGGCATTCAAACTCAACACATCCCAAATTAAATTCCCAGTTGCCTTTTTCCACCACCTGCATCCCAACCCCGCCAAGCCTTCCCTGTGTTCATTGATTGCAACAGCATTCAATTGCTCAGGACAAAAACTTCAGGGCCAGCCTCAGCGCCTCTCATTCACTCATACCCCGAGTCCCACGCACCTGGAGGACACGCTGCCCTCACCTGTGAATGTATCTACTGCTCCACTGCTCCACTGCTCCCACCCCACCTCAGCCATCATCCTCTTCCCTCACGTACCACAGTAACCGCGACTTCCTTCCTTGCCCTCCTGTCACCTGATTTAAACAAAGAACAGTTCTAAACTTCAATCAAAACCTTATAATGTTCTCCACGCACTCAACAGTCAAACCCTCCTAATGGCTTCCTAAGCCAGGTGAGCTGGTCCCTTTGGACCTCCTGTTGCACCACTCTCTCCCCCCACCCTTCTCTCGATCATGCTGCTCCCTTTGCTGCTTGTCTGACAAACCAGATATCCTGCCACTGTGGGGCTCTGAAACAGCCCGTCCTGTGCCAACCCCATTCTTTCCCAAACATCTACCCGGTGACACCATGTCCCTCAAGTCTTGGTTCAAACTGCACCTCCAAATGAGGCCTTTCCCAGGTACCTTTGTTATGGCTCCCAGCCCTTCCTCTGCGCTTCCTTTGCCCCTCAGCACTTAATCTCTTCTAACATGTTACATAATCTACTTGTTTTGTACGCTTTGTATCTGTCTCTCCCTGCTAGAAAATAAACCCAGCAGGGGCTGACTTTGTTAAGAGATACATTCTAAGAAAACAATGCATAGCACACAGTAGATGCTATTTATTGAATGGTAAACCATATAATGTAGACTAACAAGGCAACAGAATAATCTGCAGAAAAAAAGTTCCTAATGTTGGAAAAAGCTGGAATAGATTATTCCCATAATTTTCCTCCGGCCACCTTGATTTTAGCCCCTCAAGACTGGTTTTCAGACTTCTAACCTAATAAACGTATTGTTGAAGTCACTGTGTTTGTGTTAATTTGTCACATCCACAACAGGAAACTCCTACAGCTAGAAATGTGGTGTCCTGGAAACGCCGAGGTCTCTCAGTACAGTGGGTGTCGCTTCTTCATTCACTGACATTAAGGAGGCCACCACCCAATTGAGAACCAGAGAACCACAGAGGGGTCTCAGAATACTCCCCTGTGTGACCTGAAACTCAGCAGGGATAGCCTAAATCACACTCCTCCCACCACCTCTCTCCTTCACAGCGATAACAAGCAGCCATCCTTGAGTCCCCTGCAATGGGGACCAAGCAGCCACCCCAAGAAATCCTAAAATCAGATAAAAGCCCCTCATTGTGTCCGGGTATATTTGTTCCCCTGATGGATGAGAACTATCTGCGGCAGAGTCAGCTTATGTGCCTTTTCTCCAAAAGAGGGGTGTTATGGTTGATACATTGTGTCAATTGGGGAGTCTAGAGGTTTGACTAAGTGACTCAGCAGGGAGCCAGGGTGCTTACTTTGTATACATCCTGATCCTGTGCAAGAGGAGGGCAAGGAGGTTGTGAGTGCTGCACGCCCCCTGGGTGGGGGTAGCCCGCTTACAACATAAGGGAGGGAAAGAGGCTTGCTCGCTCTGCCATTTCCCCGTTGCTCTTGTTGCTTTGCTATCTTTCGCTGCCGTGAACGTTTGCCCTCTGACATGTGCCACTGTGCCTTGGAGCCAGCCGAGCATGGACTGAAACCTCCACAAACTGTGAGCTAAATAAACCTTTCTTTCCCTAATTTTGGGTGTTGGGTATTTTGTCTCAGCAATGAGAGAACAGTAACTAAGACAAGGGGAAAAAAAGAGCCATCATGGGACTTCCGATTGTGAGAATAGCTTTTAATTTAAAACAATCAAAGCAAGAAATCATCCATCTCTCTTTCCATCACAGGCAAATACTCTCTCAAAACATTTGAAAGAATTTAAACAACAACTGTGACTAGTGCAAAATAAAATAAATACAAACTCTTTCAGGAACCAACACCAAAACCGGCTGGGCAGGGGGCACAGGCCACAGGCTCAGCCTCTGCCAAGGCAGAGAACATGGGGAACAGCAAGATTTGCACAGCAGTTAACACACTCGGCTTTGAAGAGAGGAAACAGTACCTGGGGGAGGGGGGACCTCAAGAGAATGTTGCCCGCCACGAGGCCAACGTGCCCATCACCCTCGTGTGGCTAATGCACCTGGAAAATGCTAGAAAGTGAAGCACAAAGGCAGGGACTCCTAGGCAAAGCTGAAGCGAGGCAGTTTGGGCCCACTTGCTTTTGTTTGTTCATTGGGGAGATACATATAATATATATGACTTTAGGCAGAAAAATCTTCTGTTTTATGGGAGGTGTTCTGTGTCTCACAGGGCATCTGACTCCAGCAAAAATATCTGCGATGCTTCCATCTATTCGGATGCTTTGCAGAAATCATCTTCCCACATATGGAATTTCACTGCCTCTTACTGAAGCTAGCGCAGCCCTGTCTCATACAAGTACGACAATGGCCATGCATCTGATTTTAAATTTTTCAGTAGGACATTCAAAAGAGATTAAAAGTGTAAGATGTCTTTTAATATTTATGAAGTTATTATTCTATTTAGTCAGTATAGCCAACATACTCTTTGTAATCAATCGAAATTATTGATGAAATATGCATACCCTTTTTTTCCGATATGCATTTCCTGGTATGTATATTCAAGATCCGGTGTGCATTTTATGTGTACAGCACCCTCTGTCTGGAAAGGCCACATCCCAAGTGGTCATTGTGCAACACGTGGTTACTAATGATCACGCTGAGGTGTAGAGGTCTACAGAATCTAACACAAACTCTTTTAGGACAATTTGCGGAATAAGAAATCTCCATGACACTGTGTAGGCAATCGTACACACCAAGATTACACAGAATCCTTTTCTGTCACCTAGGATTTTTCTGTCTAAAGGGCAGAATCACATTTTCATCTAATCCCATCCTCCGGCCTGCGCCCACCCCCAGCAATCTCTCCGCACACCACTTGGACTGACGGTGAGATTTAGCAGCAGTGATGTCTCCATGGTGGCAGAGATATCCTTGCTGAGAGAGACAGGCTGTCAGCACTTACTAGGGGATCCCAGCTATCTGTGAGTAAGTCAGAATTTTCAAACAGTCAACAAATTTTACAGATTTAGCTGAAGCTTTCCAAGAAAGTATCTGAAGTGGATTTTTATCTATGACGGAAACAGCAGCAAACTACTTCATGGACTGGGAAATGGTAAGTTTGAAGAGTGGAGAAGTATGGCATGATGACTGAAGCAAAGATAAATGGAGCAGGGAATAAAAATGAGATGGGGACATGAAAAATGACAGTTCCTATGCTGAGGTGTATAAGCTGTAACAATCTAAAAACCTGGCATCTAAGCCTTAAAATGATCCCCATATTTCATATGTCTGATTCTAGTAGTAAACACAGGAAAATAAAAATAGAACAAGATGCTAGGGCAGGAAGGGACTTCTGAGCTCATCTGATCCATTCATTTTAAAGAAAAGAGCTCAGAGAGGTAAAGTAATTCAGCCCTACCGCACTTGAGGCAGAATCAGGCTACAAATCCGGGGGCTCTTGCTTGGGGCTGCAGGAACAGGGAATAAAAGCTGCAGAGAGCCCAAAATGAGCGGCAGGGAAATGGCAGGCACATTCTCTTGTAGGTTCAAGAGGCTATTCAACTCCAAAATACTGATGTCAGGGTCACTCAAACATGAGTTTTTCCAATCAGCTTTTCTATGTACTTGTTTTTCTTTTAAAAGAAAAATACAAATCTGAACCCAACAGGATTTTTGATTAGTTACTTGGGCATTTAGATCAATTGACAAAATTAAAACTTTCATACATTACATTTTCCAAAGACACATTCATTGGGGTTGTACACAAACGGATATCAAAAGGTATTTACAGGAAGAAAGTGCCACACAGACACCTACAGACAGTGAGGATTTCACAATTATACCACCACGGCTCACAGACGAGTCCTAACAGGCTGATTAGCTGACACAATGCACACATCATTCCAGTTCTCCATCACAAATAGTCTCATCGACACATGTGTGTAAAACCAAGCAATACATTTCACTTTTATTCCAGGGAAACCTGCTTTGTGTATACTAAGAGATACATATAAATACATCTTCACCCAAGAAACTCATTGCTTGCTCCAGTTTTCCTGTCTGTCTGAAATAAAGAGTAACATAAATACAAAACTTGGCCTTGTAGAAATAGCCCTTTGTTTTCTGAGGCAGAAAAAAGGCAGCCATAGTACTCTTTCTTACAATATGTTTAGGCATCAAAAGGGCTAAATTCCTTTTTTTCTACACAGGGAAATTAAATAGTGTATAGCCTTTAATCTTAAATGTGGATTTTACTTTATTGATTTTGCAAAGTTTTATTATAAAATCTTCTTTTTGTTCAAAATACACATGCTATCTTTGTTCAGATTTCAACACAAACACCCAATTATCCTCCCACCCACCCACGCCCCAAGAATAGGCCTTGGCTTTGCAACGTCACTGAAAACAAGCCGTTTTTGATGCATGTTTGGAATCAGTACTCTCCGATCGATACTCAGCCCTAAGAGGACTGGATTTGTAAGGCTGCTTAGCGTGGGGATTTCCATGGGAGCTGGGACTTGGACAACAGAGTAGGACTGTTCTGGGATTTAAGTCAACACTAGAAGGCGACACGAGTGGGCATAGCATAGTAGAGTTTCTGCACCATGAGCTCCCTCCTTCTGCCAATGTCACCTGTTCCCAGATTGAAGAAAACTTCAGATGAGAAAAGGCAGGGAGCAGACTCTACTGGGACCCACCCTGGCACCCACCTTCTGCTCTGTAAGGGCTCATGCTGTCAGACCTCGCCACGGCCTCAGAGCACGGCGGGAAAGAAAGGGCAGGTGTTATCACACCATTGTGCGGATGAGGGCATGAGGGACTTGCCCAAGGTCCACAGCCAGCGAGTGGCAGCACCCAGGTCTCCAGGCCACCGGCCTTGGGCTCTGCTCCTTGTCCCTCGCTTACATGGCATACGTGATTTCCTGTGAGACAGGGGCCATCACAACAGAATCCTGATGGTCCTGAACTTACTACATCCTAATTCTTTTCATTCAATCAGTTCTGCTCTACTTCCTCACAGTTTTTTGTTAGGCAGACAGCAATAAAGTCTTTTTCATTTGACTGAATTATCTGAAGCAGAAAGTCCAGGGACTGGAATCTGGTGTAAATGCTGCCATTCCACTTTGTATCACATCTGAAACTGATCTAATTCCACCTTACAACTCAAACACTGAAACAACCAAAAGGAAAAGGATGGCCTTTCAAGACACCCCATGAAGTTTCTTTGCATCAGAAACCCTTAAAGTGCCCAATTTATTTTTTTTGCAACAATTTTATTAATCAGGTTAAGAAGATAAAACTAAAGATAAAAGACCACGGTGTTGGTGATAGAAAATAAGCACCAAGGGCAAGTCAGGAGGTGATAAAACAAAAAAGGCAAGAGATGCAACTGGGTCCAGAAAAACATGGACACAGAGACTGGCGAAGAGCTCAGAGATGAGAAAATGAGAAACAAATGTGGGGCATTTAATGGGACTCCAGGGAGCTATCCCATGTCATAATACGAGGTTGCTGTTCTAACTAAACATAACCACCGAGTCTTTTAAGGATGGGCTGTTGAGAGAGTCCATCTACCTCTGGGAAAGTACAATACTACACTGCAGTGGGCATCTGGTGTTCGACCACCAAATGTCCAAACCCAGGTACATTTTTGACAGCACTTACACAGGACAACTCGGCCCTTTCCACTCCTTAAAATCCAAGTGGGGAACTAATTTTTTTAAAACTGTTCCTGAGTTATAGTTTTGTTAAAATACTTACTTGCCTTTTCCAGGTCTGCTTAATACCAACTATTTAGCCTTTAAAAACCAACCCATCACAGATTTTCTAGTGGACTATCAAGGTCACACACTCTCACTCACTCTCACACACATTCACACAGCTGTATTATGAATTTTGATATGATTTAAATTAAAAATAGCTTTCATTACAGATGTTCTATTATACATGAATAGGCCCGAAATTATTGTGCATAATGAAAAAAAAAACTATGCCACAAATAAAGCCCAGCTTGGCTGCTGATTTTCCATATGAAACAGAAGTGGGCTTTTGTTTACTGTAGTTGAGGCCACACTACTGGCCACATTGATTGAGTTCTCTGGAGGCCACTACTACTGACCCCCAAAGTACAACAGAGGGCTGGGGGGCATGTCTCCATTTTTGATATGCTGGTGGCAGATGCCACACCAGCAATACGGATAGCTTCATTTATATCACCCTCTCCTTGGACATTTATAAAACTATCTACAATAGAGTATCATCACCAATAGAAATTTCTTCCCAGTTCTTTTTCAGGTGTCCAATGATCGTGCTCTTTAAATAAACTATAAATACCCAATGTACTTCTTCATATCTGGCTGTCCCAACATTTTTCTTTTTCATTTTCATTTTTTTCTTTTTTTTTTTGGCAAATTAAAAAGGCATATGGCTTCTTCTTGCCAACTTGTATGTCTGAGGTTTAGCTTGGTATCCTGCGGTAAAAGTACATGTATCCCAGGTCTTTAGGAGGCCGTTCTGAGGCACAGACTTTGTGGTCGTTGTAGATCACCCATCTGAAAATAAGAGACAGAAGCATTTGATGGACTTACATCAGTTCCAGGATACACTGCAGAACTGCCTCATATGAAGCACAATACTTAAAATAACCAAAATGCTTTAAGATAACCAAACCCAAACTTGTTGTATAAAAAAGCACAGAATCCCTGTGGGGAATCACCATGCTTTGCCATTCTTGAGCTTAATCAAAAAGTAGTTACTAAAAATCTATCAGAGGGCTGGGGATTTAGCTCAGCGGCAAAAGCGCCTGCCTGGCAAGTGCAAGGTCGTGAGTTCGGTTCCCGGTACCGGAGAAAACCAAAAAAAAAAAAATCTATCAGAATCTTACACATGTTTTAACCCCTTCAGCCCATAACTCCCACAGATGGCCTCAGAAACCAAGTCAAAGAATTGTGTACAACAATATTTATTTCAGCGTTATGTATAAACCTAACTAAAAAAGAAAATCAGAAATAAACATTCATGCAGTCAACCAGTATATAACTATTAAAATTTCTTCAAAGAATGTCTGGTAAAGTGAGAAAATAATCCCAATGTAATATGATGGTATAATATGAATCATAGTATAATATGAAAAACGGATATAAAAATTGTGTATACTCTGTACATACTTTAAAATTCTAGGAAAGCTGCAAATATATATCGAATATGTGTATATAGAGAGATATATATACCTCTTCCAATGAAACCAATAAAACAAAGAAAAATATATCAAAATATAGACAATGGTTATCTTTAGACTTTCACTATACAAATTCTTCATTTTTTTGTATATGTTTTGCAAATTTTCTACCAGACATTTTATTGTTTTGTATAACTAAGCTACTTTTCATTTTTAAAGAACTGTTGTACTTTATAATAAAAATGCATTTTAAATACAAGTCCCCATGCTTAACAATTTTATTAATCAAGTTAAAAAGATAACACTAAAAGACACCAAACATGGAACCAAACATGAAACAGACCAGTCCTACGGTGAAAAGTGTGGGTGAGAGGCCAGCACCCCTACCACATGAGGCCATGGTTTAACACTGCACCAGTGTCCACAGGCCTAACCACTACCCTCCTCCAAGCGCACCTGCCCACAGGCCACAGGAAGGAGCTGTAGGAAGGATACTGCTGGGGAAGGTTCTAGAGAAAGTAGCCTTCCATTCTGTAACCATCTCATACCCGCCTTCACCACACATCTAAGAATTCTGCCAAGAAGCCAAGAAACCAACTGCAGGGCCATATTAAGCACTGAGCATGTAAGGTTGCCAGAAAGAAAAAGAAAAAATACTGGCTGTACAACTAAATTTAAATATCAGGTAAATAACAATTAACTTGTTAATATGTCTTATATAACATTGGGATAGGCCATTTTTGAAATATGTGTATACTAACAAATAATTCATTGTTTATCTAAAATTTAAATTAAAGCACCCTAGTTTTCTTGCTTTGTTGGCTAAATATGGTGATCCTATGGAGATTCCAAATAGGATACACATCTTTATGTTAGAAAGTCACCTTGATATGATGCCTGAAAGTGCCACTGAAACCAGCTCTGATACAATTCCTTACTAGCCAAGGCCAATCTATTCAGTCTCCTTGAACCTCAGTGTCTAGATGTATAAAATCGTTTTAAATGTAAATTCCTATAAGACCAACATGAGAACTAAATGAAATAACATACAAAACATCCAGTAGAGTATCTGGAACACAGTAATGGCTCAATAAAGCATACTATCATTTACCTTCTAAAAAAGACTCACCTTCCTTCTTTTTTGATATGGCATACATAATGGCCACTCATTGTAGATGTTCCCATGTGACTGATAAATGCAAACAGTTCATATGCTGTGAAAGAAGAAACATCTCGGTTACAAGGCAGCATTTCTAGAATCAAGAACACTTCTGATGAGATTATAATACCAATACCAATACAATCCAGCAACTGTTTAGGTTTGAAAGGCGAAGGCTATCTGTCTTACTATGTGGACAACACACACACACACACACACACCTCTGCATATTCTACCTGCAAACTCATCATAACAAAAACAGGACATAAACTATCAAATTAAAGTTGATATTAAATTCAAATCGGGAAAGGATTAAACATTCCACAGCCCAACCTGGTAGCAAACTCATAGGTCTAAAAAGGTTGTTCTGACTGCAACACTTTCAAACAACATGAGGGTAGACAAGTTGTCTCATCTCTCTGAGCCTGTTTCTTCACAGAAAAAATCCACTTTGCAGGGGTATATGAGACTTTTTAAAAATCCACTTTGCAGGGGTATATGAGACTTACATGAGCAATTCAGACTAAAATGTCATACAAATGTCAAGATTATGAGGACAGTGGCAAATAGCTGTTATCACTTACAGAAGAGGTAAATGTTTCACAAAAATTGTCTGATTTGTCACTTTAATAACCTATGTGGGACCAAACTTCAGGCTGCATGCTTTCTGAACAAAGAGATATATAACCTCCTAGAGAAGGAGGCTGATGTTTATCCTATAGCAAGTACCTCCTGCCAACAAGCAGGGTATGCTCACTGAATTAATTCCGTTCATGTGTTTTCTGCTAATCTTAGGCCCACACAATGTAAGGTAGCCTCCGTGGACTAGTACCAATCCACTCAGCAGACTGGTAGGACTCGGATGAGACAGTACAGAAGTTGTTTTACAATAATTTATGAGTAACATTCAGATCTGAATGCAATAAGTAAAAAGTCTGCACATTCATTTTTCTAGTCCTCAATTTTTATTAATTACACTCTCCAGGAAAAAGTATCGGTTTTGCAAAGGCCCTTTGTCTGACCCTGTCTCTTCCACTCTTTCTCTCTCTTGCTTTTCACTCACAGTTATTCACTCTCAGCTGTCAATCCCGGTCCTCATCTTACTCACACTGCAGCAGTGCCACACCAACTCTTCCTTCCTCAAACATGTGCCTCAGGGCAGGAGTCTCTCAGCTGTCCAGCTGCCTCAGCGGCTGTTCCGTACCTGTCTCCTTCGCTGGCACCTCCGGATCTCCTGGCTTTTGAATACTGTTGACTTGTAGTTTACACCTCAGACCGATTTTACCCTACGCTATCCAGGGCCTCTCTCTAGATGTTCTCACTTACTATCATGGCAGTAACGCGTACTGTGCTCATAATTTCATTTCCAGAATGTTCACTGCTCATATTATATAGAGATTTGTTTCCCGATGCCTTCCTGAACCCATTTATCAATTCTAAGTTCTTTAGTGGATTCCTTCAGATCTCCCGTATACAGATCAGGTCATCTGCAAACAGAGATAATACTACTCTTCCTTGGTAATGTGAGGGCCTTTTACTCCCTTCTCCGGTGTAACTGTATTGGTGAGGACCTCCTGGACAATGTTACATGGAAGCAGTGAGAGGGAACATCCTTGCCTTTTAGGAAGGAAGTCTTAATCTTTCATCTGAGTATCATATGAACTACAGGGTTTTTGCTTGTCTTGCAGGTACCGCTTATCAGGCCAAGGATGTTCCCTGCCATTCCTAGTTTATTCAGCAGTCTCCCCTCAGCACTGTCTGTCTCAGTCAATGACACTTACATTCTTTCATTCTGTCTTAATTCTCTCTCAAACTCTTTACATCTATCTAATCAATACATCCTATAAGTACTTCCTTTAAAAGATGTCCAGAAACCAATCACTTCTTACCATCTCCGCTTGTAACTCCTAACGCAAGTCACCATCATTTATTGACTTTACTGTTGCAAAAATGTCTTATCTGACTTCTTGTGTCCTCCCTTCTCCCTAGTGATGACTCTCAGTATGGTTTACAAGGTGGTCTTTTTTGCCAGGCATGGTGGCGCACGCCTGTAATCCCAGAACTCAGGAGGTTGAGGCAGGCAGATTATTGAGAGTTCAAGGACAGCCTGGGCTACAAAGTGAGCTCAAGGCCAGCTTGAACTGCATAGTGAGACCCTATCTCAAAAAGACAAAAAAAAAAAAAAAAGGTGGTCCTCCTAATGGAAGTCATATTACAGTCACTACTCTGCCAAAAATCCTTCCAGTGGTTTCCTACATCTCACAATAATATCTTACCCTTGTCTATGAAGTACCCTCATCCCTGCGTATGAAGAACTCTCATTCCTGCCTATGCAGTACCCACACCCTGCCTATGCAGGACCCCATCTCTTCTCATTCCTCCGGTTTCTCCACTCCAGCTACCCTGAACTCCTGGCTGCTCCGAGCACACCTAACACATTGTGGCCTTCAGGCCTTTACAGCTACCATTCCTTCTATCTAAAATTCTCTTTTTAGGTATCTTGTGACTCATGCCTCTCTTCAGTGAGGTCTCAGGTCAAATGCTACCTCACCAGAAAAGCCTCCCTGAGCCACCCCATTCTCACTCCGACTGCTCCCTGCCCCGTTATCCTGCTCTACTATCTCTATGGCAGGAAGTACCACCTAGTATGTCACATGCTTCCTTGTGCATTCATTTATCATCTGTCTCCTTTTACACCAGGATAGAATCTTTTTTTTTTTTTTTTTTTTTTTTGGTTTTTCTCCGGTACCAGGAACCGAACTCATGACCTTGCGCTTGCCAGCCAGGCGCTTTGCCACTGAGCTAAATCCCCAGCCCCCAGGATAGAATCTTAAAGGGTGTATAAATTGCTCCCCTCCACCCCAACCAGATCAAAATTACTAATTTCTTATACTGCTTAACACTTCTCTATATCACTTCACTATATCAAACACTTCTCTCTAAACTTAATGGTTCTCAGTCACTCACACTTTACTATAAATTAATGTACTCCATAGAGTGGCTTTCTCTTAACTTTCAATAGCATAAATAAATCAGAAGGTTTATTTGAAAGGAAGTTTACACGGCTTTCAAGGAAGCCACGGGCCCTTAACTTCCTTGGGAAGCCATACTTCCTGCCCCCTTGGTTCTCTTCTGGGCGGCATTCCTCAGAGAAGCCAGCAAGCAAGGAGTCCCACCTTTGAGAAAAGGAACTGTCTCTGCTCCCTAGCTGGAAAATCTCGGCTGCTGCTGAAGATGTCTGAGCAGTATGACTGAGGAGCCAGAGCAGGTTTAGAGTAATCACAGCCTAACTGCATGTTAATTATATTGCCAATCAGTAAGCTGTTTTTCTAAAGAAATTAAATACTCAGTAAGTGCAATATGGAAACAGAAATGATTTTGCAAATAACAGAAGCCCAGATAGGTCAGAGTGAAGCTTTGAACATTCCCACTCTTTTGAAAAGTTTTAAAATTTAACAGAAAGTTAGATGCTCGCTCTCAAAACTATGTAGTCCATGGCAGTAAACAGCCTTGCGAAAAATACACCTTCATCTCCACTTGAATACAAAAACTCATGTGAAATAGGAAGGTAAAGGAGAAAGCATACAGGCTTCTAATCAGATAGACCTAAATTCTGAACTGGTTCTACCACTACCAAATCACTTAACTTGTCACCATTTCCTCATCTGAATAGTTCCTGTCAGCAGGGAAAGAAAAGTGGGAGAGGAAGTGCCTGGCACATCATAGGTGCTCAATAAACGACAGCTAGTACTTCACCGTGTTCACAGTGTTAATGACCCTTTTAACCAATTTGTACATAGCATTTCAGTTTTGGAATGCCCATAACAATGGAATGGAATAAACATTTTTCTCTTCAAATTCTTATCCCTTGAATTTTTCTAGATAACATATATGAATTCTGTGCAAAAATTCAAAAAAAATGCAATCTTCTGCACAAAAAGGTTAAACTAACACTTAAATAGTCTCATGCAAAGACATTTCATCCTCCATCAGAAAGACGCACAATGTTGGTTGAATATTCCTTATCTAAAATGCTTGGGACCAGAAGTGTTTTGGATTTCAGGAGTGGTTTTTTTCTTCCAGACTTTGGAATAGGTGCATATACATATTGAAATATCTTTAGGATGGGACTTAAGTCAACCCGTAAAATTTATTTAAGTGTCATATACACCCTACAGTCATAGCTGGAATACAACGCATATGACATTTTCAGCATGTCTTCATTGCAACTGCAACCCATCACATGTGGAAATTTGCCCTTGTGGCATCTGGGTAATGCACAAAAAGTTTTGGATTTAAAGCTGAGAAATCTGGGACAAGCACCGTTCTACTGGATTTGACCTGAAGAGATACAACTGTATGGGGCCCTGGTAGACATCTTGCGGCCACTAGGGTCAACCTGAGAGTGGAACCAGCAGGCCCAGAGGAAGCTAGGTCGAGGAGTCCATTGGATGAAAGGGTTTGTGTCCTGAATCAAAGACGCCTGAATCCAGTCCAATTCCACCCACACTCCATCCCCGCCCCAGGCAACCTGCCTGCTTTTACAAGATGATACTTCTCTTTCGCTTAGACAACTTAGGCTCGGATCTCCCACTTAGGCAGAACTCTCAAAGCTGAACTTGCTTTTGTTTAGTTTGTTTTGGCTCCTCAAATAGTAATTATTACCCCCAAAACAATCAATCTAAACAGAACACACATATCCTCCAGTTTAACCTATAAATCTAACATAATTCCAATCAAACCCCTATGGAATGGCCTTGTTTTAGTTCAGTACCTGTAGAAAATTCAGCAGTAACAATTTTAAAAATACAATGGGAAAGAAGTTGATACATACATAACACAGAAAGTATAATTCTGAGACGTAAGTAAACCAGAAACACAAAGCATGTCACAGTTTTCCAGGGCAGAAATAGGTGTAGGAATGAATTAAAGGACAGGTAGAGCATGTTTCTGTATAGAAAAATTCAACACTGCAAAGCTGGGATGTATTCCCAAGTTAATCTACAATATATGAAACTCATACAAATCAATTTTTTAAAAAATACCTAAAAACCTCAATAAAAATGGCCCAAAGAAATGAGGAAGCCATGAACATAAGAAGAAAACAAACCGGGTAATAAAAAAAGAAAAAATATGCAAAGTGCTTGATCCCCACAACACTGCTAGGGAGGGCTGGGGGCAGGTGTCACCCATGTGGCCATCATGTGCCCAGTACTATGTTTCTGAGGGTCATGTGATAGTTAGCTGCATTAAAATTCTGCATTTCTCAGACACTTCACTTCCAGAGACTTATCCAAAAGCAATACTCACATGAAGGCCTAGCACTGTTCATTACAATGTAATTTTTAACAAAGGGAGAAAGTTAAAAACCGAACAAGGGTCTGCTACCTAAATAGTGATTAAAGCAGGTATCTGTTATAGTTCTATGAACTGAATTCATCCTTTAAAAAACTTGCTGGCAAGGCTGTGGGAAAAAAAGGAACCATTCTACATTGTTGGTTTGGAAGGTAAACTAGTGCAACTACTACGGAATTCAGTAGAGAGACTCCCCAAAAAAACTAAAGTTAGAAATTCCATGTGACTCAACTATTCCTTTCTAGGTATCTTCCCAAAACAGTTAAAGACATCATATTGAGTGATACATGCACACCCATGTTTAAGCAACACAAGTTGTAATAGCTAAATCTTGGAAGCAGCTGGTAAATCCATCAACAAATGAATGGATAAAGAAAATGTGGTGTTTATACACAATGGATTATTGCTCTGCCATACACAATAAACTGAAGTCATTTATAGGAAAATGGATGTACCTTCAGCCCATAATGTTAAGTGAAATAAATCAGACATATAAGCCTATTACATGGTTTCTCTTATATGAGAAGCCAAAAATATACATAAAGAGCAAAATAAAAGACAGGGAATAGGAAGTAGGGAGATAAATCTTTTTGAAATGGGAAGGTAATCAAGAGATGAAAAGAGGTGAGGGCAAAGGAATGAAAAACAAAAAAGAACTGAGACGTGGTATGCACACGTATCAGCTCCCCAAAGGGAATGCAATCATTGTGCAATGCAAACACGTACTAATAAAAAATAAAAATTGGGGAAAAAAATCATTGCGGTCAGTCAGGTGTGGTGGCATATGCCTATAATCCTAGCACTAGGGAGGCCATGGCAGGAGGATCACTGAGTTTGAAGCCAGTCTGAACTACATAGAAAAATGTTGCCTCAAAAAATAAAAAATAAAACAAAAAAAATCATTACTGTCACTTCAATATGGGAACACCTTCATTATTTGAAACTGTCCTGAAATAGTCCTTTATTTAAATACCTAAATGCATAAAATTAGATATATAAATTATGGTATACATATATAATGGAATATTTTAATATGTTTAATGATATTAATTTATGCATATATATTCCCATAATTGGGGAAATCTGGTGATGAAATAGAATGTCTTGAATGGAATGGTATACTTTTATAAATTTATGTATTTATAATCATTTTTATGTATCTGCATGGAAAGATCTGAAGAATATACACAAAACATTATTTCTGGGTAGTAGTATTGTAATTGTTCAGTTTCCTTTTTTTACATACATATATTTTCTCAAACTGCGAAAACAAACATCCTTTTCACTTAAGAAAAATAATATAGATGTTCATTTGTTACTTAAAAAAATGAAAAAGAAAGCAACGAGTGGCACGTGAGTTCAGGTGCCCGTGCAGCCAGGTGCAGGAAGTCACATTTTCCATTTCCTTTGATCCGTGCAACGTAACAGTGTTCCCCAAGTTCCTCCACACAGCTCCGACGGGTGGCAACAAAAACTCTCCCCAAGAGAGTTCCCACCACCTCCTGGCATTTATTTAATTCTGTATTCAACCAGTTATGTACTGATCACTTACCATAGGTCAGGCACAGTGCCAGAGAAGCCACTTTAAAAACATTTATTCTTTCATAAAGTCAAACTAAATATGTATTTGGCAAGTTAGTGTGGTCTCTGCTTTTTCCCCATAATTAAAACTTTCACCGACCACTGCCTTTATGTCCTGCATATCCTGCATATAGTTTCTCACAGCACATGTCACAGTGCTCCTTCCCCCGCCCTCGCCTCCGCCCCTGGAGATGGGCCCATGGTACCTCAAACGGTGCTTGGGGGCAGCACCGTGGCAGCCTACTGGACCAGGAGTCTCTGCAGATGGCCCTGAGGGACAGTAAGTAATGAGGGGATGATGTGGTTGTTGTTATTACTGACCATCCCCATCCAAGAGGGAGTGCTGAGTGCTGCCAAGCTCCACCAAAGAAGGGAACCCTCTGGAGCCAGATACCTTGGCATCGTTACAACAGCCCCATCCCGTGGTTTATTCCCTCTGTGAGGACTCATGGGCTCCAAAGTCCATTACGGAAAATCGATGAAACAGTGAGGACCAATGGACATGGAACACGTCATAAACCCTGCTCATAAATTATTAACTGGCCCATTACAGCTGCTAATGTTTCTGGGAACACAGTGATTTCTGAAAGTAATAGAAGACCTCTTAGATGAATAGGGAAATTTAGAGGACTACAGCCTATCATTTTCTTACCCAGTTAAGATTAAAACAGATGAAGAGGAAAGCTTCCATCCCCCTTTCTTTAGTTATAAATCTGTAAATACAAGTTATATCTCATAAGACCATTAATGTGTAGAACTTCACCTCTACGATTAGAGAAACAAATGTTGGTAATATAAATTTAATTAAAACCAATTGTTACTTATTCAGTACTTTCTATGCGTTAGACATCAAGAGTTTCATAAAATGGCCTCTACCCTCACAATCCTCCTCTGAATAGGAGGCACGGAAAGCTATATAAATAATTTTACTACAAGATCAACTTGATATTCAACACCTTACAGTGGCTGTGCACAGGCCCAGGCTCTGGAGGCAGACAGACTGCCTAGGAAGGAATTCTGGTTCTACCCATCACTACAGATGTGACCTTAAAGAGTTATACCCTTCTCTGTTTCTATTCCTTCACCTACAAAATAGGGATAACAAGGTATCCACCTCACAGGGCTATGAGAACTAAATATGCACAGATGGAAGCATTCTCAGTACTGGTATAATTATTACCAGTACATATGATAACCATGGGCTACTTATGACTGTAACAGGGATCTGGGAAATTAGACCAGAGAAGGGAATATGTGGCCAAGCTCTGAGGAACAGTGAGGGTTTCTGTATACACTGATGGGAGAGAAGGTTATTTCACAAACAGAGATTAATTTGAGCAAAGGCCTAAAGGTAGGTCACACAAAAGTTGGTGGCACTTGAGGACACTGGCACTACCAGGCATGTGAGCTGCAGGGACAGGAGGTGCAGAGGAAGTGACCCAGAGATGAGACGGGCTGGAATCCGACAGGAGGACATGGTGAATGCCACACTAAAGAGCTAGCCACCATCCTATAAGCAACAGCAATTCAAGAAGCAGAATATCAAAAGGGTTTGGGACACAGATTCTAGCATCTTGCCTCTGCACCTGGAGAGCTACGTGATGCTGGGCAAAGTACCTAACCTCTGTGCCTCTAGTTTTCTCTCCTATAAAATCAGTCGGGGTGATGACTAAATGAGTGTTCACTACAAAAAGGCAGAACTTTGCCCTGTGGCACCTTTTCCTGCCATCTTGAGGCAGCCCTTCCGAAAGCCACCAGCAGATAGCATTGGTACTAACACAGTCAAGGACAGGAGACTGCTTTTGTCCTGCTCAAAACCACCACCATGGCAACAAATGCTCTATTTTTGACAAAAGCTCACATGATCTACAAAGAAATTTTACCTCAAAGAGACAAAGTGAAAATGGTACTAAACTTACACACACACACACACACACACATACAACTATTACTACTAGTAGGTACTAATACCACTACCACTACTACTAGGTACTATTACTAGGTAGTAGATATGTTCTAGGTACCTAGATTTTATCAGATCACTGTGGCTTATGCAAAGTGACAATAGGCACCATTTATGAGAAGACAAATTCTGTGCTAACTTTTGAATGACAGCGAAGGTTCAGATACATAGTGATGAGGGAAAAGGCATGAACTGAACACACAGTCATGAATTCTGAGACAACTTCTAGGGCAGGAACTTACTTCCAGATCCATCCTTGACTCTAGGTCCTTCAGGCTTGGCCTCCGAAATAATGTTGGCATTGGCATTATTCTCCATCTCAATCACGAAGTCGCTGTCCTCTTCAAACTCAGGGTGGCTAAAGATCCAATCCAGTGCTCTTTCCAAGTTATGGTTCTAATAAAGTGAAACAAATTTATAATGCATGAGGTCCCCGGGCCTCACTATATCCTGACCATTTGAATTACACATCAAGCAGCTAGGAGAGGAGGGCTGAACTCATTAGTCCTAAGTGGCTCTGAGTAAGATGTTCTGACTGCACGGCATGCACACTGGCCTGGCACTCTGCAAGTCTCCCAACCAAGGTCTGTAATTGGATTCACCGGAAAACAGTTTGGACCAGCGGAGTAGCATTTCCAAAGCTATCAGTCTCAGCTCAGCACTTCTGCAGGCTGGTGCTGATAATGATGGGTACAGAGTGCCAAAGGGGCACTCATGTAAGTGCAGCCTCCTCTACAGCCAAGATAAATGGACAAACTACTTTCTCTAGCAACTTTATTTTCTGTAAGTAACTCTACAAGACATGGGGCACTAACAAGAGTATTGTGTTAGTGCCTCCTCTCCCCAAATGTTGGTAGAATGGCTGAACTGCACTAGAGACAAGACCAAGGGTTTAGTTAATGATTAATTGTTTAAAATGAACTCTCTACAGTTCGAATGAATTCACCATGAAAGATTTTTTTCCAGCCTCCCTTATTTGTGAGGTCACTGGGAGATTAAAAACTTTGTGTAAATACTGTCAGAAACTCCAATGAAACAGTCAGACAAGTAAAATAAGTGAGGTATAACAAAGTACCCTGTTGAGATATCGTAAGCACTTTAAAGGGAGACAGGTCATTCTAGCCACACCTCCATGAGCCACACGAGAGCCTCTGTGATCTTAACCACAGAGCCTAGCAGGCAACCTCGGGACAGGCAGGAAGGAACTGGTAGGAGATGTCCACTCAAAAGTGGGTTACAACATGGCAAAGAAAGGATTTAAAAAAGGAAAGCACCTTCTCTAATTATCAAACACATTTCCATACATAAACTCCTTTAGTTTCATGGTCCTTCCTCTCCTAATAATATCAGGATATTCCTAACAACCAGCAGGACCTTCTCTCTCTGCAGACAGCAACAGCAGCAGAGAATTCCGAGGAGCCATTTTCAGGCCTTCTATGAGGACTTTAAAGACACATTTCTCCAAGGTCTTCATATCCAAAAAGCATTATTTTACCCAAAGAAATTTCTTTTTTTTTTCAAGACAAAATGATAGAAATTTACAGTGGTTGCTACATTACATACTGTTATCTTCAACAAAATTGCTCAGTCCATTAGACATAAGAATGTAAGATTGATCAAAGACAGTAACAAATTAAAAAAAAATTTAAAAAAAACTGGAAATGATGCAGAGCTTCACCATACAAAATAGTAGGAGTTCAACAATAGTTCTTATACTGCATATTGTTTTTGGATCAGTCATTCTAATTACCAAAGTCAAGCGTGTGAAATTGGTCAAGAAAAAAGAAAATTTTAAGCATTGACTGTTCCTCTCAATAAACTACAGACATCAGCAATACACCTATTCCAGCTATCCTTATATAGACATATAGATTTTGCTTTCCATTTAAAAAAACCAACATAACAAAAACAAATACATAAACAAAACAGTATAGAGAGCAATAAAAATGATACAGAATTTCAAAACAAGGTAATAGGATATTAACAATGGTTGTTATACTACACAATGTCATCTTCAAAATGGTTACACATATAACCAGATACAGGCATGCAAGACTGATCAATTACACATTAACAGTTCCTGTCAATAAACCCACAGATATGAGTAGCACAATTATCCTAGCTATCCTGTGTATACATATACATATTTTTCCCCCCTTCTTTCTTTTTCCTCTCCCCTCCTTCATCCCAGTTGCTCCTTCCTATTTGAGCAGTTTCTTTTCCCTTTCACAATATCTATTGTACCTTTCAGATTTTATTTACTCTTTCAGGTTCTTATACTAGGGAGGAAATATGATGTTTACACATGTGAATCTGATTTATGACACTAATGAGTATGGTCTCAAAGAAATTTCTTACTAAACACATAATTTCACGTATTCCTCTTTGCTTTAGGCCACAGCATACTTGAGCTCAAATCTGTGAGACCCACTGTACTGGTTAATCTTAACTGTCAACTTGCTAGATTAAGAGACACCTGGAGAGGTGACTGTATTTGAAGGCTCTACTCCTGAGTACATTAACCCACTAATATTCCCAGCGCAATGCGCTGTGAGGACGCAGGGCCCCTCTGGAGGTGGGGATGGCCTTTGGAGGGTCTATCTCTCTCTCTGGCCCTTCCCCTTACTCTGCTTCCCAGCCACCAGCAAGTGAGCAGCTTTGTTCCACCACAGCCTTCTGCCAGGATGTTTCTGCTTTGGAGCCAGCAGATCATGGACCAAAATCTCCAAAAACATGAGCCAAAAATAAACCTCTCCTCATTTAAATAGCAAGTTTCAGGTAGTTTATTACAGTGATGGGAAAACTTACCAATACACCCACTAACAAACATTCACAATGATATGGCCTTTCCTGCAGTTGGGTCATCTTGTCCTAGTTTTATCATCTCATTATGCTTAAATTTGCTGTACGAGTCCTTCAAGCATTTAATTTAGCTTTATATACTATATGCAAATAAATCTTAATGGGCCAAGGTGAGGTACACAGTCCCACACACATGATTCAAAATGATCAAGGGTATTGAGAAGTTATACTTCTACTGAAAGAAATGCAGACCACCTCCAGTATGAGGAGAGTATTCACACGCACACGCGCGCACACACACACACACACACACACACACACACAATTTCTCATGCTCACCGTTGCTCGCAGTGCCTGCACAGCCTGATTTCTCTGGAATCCCATGGAAGTAATGATAGCTACAATCTCCTCTGGAGGCTGGTTATCCAATCCAGTAGCACCAAATACAGAGGCTCCAGCAGATGCTGCTCCTCCATAGCCAGGCATGGTCAATGGTTCAGCAAAGTCTGAGGAAAATAAGCATGCTCAAACCTTTTAATTGTTTTTTGGTTTTTTTGGCCTGGAAATGGACAACATTTGAGGGTTAAGACAGAAAAATGCCTACAACATGACAATAATCAAGACAATCTGGGGCTTGCATAAAAGAGATAAAAATCAACTGAATCAAACTGAAAGTTTAGCATAAGGCCATATATCTATGGTCAATTGATTTTCAACAAGACTGCTGAGTAAAGAAAGGATACTTTTTTCAACAAATGGTGCTGGAACAAGTAGCTGTCCACATCAAAATAATGAAGTCAGACCCCCCGATCCCTCACCATAAACAAAATTAACAAAATGGATCATGTACCTACATGTAGGTGCCAAAACTATAAACCATTTAGAAGAAAACACAGAAGCAAACCTTTGCGGCATTGGGCTAAGTGATGGCTTTGTAAAGGCAACACAAAAAGTGCAAGTCATTAAAAAGTACATTAGTCTTTATTAAAAATTTAAAGTGTATGCTTCAAAGGACACCATCAAGAAATTAAAAAGACAGCAGAATAAAAAATACATATAAATCATATATTTGATAAGATACATGAGCTAAAAATAAACCTCTCCTCATTTAAGTTGCAAGATTCAGGTAGTTTATTACAGTGATGGGAATGCTTACCAATACACCCACTAACAACATTCATGATGATATGAAGTTTCCTGCAGTTGGGTCACCTTGTCTCAGCCTTATCATATCATTATACTTAATAAAAGTGATATATTCTAGATACAAGAATATATCTAGATTATAAAAAGTATCCAAAAATATAAAAAGAACTCTTAGAACTGAACAATAAAATGACAAATAACTTCATTAAAGATAGGCAGGAGCTGGGGATTTAGCTCAGCCGCAAAAGCGCCTGCCTGGCAAGCGCAAGGTCGTGAGTTCGGTTCCCGGTACCGGAGAAAAACCCAAAAAACAAAAAAACAAAAAAACAAAAAAACATTAAAGATAGGCAAAGGATTTCTATTCTGAGGGTACAAGTTCCAGGAGCAGCAGAAATTACAATTATCCAGCTACAAACTGTCTTAGCCATTATTAAATAACATTATTAAATAACATTATCCAGTTACAAACTGTCTCAGCCATTATTAAATAACATTATTAAATAACAGTTGCCCAGTTTCTGATCCATTTTCAGCATTTCTCCAAGGATTCTTTGAAAAAATAACCATCAGGTATCACTGTCAGTCACATTGGAAACATTCTGCTTTGTTTTTTGCTGGTTCTACTTGGATTTTATTCAGAAAAAAATATACTTTAAATGACAGTTCTGGGATAGGCTGACTCTAGAAGATCTCTGGAAAGCAAAGTGACAAACAGTTCACTAAGAAATGCTTTGTCAAGGAAATAATATGAGCATGAGTCTGAATCCCTTCAGCTCAGACCACTTGATGACTTTTCTTGTGATGCCTATTTGTTGCCTCCAAGCTTGTTGGTAAAGATGGTACCAGTACTGCATTGGATTGTTCTGCCCAAGATTCACTCATATTGTATTCAGATCTTTCAACATTTCAACCATGGCTACAACTCACCATGGATTCATCTATTTCACCCACGCTGTGAAGAGTGGGCTGATCTATCATTTCATGAAAGTATTACTTCTGTTAAGCCTTTGGTGGAGATAAGGGTCAGGAACCTGCTTTACCATTCTTAAAATAACTTCAAAGTGATTATTTTATTTGGTTATTACAATGTGCTTTGTGTAAATAAGGCAGGAATGGGAAAAAGGTGAACCTGAGGCCCAGATGTTTAAGCAAAGCAGATCTGTAATTATGGATTCTGTAAGTTGAGTCACTCTTTAAAATAAAGAAAAGAAAAATTTAAGACAAAACTGTCATTCAATGTATTGGTACTGTAGTGATGCCTCAGATTACTGAAGAGATGTCACAGTAACAGAGGTGATTTCCTAAGTTCTCTATTGCAACTCATTTTAAACGTTATTGCATATCTCCATTATCATGGAAATTATAGAATATAGCTCAAATATATTGCAGATTTCTTACAAACTATTAGTTCCTTGATATTAACTCACTCAGGCAATTGTTGCTTTTGTCCACTGGTGATGTAAGATGTGAATACAAGCTCAGTGGAAGCCAAAAGATTTGATGACAGTGAAGTTGCCAAGATGAGCTCATCAGTCATTAGTTCCCCAAGTCTGTTTTTCATTGACCTATAACAGAACTAGTATAGCAGTTGTCCAGGAACTGTTGCTGACAGTCCTTGAATGACACAGGCTTGATGAAAATGATCTTCCAGTCTTAGGATGCTCAATACTGTATAATTCTAGAATTGCATGGACTAGTATTTATCCCACTCAGGGTCATCCTCTTAACATTGTGCTACAGTACATAACAGAGGATCAGGTAGATGTTCTCTGAGTGAGAATAACATGGAACAAATTATAGGATGCAGATATGTTTTCCTTAGAAGCAGTCCCTATGTTCACGAAAGTTTCTAGTGGGTATCACATCACACAACACTTACTATAATTTCTTCCTAGATTACAAATAATTATTGATCTAGGGTCAGTGAATTGTTGCTTCCTGAGTGTTATGGCTTGTATTAAGAAGTCTGTCCAAAACCTCAAGTGCTCATAGGTGGTGCTTTGCAGAGGTGACTGGATCTAGGGTGTGTGAATATGGATTAACGGTGTGTGATAACTAAATAGTCCATTGATTGGTGCAGCATTGTTCTGGGTATGGATAACGGGAAGGCCCACCCTGGGTGTGGGTAGCATTGTCCAATAGGTTTATAGTCTGGATGGGATAAAAGAGAAAAGAAGGCTCACTGCTGCTGCCTCCTGCCTACCCTGCCGTGGACTGTTTCTCCTCTGCCACACCTCTCTGCGACGCTGCCCTGCCTTGGAGCCAGCTATGGACTGAAACCGCTACAAACTGTGAGCTGAAATAAATCTCTCCTCCTTTAACTAGTGGTTGTTGGATATTCTGACACAGAGTTTCCCCAGGGTTCTCCTGTTATGCTTATGAGATTCCAGTCCCTTTCCTCAGCATACGTAACAGGTTCTTTTTATGTTCCACTTTCCTGCCCACTGGTGAATGTTATTTAAAATGACAGTATAGCGGATAGTTTTACCTGAATACTTATTTCATATTCACCCCCCCCAAGACCATTTATAGTTATTACACAACATGGATGTAAGATGTGAAACCCAGCACAGTATCATCCATGTAAGGAAAACGAAGGAGTTCTATTATGAAGGCCAGGCAATAATTTCCCAAGTTATTCATGTGTATTGACTGCGTTCAGTTTCTGCTAAACTTGAGCATAATTGGCCTTGAGTTCCTTTTTTAAAAAAAACTCATGGAAGAAAAGCAGGTTTATAGGGTCAGATTATATCTCCTACATGGATTGGATTCTGGACTGAAAATGGTATGTCCATGAGATTAAATGACCTCGTTTACAAAAAAAAAAATTAAATAAATAAATAAGTATTGTTTTAAAAACTGGGCAAAGAATGGAACTGGGGGTGTAGCTCCTTTACTTATCGTGCATAAGACCTGAGGTTCGACCCCTAGCACCACCAAAGAGCTGGAGGTCAAAAGACTGAATGGACAATTCCCCAGCAAAGACATATAAATACATGAAAAGATGTTCAACATCACTGGACTCTCCAAAAATGCAAATCAAACTCAGGTAACATTCCGCATCCACTGGAACAGGTATAATAAAAGAGATAATAACAAGGGTTAGTGAGGTTGTGGAGAAAATGGAACTCTTATTTATCATTGACAGTAATGTAAAATGGTATGGTCACTCTGTACAATAGTTTGGCAGTTCCTCAAAAACTTAAACATGAAGTTACCATATGACACAGCAATTCTACTCAAGTGAAATGAAAACATCTATCCACATAAAATATGCATGCAACTGTTTACAGCAGAATTATGAATAAAATCTCAAAGGTGGAAACAATCCAAATGCCCATTAACTGATGAGAGGATAAATAAAATGCAGTACGTCCATACCATGGAGTATTATTTGGTCATAAAAAGGAATGAAGTACTAGCATATGCTACAAAACACGAACCTTGAAGACATTATGTCAAGCCATAGAAAGTAGACACAAAAGGTTTCATGTTGTACTATTTATGTGAAATATCCAAAATAGACAAATTCACAGATCCAGAAAGTGACTACCAGGAGTTAGGAACAGGAGGAGAATAGGAAATGACTGCTCATGTATGCAGGATTTCTTTTAGGTAGACAACAACATTCTAAAATGGTAATGTTTGTATAATCACAAGTTTACGGGCCAGGGATATAGCTCAATGGCACAGCACCTGCCTGGCAAGCACAAGGTCCTGAGTTCGATTCCCAGTACCAAAAAAAAGTCATAAATTTACTAAAAACATTGGAATGCACATTGTAAGTGAGTGGACACAGGAATTATATCTTAACAAAGCAGACAGAAGCAGCTAACTGAAGGCCTCCATTTCGTCACCATCTCAACATCTTTCCAATGACCTTTCTGCCACTGAACTATATATACATTTTAGAACAGAGAGCTATGTCTCATTAAAGTTGTATTTGGAAGAGGAAAACGAAGAAGAAGAAAGACAGGTTGTGACTTCGTTCAACTACTGCAGAATATTATACACTGAGAAGTCATTTTTCTAGGGACACAGTCCCAGGGACAAGGAGAGACCACAGCTTAGTATTACTGAGGACCTACCAATCTCGAAAACCCTTCCATAGTCCCACGACCTACCAGGCTCTTCCATGTGGACGATGATCCAGTTGAAAGCCACCTCGGCCCCCATGTTGCCAGTGAAGTACACAGCCTTCCGACACGCTTCTAGAGGGAAGCCCATCTCGGCCAGCTGCATCACCGATGACTCATCAATGTCCGAGGCTGCAGGCACAAGAAGATACTCAGATGTGAAAAAGTAAACTCTGCATTTCCTCTGGTCCTAGTGGCCCTTCACCCCCTTGCCCACCTGTTACCCAAAGAAGCTGCTATTTTGGGGGGTGTTAGAGGGTGGTTTTACTTGTCTGAACCCACTTAAGTACTAAACTATTTGATGGGAGAAATAGCACCACTAGGTGAACATCAGTAGCCAAGTCAAGATTTCCATTCAGGCCTGGGTGGCTTTCACACTAATGGTCACGCTCCAGAGCTGCTCGGGCACTCAGGGCAAGTCTCATTACATCACACTCCTTACGCCACTCTCCTTACACTGGCTCACATTTGCTCCTTACCCAACTTGCAGACAAAGAATTGTTCCCACCCGGGAAGGGCTTCACATACACACAAACAGAACAGTGCCTCCGGACGACAGTGTAACAGACAGCGCTGTCACAGAAAAACACGTCAGACTAAAAACAACTGCATGACACCCAAACACATTTTAAAAGGTACATACGGTCTATCAGTTGGTTCATCAGACGATCTGAAAATTAAGGGAGAAGGGAGAAAATGAGACCAAGCCAATCCATGTCAATGAGTTGAACTGAAAGTAAAACCATAGATCCAAAGCATTCCCCAACTCCCTCAACCCTGAGGACCCCACATAGACCATCTCAGCCTGCACAACACAAGGTCTTTAAAACAGTGAGGGAAAAGAACAGGTTTTAGGCATTTAGAACTGATAAACCATAATGTTTAGATTGGCATCTTAACAAACTAAGTAATTTCTCTGGCTATATTTCTAACTCTGCATAATTACAACCAAGGATTCTGTTTTTGAACATTACAAAAAGGGGTACTAATAAAGCAGCTTGTGTGTCTCTGGTGCTTGTGCACCTCCTTTCTCTAACCCCCGTAAGGAGGTCACTTAGGTCCCTAACTCCTGCTCACAGGACCCAGAGGGTCTCATGCACAGTTCCTGTTTCTGGTCTGTCTCTGCACGTTAGCATCTGACCTCCGGCTGGAGAACAGTACAACAGACAGGCCATCGTTCTCACATCCCATCTGGCTCCTGTGGACTTCCTTACTCTTCTTTGGCACCAAATATCACCAATAACACTGGGCCACTGATGGGAAGCCTTCGGCACAGAGGCCCCGGAGTCCCCTCTCATTATTAGCTAATTTACCTGACAACTCATTAGGAAGACAAAAAGTAAACAGTTGAGCAAACAAAGCCAGAATGAAGCTGATTTCAATCGAATAACTACCTGAGCTAATAATTAAACCAAGGATTTCCTGACATTATTTTTAAACCTGCAAAGACGAAAGTTTTTTCATGAGCTTTTCCTGTTTAAAGTTATGTATTCTTAACAATGACCGACTTGAACAGTCACAGAGTAAACAAGAAACTCAAACCAGTCCCCTGCTGTGAAGCAATAACAAAACGGGGCGGCGGGGAGGGGATGGATGATCAAGCCTTTTAAAATCACCACGCCCTATTGAATTTCTTTTTTCTGGTTGTCCAAGAATAACACAGCCTACTGTTATTTAGTAGACCTAAACTAAAAGCTTACTGAAAAAAATACTCTTATTCTTCTCAGTAGGGGGGTAAACATTTTTCTTCATTTCCCATTTGAAGGAAGCAGAAACGGGAAGAAGCCAAAGCCAGAGGCCACATCATCTAAAAACTGTCCATTCCAACTATTCATGCCGGGTCTGTGCCTCTTACAACGTGAAGTCTAAGTTTACAGCTGCAGCCACACCTCAGAGCTGTGCGTCTATGCAGGGTCACAGCACAGGAATCCATCCAAGGAACCAGTAAGAGGCGGAGTAAAGTGACTGCTCTGTGCAGGAGGGTGGAAGGAGAGAACATCCTCCCGGCGGAGGGACACAGTACCTTTTGAGTCATCAGGAATGACTATGGGGGGGCTGATGTCCGGAAGTTCCTCCTCTCCCGGCTGTAACCCTCTGGCTCGGAGATGGTTGATATCAAGGAGATCTGGCATATCAATAGAAACATCTGCAAAATGAGAGAGATTATATGGACCAGACTCTCCATAAGCTTACAACCATTTTAAAACCAGCACTACAAACTCTACATGCGTGTATCGAAGCAGAGCTAAAGGAGGCTTTTCCGCATATACATCCCAGGACCAGGAGCGTCACTAGACTAACGAAAGATTAATGGAGAGTCTGGCGAAATACAGAGGGCGGCAGGATTTCACACCAAACAAGAACAAATCAGTTCAGCCTCAGGCCACAGACTGCAGCCCGTAGATCATTTGTGGCCCCGACACATTCTGCCTGATCTTTTTAAAGGTTAGCAATATGTTCCAAGTTTTAAATAAGTAGGTTTAATTTACAAATTCAGTTTCCAGCTTATTTCAAAAACCATAAAGCTGGAACACATTCTTCCCTGGGAACAGCTGTCTAGAGCTGATCTTCAACGTGCGGCCTGTAAGTCTGCAACAGTCTGGCACAGACCCTCTGCTCCCCGTCACCCTACAGTGCTGAGCATCATACTTGTGCTATTCTGAGGCTTAGGGCAGAGAAGTGTTTTTCGATGTATTTAACCAGAGTGGGACTATCCAAGCAAGATCAAGATGGCTATGTACTTCTCATACCCAGTTTACTTCTTACATATACTATGACCACTCTAAGGTGATAAATGAAGTTAAAAAAAATTCACTGGATTTCAAGTGTATTAGTCCTTGGAATACATTTTTAAAACCTACTGACTCAGTTATCCTTATGTTGACTCTCTCAAATTCAAATTTATCAGCCTAGCAGCATGTCAGAATTTAGTACCAGGCATATTCAGATAAGATAATAACTAAAAATAGATTCAGATGCTGGTGCAGGATATGTCTTTCGGACTATCAAAGAAAACCTGAAAAATATTGTCCCCCAAATCTTGTATAATGCCAGGTATATAAAATCATATTTTAAAACATCAAACCAAAGAACAAAGCTAAGCTTTAAAACATTTTCAATTTCAGGGGGTTAGCAAAACCAAACATAAGGTCTGACCAACAAAATTGATATAAATGTTCCTCAAGGGAAAGATTCAGGTTCAATAAAAAGTTTAGGTTGAGCTTTGGGACTCTTCTCAATTCAATAAGTCAATGAAATCTGATTCAAATTTTTGTTCTTTTATAGAAATCTCAAGGACAAAGAAAAATAAGAGAACTCTTTTTCAAAGCTGCTCAAAGCCATCAGAACAAGTCAGGTACTTCAAGATTCTCTCGGGGACCTGCAGAGTGCTTGGGGGGATCAGCATCCTGCCCTCAGGGCCCTCTGTCCCCAAGTCTATCACCGCAGCAAAGCGGGGCCTCCTGCAGCACCAGGACAGACCAGGACAACTTCCACAGCAAAGCCCTGTGTACCCAGAGCGCCAGGGTCTCCTGGGAGGTCTCTCCAGCTGATTCTACGTCCTTCTTACCCCTCCCCTTCAGTGAGTGCTCTGTGAACCGTAAGACTTGCCTTGTCTGGCTTTATTTTGTTTCCCTGAGGGTTCAAAAACAAAGACTGTGAGACTGACAGTCTGAAGTATTTTCTCAAGAAAATACTTCCGCTGCACTGAGGACAGCCCAGGAGCTCTGTGCTCAATCACAGTGGTGGAAAACACGGCCGGTTGTGTATTGTCTGAAAGGTGCGCCTTTAAAATTAGCAAGAAGCAAGCGCAGTGAAGCCAAAATCACATTCCTTTTTGACTGCTTAGTGCCACTGTTTTTATCTTAGTATGGGTAAAATCTGTATGATTTATGTGAATCTCCTTAGCTGCACCTGCCTGCCTCAGAGGCAGAGTTCATCTTCAACTACTTGCCACTCCAAGTGTGGTCTTTGGGCCAACATTCCCTCAGAGCCTGTCAGAGATAGAATCTCAGGGCCCGCCCCCGCAGACTGCCAAATCAGCATCTGCATTTTACCAAAATCCCAGGCCATTTGCATGCACAGTGCCACTGGGCAGGTGCCGTTTATTTGCCAATGTGGGATCGGGCTTTCGCTCTTAGAATTCAGTCATTCTTGGAGAGGAGGCTAAGCAGGTGGTAATGTGTACTGTCAGCGCTCACCATACACTCTGATTTGAAACAGAAAGGTGGGACTGACGGAGAGAATGAATGAAATGGAACTGTTTGTGGCAGAGCTACCCGGGCTCCTTCACAGTCAGGGCTTTCAAATGGTTAGCTTGATGTTTTAAGCAAAAACATGCAAAAGGTACCTACCAAATTTTTTGGGAACCCAGTCAAGACCAAAAGTGAACTTCTTTATCTGCACTACCAAGTATTCGGGGAATGAGGCAAAGCGAGATGTTCTGAGAAACACAAGGGGAGTATATCAATCAAACACGGCAAAAAGAATGGCGAATACAGTTCACAAAGTACAACAAGCGCTGTGGGAAGCCCACCTTGTAACCCTGAGGGTCAGCCCAAGAAGAGGGACACACGCAGTCGCACAAGCACGCACACACGCGTTCATTCCTACTCGCTTGTCCCGGCCGCTCCACAAGCAGAAAATGTTTTACTGTGGGAGAATGCTGTCCCTTCAGAGTGATTTGGGGCCAATTTCAAAACTACTACTTTTACTTTGCTGTGACATTTTATACTTCCATTTGCTTTGCTAAAATCCTTGTTGGAATTTAGAGTGTATATTTATAGATCTTTATAGGCAGCGTCCGTAAAACTCTGCAAGTGGCCCTGAAACACCACCTCCCTCCTCTCCCCTACCCAGAAGCACTCTGGCAGCACAGAGGTGGAAGAGGTACAGTTGGGTTTTTTTTTGGTTTTTTATTTTTGTTTTTTTTGGTACCAGAAACCGAACTCAGGACTTGTGCTTGCCAGGCAGGCACTTGTGCCGCTGAGCTAGATCCCTGGCCCAAGAAGTACAGTTTGACTTTGGTTGAGGCTGGCTACTGGAAATGCCAGGACCTTATGAAATACTAAATACACAGTCACATGATCTTCAGAGTAGCTATGTTATGGCAATCTCTGGTAAAATATCTAAATCTGATTCTTAAATTTTAAAGTTAATACATATGTACAATATCTTGAGTTTGATTCAAACCTTTAGGAAGGCCAAATACCAGGAGCTGGGTTTGACAATTTTACACAACAATTACTTCATTTGTAAATGAAATTTATACTTGTTCTGACCTAATTCATGACGTATTAATCATCTTAGTTTAACACTACTTCTATTTGACTATTAATGAGTGGTGGGTATACGTAAAGAAGAAAATGACCTGTAGACAGGTACTACACACACCTTTTATATGAAAGATTCTGGAACTCCCTCGGCCAAAGTCCACTTTTCAAATCTGAGCTACTGCCTTCTATTTGGAATGCAGAGGGCGGGAAATTCACAAAGCAAATGCAAATGCACTGCTGCCCCCTAGTGTAAAGGAGACGCTATAGCGGGCAAAGCATGGACAAAAAAGTAGAAACATGTGAATACACTCTTTTAATTCACTCAAATCTGGGTAAATCACTGACCTCCTGAGGCTCCGCTTTTACATCTAAAAATCGGACTTACTAATGACATCTACTTCCAGAGCTATACAATGTTCGTGAAATAATGTAAAACCTTTCGGCACACTAGAAAGAACGGCGTACACCTAAGGAATCAGAATGAATTCTGTCAACCCATGAGATTTTGGACACTGAATTGGTCTGTTATTCACCTGCATTACATCCCAGAAAAGCTAAATAACTTCTCTACAATGCAAATTCTCCATCCACAAGGATGGAAGAAGGGTCTAGGCAATAGCGTAAGGGAGCTTTGTCATCCTAAGAAATTATTATCCTGGCTCTCTCTCTCCAGAAATTTATGTTATCTCTAACTGGGTTTTCCAACCTTTGGGAAGTGGTAACTAGCATCACCCTTATTTAAATGTAGCCAAGTCCTCAATTTCACCATCTGGTATTATGAGACTTTCAACTAATGTAAAAACTACCTTTCTAACCTTCTCTTCTTAGTTAACTTAAAATCTGGAAATATATGTAACAGTGAAATCAACCAAAGTCATCAGGACACCAGTGAGTTGTAAAATGTGATGCAGGAGCCCAGGAGTCCTGCTGCTGGTCCGTGGTGGTCAGTATCCAGGGGAAGGTCCAGTACCAGGGGAGGGAGAGGGGACAAATGTGTGCTCGGAGCAAGGATGGACAGTAATTTACTCCATCATGCTGTGATGGGCAGCCACCAGCCAAAAAGCACGAGAAAGCAGACTCGATGGTTCCCACGCTGTGCTTCCCCTATTAGGTAAACATTCTTTATTCACCTCTGAAACCTCCATGGGGGCTTAAATTGAATCATACATGTAGTAACTGCTCAAAACATATATGTTCAAATTAATCTAGAAAGTGGTATTTTGCACTTATTAATAACAGTTTGGAAATATCGTTTGTTCATCAAATCCAGGCAAAATCAGAAATTATGTTCTGCAGGTTCTTTTATTCTTAAAATTCCTGGAGTTACAATTTTTCTTACAAAGCTATGCATTTTTAGGAAAGGCTATCAGACTGTAAATCATTCAACAAGGGATTCAGGCACATCCAACCCATGGCCCATAGGGTGCTCACCTCTGTTTGGAATGTTATAACAAAAAATTTTTTTTTAAAAAAGGAAATTTTGTTATTTATATATATTAACTATGTCACATATTTTACGTGCAACCTAAGTCAATTCTTTTTCACTCAATGTGGGCCAGGCAAGTCAAAAGGCTGGCTACCCCTAGATGGATAACCAATGTATTTCAAAAAGTTGTTATGGTAATTAAATGAATTAAGACATCTAGAGTGTCTAGAATAATCCCAACAACACTACTGTGTTTTCTATTGACAATCTATTAACATTGTTTAAAATATGACAATTGGGGGCTGAGGATTTAGCTCAGAGGTACAGTGCTTGCCTAGCAAGCACAAGGTCATGAGTTCGACTCCCGGTACCCGAAAAAATATATAAACAAAATAAAATAAAATATGACAATTGCTCACTAATTATAATTAAGGCAAAAATACCATGCAGACTTTATTAAGAAAAATAAAATACCACCCATCCCTTTCTCTGAAATTATTAAGACTGTCTCTGTATTGAAAACCTGGCCACCATAAACAAATATGAACAAAAAATATGGTTCTACACTTTCTACTAAATATGCTGAAAATATGATAATCCAGCACACTCAAATCATACACTCTCAAGAAAAACAAGAAGAAACCGAACGATAATAGTAGTAGCAATTGCATCCCGCAGTTACTCCGTGCCAGGCACTGTGTGAGGCACTTAACGTGGCTTAGTTCCTTTAATCTCCACCTCAACTGTAAAGAAAGCACTTCCTTTGTCCCCCACTTAGAGATAAGGAATGTGAGGTCACTTGGGCAAGGTCACGCGCCAGTAAGTTCTGGAATGGAAACTCAGAGGCCGCCGACCTAACCCACGGAGCATGTGCTCCGAACCCACGCCGTGCTCTTCTCCCCATGAACACTAAAAGGGAAGTGAAAATCTCTCCCTCTGAACCCTTTAGCTGGGAGCTTCTCAGGGCAGGCAGCAACCAGGTCTTGTCTAGTTCACTGCCTAGAATACACTAGGTGGGCTACCATTCGCTGAGTGAATGAATGTTCCAAACACTAATGTTCTTCCCAGATGCCATCTGTTCAGAATCATTTTAGGAAAAGATAATTAAATCTGGTCTGTAATTACCAATTTACATTGGTCTCTCTCATGAGAGCCAAGATTTTTAAGACATTGTTTGCCCTTTCCTGGCCTTTCAGGCTTCAGATCTAACAAAAAGAAAACTTCAAGATCCCAAATTATCAAATGTAGACTGAGTTATAGCCTACAATGCTGAAAATAAACAGTTTTTAGGAATCCACTGGGTTGTTTTTCCCCAAAACCAGTACATGGAAAATGATAAAGCAAAATAAAGAATAAGCAAGGCTACCACAGGATATAAGATAAGCGTAAGAAATGTGGGGGTCCTATATACCACAAAAATTAAGAGTTTAACCCTCAAACTCAATCAGAACTGAATGAATCCCAGATCTGTGACTTAGTGGCCAACTACTTCTCCTCTGATTCCTTCATCAGTAAAATGGGAGAATAATGGCACCACCTCACATTCTAAGAAGATTAAATGCAATACTTCATGGAAAATGCTTAAGGACTGCTTCATGACCTGGCAGTAAGTATAATAAACGATAGCTGTTTTACTTCACAAGGACTATTTTCTCAATTATTAACAATCATGGTACACGTCATACTAATGTTTTCATGTATATATAAAACGTATATGGAGCTGGGCATGGTGGTACCCACCTATAATCCCAGCACTCTGGGTGGCTGAGGAAGGAGGATTTCAAGTTCAAGCCAAGTCTGGGTAACTTAGCGAAACCCTGTCTCAAAATTTTAAAAAGGGGGCGAGAGGGTGGCTGGGCATGCAGCTCAGTGCTAAGGCCCTGGGTTCATGTTCAATCCCACCCCCAGTACCACAGAGGAGGAGGAGGAAGATGAAGAGGAGGAAGAGGAAGCATGTGGAAGGATATGTATGCATTCAGACAAAACAGGGAAATCGTGCTTAATATCGCCTTTAAAGACTGTAAATAGCAGAAGCTCCTCTTGCTCACGAATACTAGGTAGTTAGGTCAGCACTCAAGTGCTGTGTAGTGCTGCAGAGAAGTTCAGGGCAGCAAGCGCATCCCTCCATGACAGACAGAAGGACACTGGGCAGTGAATTTGTCCAGGACACAAGATAAGAGGGAAAGTGGACAGAAGAGAAGAATCAGGATTTCCCTGACCACTAGCCCACTGCTCAGGGAATCTGCCTGTGGAAAGCTAACTCTTCCCAGCCTCATTTTAAAGATGGGCCTTTCCCACATGTTGACCAGGCTCCGTCCTGGCAAGGCACATGCAGAGGTGGTTAGGCAGACCCGGAGAGGGTGCCGCACACAGGACTGTGACGCAGGCCACTGTTGTACAGAGCAGAGAGGGGTGGCCTGCGGTCAAGGAAAGGAGAACATTTCCACTCCCCACTAGGGGCTTTCTGGGCTCTCAGATCTTATGATCACTTCCCACCTCCCACAGGGAATCAGAATAAAATCACAAAGAGAAAACAACAATGTTTGAAGCAATATTGAACCCATTGTTAATGACTGAATAAATTATTCCCATCACTAAGAAGGTGGGTGGATTCTAACTGTTCAAAGGTCTCTCCTCTTGCAATGACATGTATCTCTCACATTCAGCCCACCAACTCACCAACTGTTACCTGCAAGGACACAAACACACACCCAGGCACACGCACAACACACACAACACACACAGACGCCCACACACCCCAGCTGGGCAGTCTGCCAGTAAAAACTTTCCCCAGGATGAACAACCAATCACTGAATGAATTCTACTCATCCTCCCTGAAATATGGTTTTTTAAATTACTCTTTCAAATATGGCTTTTTTAATGTTTAAACTAAACTGTTTCGTTCCCCATTTATAATATATGAACCCTCTAGTCCGAAACAAAACAGAATCCAGACGGACGAGCGCTGCAGAGAATAACCTGGCTTTGGCTTGAGTGCTGCTTGAGGTTATGGTGACAGCAGCAAGCAGCAGCCTCCTCCCTTCCTTCCCGTCTCCGCCAACTGAGAACTCAATCTTTGCCTCGTAGAAGCAGCGCCAAAGAAGATCTCAAAGTAATGCAGTCGCTAGAGCCAAACTCAGACCTCCTCTCCTTTTATGCCACCTTAAAGATTCTTTTTTCCAGTAAGGTGCGGCAGTGCAAAGTGTGCTGGCCCAGACTGCATCAAATCAGTTAGAGCACTAAGTAGGGGAGAAAAAAACACCAGCCTCATGATGTAAACACAAGGCATCTCCTAAATCCTCAGCGGCTCGTGGGAACAGGGCTCACATGGTTTTGCTTCCACTTTGAGATGTCCCAAAACTCCTGGTCTTCAAGGAGGAACACAATCAACGGTGTGCTGTACCACATCTTGGTTACACAGTTAAAAGATGCCACGGTGGAATCTGAATAGTAAAGCCTGCCATAAGTAGTTTTATTGTGTCTTCATGAACAATCATTCTTACCCATTGGGGATAGAAATGTTGGCTGCACCCTCCAAAATAAAATAAAATAAAATTTCCTAATAGAGGCTAAAACACAATTTGGCATTCTTAAAAGTGGGCTGGGGGGGGAGCATCTCCTCTCTAGCACATAAGATAAAAGTATAAGAGCTTGTCCCATTGGATGGGCCTCACAAAAGTGAAGTCTATGGCAAAGAGTGTGTGCAAATCATAATCCCACGCTACCACACATGAACAACCAAGCACAGGACACCCCAGCCCTCTCCACACCTTGCAAAGCCTCCCCACCCCGCTACCTCCACACACTCACTTCACACCCGCGGACTTTGCCTGTAGGGCGCTGCTCCAGAAATCGTCGACATTTTCTGGTTCCGAAAAGGCCTGAAGGCAGGCACTGAATGGTATCTTGGCGCGCACCAGTTCAGGGAGGGGTCTTCTGTTTGCTTCTGCCTCCCTTCTCGTTAGTTCATAGGCAATCAGTTCATCTGAGGAAAAAAGTACCTGAATGAGCCGGCACCTGCCAGTTGCTCTTATTTACCTGAAATAAAAAACACTCTCTTTGGACGATCTTCTCTGGAGGCTTCTGGCTGGGCCAGGGTGGCTCTCTCCTTCCCAGCCCCGATCTGGATGTGCCTGCAGAGATGCTGTTCTTGGGGTGATCTTTGGAGCCAAAACAATTTGCATGTGAAACCATGGCCAGGACCCTCCACTGTCTCCACCGTGTGACGCAGAAAGGGGTGTAAACTGTCAGCAGATCAAATCTTGCCAATGATCAGACATAACACACAAACACAAAAAAAACTAATAAAAACATTTGTTAATTTAATCTGTCCTAAAATAAAATGATAAATAGAAGTGGGGAAACAGCTAAAAATAAAAAGAACTACCGCTGAGCCCTTGGCAATGCCCAAAGCCAGTGTTACACATTTTCTGATTTAGTACCACCAGCTACGATCACCGGTCATGGGTTCCAAGTGCTGTGGGACTAAGATGATATATAGATATGAGGACTGCAGTTATCCACCATCTCACATCCCATAATATAGCCAACACTGCAAGACAGCTTCTTGTGGAGGCTACCAGCAGCTAAGGTATCAGAGGGGCCACTCTGTAAGGTCGTTCTACCCAATCCCTACTTAAATGATCAAATGTTAAGGAAAAAAGAAATGAATATGCCATGAACCTCCCAAGAGGGAGGAAACTAGCTGTAGTTAAATTTTTATATATATTTTGAATAACCTCTCCAGCCAATTATTTTTATTACCAAACAACAAACATACAGAAAAAATCACTCCTGATGTTATCAGTTTTTAAGCACTTCTATGCACTTAGGTATTTTTCCACAATGCCTCTCAACAGCTTTTAAAATTAATTCCCTAACCTACAGTTTACGATTTACTGATCTGAAGATGCTAATATTAGCTGTTCCTACCAAATTCCAGAGACTAAATTATAAATATCTTTTCTAAACAAAAAAGTCGCTATTCATAATAAAAAGTTAGAAAGCACAGAACTGTAAAAGTGGTCAGAATAAGAATGGATTCACTTTTGGCAAAACCTAACAATAAAGGCAAATAAATAATGCCAGGAAGCTATGAAGAGGGGATCTTACACTTATGTCTAATGATACGACTATGACAAAGGACCGTCAGAACTACAACCTTGCACAAAGGTCACTGCAATCTTGTGAAGAAAATACTTCCGTAAGGAGGACTGTCCAGCAAGTGTCTGTTCATCTTTGAATCAGTGCCAGTCCTGTTATTGATCCATGACACTTTTATGCCACCTAATCTTGAATGTTAATTTGACTGCATTAAAGAGACTCCTGGAGAGATAAATGGACAATGGGGGCGCTGTATTCATCATTGGATTATCCAAAGAATGTCATAATTGAATCTGCCCTTAGCAAGCAGGGCTCAGTTGGAGGTGGGTCACCAAGGTTGTACCTTTGGTTTATCCCCTGCTGGGTGCTCTTCATCTATGCTCTGCTTCATCATCACCATAAAATGAGCAGCTTCACTTTACCATGCCCTTCTATCATGACGTTCCCGCACTGGTGCCAGCAAAACAACATGGACTGAAACCTCTGGAACCATGAGTCAAATTAAACCTCTCCTCCTTTACACTGTAGGTATTGGGAATTTTGGAAAAATACCAATACCAATACAGAAAACTGGTACCAGGAATGAGGTTGTTCCTGTGACCTGACTATGTGGTTCAGACATCTTTGGAACTGGTTTGTGAGGGAAGTTTAGAAAGGCATGGGATGTGTGATAGAGATATCATAGGATGCTGCAAATAGAGTTTGATGGACAAATCTGGTAAGATCTCAGAAGACTAGAATACCTTTAGGAATCTGGACAGTAAAGGCAGGCTTATGAGGTTCCACATGGAAATGAGGATTCTATTGTGAACTGGACTAGAGGCCATGCATGTTACACTCTGGAAGAAAAAAACAAAACAAGAAACAAAAGAAGAAAAACTATGTTTCTCCCACGTCCCAAGACTTTGTGGGAGGCTGGAATAATTGATGTAGTAGAGGAATCTTCAAGGCAATCCAGTGTTCAGGTTGTGGCATAAGTGCTGCTGGCTGCTTTGAGCCAATGTACAGTGGGAATCAGGAGCAAAAGCAGGTCAGAAAGATTTGGGCAGGCGGGGAGTGGGGGAAAGGAAACATAAAGACGTGGCCAAAAGAGGTGGAGTTACCAAAGAGATTGGTTCCTTTAAAAAGAAACTGAACACTTGTACACAATCAAGAACAAAAACACTCTGAGGGCATCTCAGGAATCAGGAAGATACTACCCATTGCAGGCTCAAGGGTACAAAAGTATAAACCTTTCATTTGAGAAGAAAGCCCCTGGGCTCACTTCTCCAGAAGGATTTGACTTCTCAGGATTTATTTCATCACACTCAGTCATTCAAGCCCTCAGAAGCTACTGCCATTGAGGTTCAAGGGGCCTGGTTACAGCTCAAGCTGGCAGCAGATCTGGGCACCATTCACATGATTATGGTTCTACAGGCATGCAGAGTGCAGGAACGATGGGGTCATGCAGGTTTCTACCCAGATTTCAAATGGAGGCCTGTAGACCCAGGAAATTTAGGGCAGGGTCATCAGCATCCCTGCCAGGGGTCCCTGAGATGACAATGCATGAAGCTATGGGAGTAACGCGGAAGCTGAGCTGGAGACCTTAGGAAGTCGGAAGTGCCAGGGATGTGGAAACTCCACCAAGAAAAGTTGCAGACAATGAGCAAAGCCAGCCTGAGAGAGAGACTCTGTGGGCTGCAATTGGCAAGGCCATAGGATGAGGCTGCCCATGTCTTCTGTGACTTACATATTACCACTCTGTGCTCAGATGCTGGACATGAAACTACAGAACTTAATGTTTGCCTTGCTGGGTTTCAATCTTGCTTTCCTCCCTTTCCTCCCTTTGGGAATGGTAATGCTTAACCTGTACCATTGTATAATGGAGAAATATAATTTTCTTTTCTAAAATTTTACCAGGGTTCACTACCTTGAGTTTGCCTTCAGTCTCAGAGACTTTGGACTTGGACTTCTGAGTAGTGCTGCAACTGCGGAGACTTTAGGGAAAGGGTCATTGCATTTTAGTTGTACCCAGGATAGTTACAGCATGATAGGCAAAATAAGGACCTTGTCATTGTGTTTTTTTGAAAATGAAGTATGGCTGAAGGAGATGTAATTGGGTGTCAAGTTGATAAGGTGTGGAATTCGGCCAGTCAATCTCAGTTGGCAACTCGACTGGACTAAGAGATGAGAGAGGTGACTGAGTGATGGGAGAGCTATATTTATCACTGGGTCCACCCACTAATCTCATAGCTGAATGTGCTGTTTCGAGGTGGGGCCCACTTACAAGGGGGTCACGGATGGCTTCCTGTGGAGGGTATGTCTCTCACTGGCACTTTTCCTTGTGTTGTCCTTCCCAGCTTCCATGAAGTGAGTAGCTTCACTCTGCCATGCTCTTCCACCATGTCGTTTCTGCCATGGAACCAGTTGACCATGGACTGAAACCTCTGAAACCATCAGCCTAATTAAAGCTCTCTTCTTTAAGTCATTGGTGCTGGTTTTGTTCCAGCAATGGGAAAGTTGGCCAGTGAACACCTGTGATCAATCCTTGTGGCCATCAATTATTTATCAAAACAAGTAATTCTCGTTTTCCTTTAAAACTTCTCCTTGCAAAGCAGGAAGGAATATATATATATACACACACACAGAGAGAAGATAGCTAAGATAATTGTACTACTCGTTTCTATTAGTTTATTGAAAAGAACAGTTAGTTTATGTTGTTTGATCCATCTTACGTGCCTATATCTGGTAATCTGTGCAATTACTTAGAAGATAACAATATGCAATATAGCAACCATTGTTAATTTCCTATCATCTTGTTTTGAAATTCTATATAGTTTTTATTGTTCTTTTATTATCTTTAAAATTAAAAAAGGAAAAATAGAAGTATTTACAAATACAAAAAAACCTTCTCCTTGCTTTAACATCTTTGAATACTGTTATGATTTATTTCTAGATGCCCCCCCCAAAAAACCCTCGCGTGGTCACCAGTGGAGCTTTTGAAGGGTGACTGGATTAGGGAGGTCATAGCTGACTTGCTGTTGAGAGGGAGGGTCTGGCTGGAAAGGGTGGGTCACTGGGGACACTGCTTGGAAGGGTTTATCTCCTTTCCCAGCTTCTCCCTCGACTCTCTGTACTGCTCCACCTCCACGTCATGAACAGCTCTCTGCGATGCCCCGGGTCATCCTGCCTTGGAGGCAGCCAATTATGGACTGAAATGTGAGCCAAAGTAACACTCCTTCCTGAAAGTGAGGGTGTAAGGTATTTTGTTCTGCCAAGAAAAGTTTACAAACGCATATGTAGTTTACTTACAATGCCCTTTGCAAAGCTACTCTCAAATAAATTTATCAGTCTCCAGAGACTCTCTCTCTCTGATTTAGAGGAGACACATAAATCAGTAACCCTGAGGCAATTAACCTTAGGAAGTGAAACAAACCACAAACTCAGCCTCCTTATTTCTACCTTTATAATGGGTAAGAATTTGAAAACTGGTCAAAAGCAGTATAAGCTTATAGAAGATGGGAATAATTTCATCATAAAATCATCATAACCACGGCTTTCCAATTAGCATTATAAATCAAGTTCCCACCAGAGGAAAAGAAGATAGCCAAAGAAGCTCTGAACTTTACAAAAGTGACCAGTTTCCAAGAGATGAGCAATCCAGCATCTACTTTTTCCTTTTTCTTATTCTGAGATAACATATTAATTCTTAAAAATACCACTTGTCTGTCCCACCTGGGAAGGACTAGATCAAACAACAGACCGAGAAGGAACCGTTCCCTGAGAACCCAACATAGCTGCCTCATCTCTCTCGGGCTTCTTCTCCCTTCCAAGGTCCAGAGGCCCCTCTAGTGGGCTTCATTCCTACAGAGTGTCTTGCCACGACCTATCTCCCATGAGTGGCACCTTAAACACCTGGATGCTAGAGCTGAATTATTTCAAAAGACATCTGCTTGAATGTCTAACATCAAAAAATGCAGTTGTGATTATTTCCCTCCAACTTTATAGTGCAACTTATGAGCGATGCTGAAGAATCTTCTGCATGTATCATTATCAACAATTTCCGCCCAAACTACACTGACTCCAATCCAACTAGCTGGCCAAATTTATAAGCATTAAAGTAGGTTCTACCCATAAAACTTGCAAGGTAGTTAATTCTTCTCAGAAGTCGCATGGGGACTAAGGAAAAGATGAAAAGAGATGTACAAACCAGGTATTTTTTCATTTCAGCTAGGTCCACTCCTGATTCCACCCTTGATCTCCAATGAGGGGTTTCCCATAGGAAGACACACATGACTACTTTTCTGCTCTGGAACCATTACCTTTGTTGGTTGCTGCCTCCATGGCCACAGGTAACTGCATCAGGTAATCCACCCTCTCTGTGTAGCGCACTTTTCGGGTCTGGCAACACTGAATCCGTTCTTCCACCAAAAACCGGAAAACATCACTTGGGTTTTCGGAGCCGATGCGATTTCTCTGAAGGTTGGATTACATTTAGTTAACATAGGGATATTGTGTCATGAATAACAGCTAGCATAACATCAGCTACAAATGTAGTTTAAAGATCTGGCTTTACTAAACACTTCCTTTGGACATGACAGTTCACCAGAGCACTTCCATAGCAAAACACTGAAATCTATCTGAAGTCCAGAACTGGGGGTTTGGGTTAAATAATTGTGGTTCATCTGTGAAGCAATATTATGCCGCCATTAAAAATCACAGGGAAGGGGCTGGGGATTTAGCTCAGCGGCAAAAGCGCCTGCCTGGCAAGCGCAAGGTCGTGAGTTCGGTTCCCGGTACCGGAGAAAAACCAAAAACCAAAAAACAAAACAAACAAACAAAAAAAAAATCACAGGGAAGGGGCTGGGAATATAGCTCAGTGGAATCGCGCCTGCCTGGCAAGCATGAGGCCCCAAGTTCGATTCCCAGTACCACCAAAAAAAAAAAAAAAAAAGTCATGGGGAGAAGGACTGACATATATGGAGTTAGAAGAAAGAAGAGACAAGAGCCAAATGCAAGATAGAGGGGAAAAATAAAGGATTGTCGTGGGAAAATTAAGGCGTGGATGATATAACCATATAAATGCAGGTAAATTATATTCAAGTAAAAAAATCACCCTGTATTAGAAGATGCAATGATGTGGCAACATGCTCACAACAGATTAGGAGAAATCACTGTTTTAAAAACAACATACAGAAAAGTCACATATAGCCTGGGAAAGGACTGGAAGGGTCAAACACCACAATGTTAACCAGTAGTTTAAAGGAGTTGCTATTAACGGAGGGGGAGGGGCAAGGGGGCGTTGCCAGTGAGTTTCTCTTTTACTTTTTCCACAAAGAATACTCTTATAATGAAAGGGGGGTGGTGGTTAAAGGAGTAAAAAGGTTTTGCTGAGGAATTTTTGGTGAATTTTTAAAAATATAGTGTTTAATGTGATCCAACTTCATTGTGAGCCAAGTGTGATCATCTCCGAGGGGTGGCAGGAGGACATCATGTTCCCCATGGTGCTCTCACAGTGCTTTATCCATAGATCCAAAATCTTAGCCAGTGAGTTCACTGACAAGCATTCCTGCCATGTGCACAGATTAAAAGAAGTACAGGAGACCCACCAGCACCTAGAACCCAGGGCGTTAGAAGCCATACTATCAAGCGCACTGAGCAGAAAGAGTTGCTAGCAGCCCGGTGAGAGACCAGGGCCTGGAACGGGGGGCCTGTTGGGATCTGCTCAAGCCAGAGAGGAGGAGGTCGGTGCCGAGCACGCCTCACAGTGCTCTGAGCTTTTCCGAAGACTTACCTCTACAAGATTCACCAAATGCAAGAAAAATTCCTGGGCATCTTGCTGTCTGTTGGAGGAGAACTCCGGGTGGCTCTTGCTGACGAAGGCCTTAAACATGCGTGGAGAGATCCCATTCTGTTGAGGCTAAAGTATAAAGATAAAATAGACTTACTACACACTCATCTCAATAACAGCCCCAAGGGGCTAGCAGAGCAGACCTTACCATAAACCCCATTTCTCAGAGGAAACTACTGAAGCCAAAAATCAGGTAGCTCCTGACCAGGAAGGGCCAACATTCCCTGGAGGCTTATCATGTCCCAGGCACTACACCACGACCAGGATGGGACTCCTCCTGCGCACTCCAAGCTAAGTAGAGTCGGGGAGAAATACTCCACTTTCTAAAAAAAGGCACAAAACCCATCCTCTCAGAAACGCTACTCAGGAGCCAAACTGCCCTATCCCAGCCCATGTAAGGGCCCACGAGAGACAGGTTATGAAGGAGGAGCCGTGGGACGGAAGCTAAAGGAGAGGAGCACTCTGTAGCACCCACTCGAGCTTCCCTGAGGTAGAGGATAATACCCCTGGGAAAGGTGAGAATGCTCCCAAGACAGAGAAATAGCATGGCGTGGCCCAGGGAGCTGCCGCAGGGCTGCTCAAGCTCCCAATGTACAAGCAGCTGTGGGCAGCTTGCAGGGCTTTTGCCCCTCACCTGGAGAAGCAGGAAATGGGCTGTAGCTGCAAGGATGGCAGCGCCAAGAGCAGACGGCAGGGGCAACTCTGGCCAAACAGGTTGCTAAATTTCCCTCGGGGCCAAAGGGTAGCTCAGAATGCAGCCAGGTTCCCCTAAAAAGGAGTCCACACAAGCTGGCGGGCTGTCGCCAGACAAGGAAGCCCAGAACAAGACCCAGAGGGTCAGCAGGACAGGGCACCAGGGGAAGATCCTTGTCAGGTCACTGAGGTGGCAAGTGAGGTGGTGAGTCGAGGAGCATCTCTAAAGGGCCACAAATGGTTCCCCTCAAAAGACCAGCCATGACATGGCCTGCCACATGGCAGCCAAGGGGGAGCCAAACAATGCTACCTATGCGAAACAGCTCTGCCTACTTCTCCATGCTCCCCTCTTGACCTCAACTCTGGAGAAGTCAGGAGGAGCAAGAAGGAGGCAGAGAAGTGAAGCAACGACAAAAAAATACACACACACACACACACACACACACATATACACATAGATATAGAAAATATAGACACTAGCTCTTCTGCACTGTTGTTCTGACTCCAGAGCAGGTAAAAGGGAAACACTTTCAAATGTCTTTCATGTAAGGCAGACTTTTTAATGCCAGCAACCTACAGGAAATCTAGCAAATTTCCCTGAGAGGCATGGAAGCCGCAGGGTGGGAAGATTCTGCACCACTGTTGGTGATAAAGGTACACAGGTGAGCACCAGACATAGCCGTTTTCTAAGTGTCCTTCCCCACCCATGTTCAGCCCACCTGATAATGGTGATACCTGTTACCTCATTAATACAATAAACCTAGGAGACGGGCACCATGTTCATCTGCATTTAGGGCAATCAAGACAGGCAGAGAAGCAGCAGATCGGTCTTTCAAGTCTAAGTTGTCTTGATGGCCTCTGTCACGCTGCTAGCAAGGCAGAAGCAGAGGGGACTCCAGGTGCAGCTCAGACTCCAACTGCAGGCGGTTTGTAATAAAAGGAGAGAGCCGGGCCTGAGAGCCCATATTTGATCTCGGGGGAAACAAACCGAGAATGGACAAGCCGAAGAGGCAATTCCTGTCCTTCCTGCGCATGCTGCAGCTGCGGCTGCCGCCTGAGTACTTTCGATAAAACCTCCACTAGCTCCCTTGCAGGCTACCTCCCCCCTTCTGATATCCATATGAGCCACCATTAGGCTCACAGGACCACTGCTTTCTACTTTCTTGGATTTTTCAGCTTGCTCCTGACTCAGCTTCACAGCGTGGCTGTGGTGCTTTGCCGGTAGAGACTCGTCTCTTGCCTCTCTGAGTCATCATGGGGATCAGGTCAATGCCTATGGTCTGGAGTCCACCACAGGCTTGCAGAACTGCAGTCAGACACCACAGGCGGGTAGAAGGTTCCTTCATCTATCTCCTGGTGGCCAAGAACAGACCTACGCATAACATCTCTCCCACACACACCCTAAGCAAGTACTTCGCATTCTGATCCAAGGGCTCTTCCTGACTTGTGAAAGCATATCTGGCTTAGCCATTTAAATTTAGTAACCATGTACTTTATACATGGCGCTGCTGCCCTCCAGGAGTTTATACGTGTGTATGAGTAATGTATACCCATACCTACAATAAATGTTAGGGAACGCTACAGACAATCAAAACAGTGCTAGCAGCCCTTAGATAATGCTCCACAGTGGCATCCCTCAGGCACCTGAGGTTTTGGAATCTATCCATACCAGACCATGACACCCACACACACAGCTTTCTGTGTACTTCCAGGGCTACATGAAGCCCGATGCAGAGCTTATCTAATTAATTTTACTACTTGTATAGACACTGCCCAAAAACTAAAAGCTGAAACTTTCTTTACTAGCCATGCTGGGGTCTATCTACATGGTATCAGCTGACATCGCATGTAATAATGACACCTTGTTTCTGCATGATGGCTGACATGTATGCGTTCTTTCAACAGATATTTACTGAATTCTGTAAAGTGTCAGGTACTGTTCTAGATGCTTTGACAAACAGTAGGTTCCAGGCATAGGTTTTTTCAAAACTTTTATGTGTATTTGGCTTAAATCATCCAAATCCTTTAGGAGATGGTGATTACTATTATCTCTACTTGACAAAGGAAGCAAAGGCACAGGTGTATTAAGCGGTTGGTCCAGAGTTGTATAACTAGCAAAGTCTCTCTGCTCCCTCTCTTCAGGGTCCTGGTGTTGTTTGTGACACATGTCATCCTAGCTCTCATCACTGAGTCCATCCTACTAGTTGCTAAAAGGAGAAGACAGTATGGCTTAGACTCTGCATAAGCCTTCCTCAAACCCTAGAGCCAGCATTACAGGTCATTCCAGCCATTCTTTCTCCCTTCTCAACAGTACAGAAGCACCACTGGGCATAAATCTTTCCAACTTTTGCACTTTCTGTCCAAGCATTCGTATAGGAGTGCATTCACTTCCATCAGCACTGGTATTATTTCTTGCAAGCTGTGATTCAGGTTTGGTGTGGCTGCCAGTCCCTAACACATAAAAAACTCCAGCAAGTCAGTAAATTCTAAAGAGTTCGCTGCTGCTCTGCACCACTATGTGGCTGTACAATTGGGAGATGTTTCAATAGAGACCATGGAGACGAAGACCACAACCAGCACCATGTTTGGACCGTGGCCCAGACTCACTCATTCCCTCCCACACACTTCTTCCCTTTTGGGCCCGCTTCATTTCTCTGTCTTCCCTTAACTGACCTCTCTTAATCCTTTGTTCACCCATCAAGCTGGTGCTTGCACAAGGTTGATCACTTGGCAGTATTTGCAAGAGCTTCCTAACCAGAGAGCTGCCACCTCTTCCTCTGTGCTATGTTGCAGACCAGCGTGAGCTGAGCGTTTCAGCTCAAACTCAGGTACTCTATGCTTAATGCCCTGACCATCAGTTGGCTCCATTGTCCATACCACTGTATCGCTGGTTCCAGAGGAGGAGGTCTTCCTAATTCCCATGCTTAGTTATTATTATGTTCAATGAACACCTCGATGTTAGAAAGGCAGGCTCTGAAAAAGTTGAGCCTGAATCTAACAAAGCTTCCAGATCTAACTAGCTTATAAAAACACAAATAAGCAATACCTCCAAGAAGCAATCTTTAGAGCAATCTTAGGGCCAATGATCCAACTCCTTCAACAAATCAAGAGCTTGCAAAAAGAAAAGGAGAGGGACTTTAGAAAAGTACCTTTGATGCTGCAGGAAAAAAATCTGAATTTGGACGAGATATTAGATGATACTGAAGAATGGTTGCTCATATTGTTGGTATGCTTTTAACGCTTCAAATGGTTTTCAGCTAACTCGGTATGAACAAGCGTATACTTGCTTTTGACTCTTGCCCCTGGTCTACAGACATTGGTTAAGGACAGTGGCACTTATAGTAAGTGAAAAAAAGAAGATATTATAGTTACAGAGATACTAAATATTTCCAGATTAAAAGAAAGATGTTTATATTTTTGTTAAAACACTGCAGGAAAAGGAAGGGAGAAGAAGGGAAGAAAAGGGAGAAACTAAAAGTGAGAAGGGAAGGAGAGAATTTACTTTAGGGAGACTGATGGAACCAGTCTGGCAGAATGGCGATTATTGAAATTGCGCTGCAGGTACCTGGGAGTTCATTACACTTACTCTCTGCTTTTGTGTATGTATGCAAATTTCAGTAATTTTGTAAAGGTCAAGCTCAGAATAAGACATTTCCTTATAAGCCAAAATAAAAACCAAAAAGTTGATTTAAAGAAAGCACATTTCCTTCTTGATAGTGGGTCAGTGACATCACCTGAGTGTCCTTATGGCTCTAACCCACACGATGGAAGAGAGGCCAACAGGGACCAGGAGTCGTCAGATCCGCCATGGGCACCCCAAGCAAGAGTTCTAACCACTCACTTCAGAATAAGGAAGCCCGAAGCATCTTCAAAACAGCAACCACCTAGGGAACCTGTCATATTAATAGGATACTGTACTTACCTTCTCCATCAGCAATTGCAAAACAGATTAGCTAAAATTAGAGAGAGGGCTACGGGTTCAGAATCTCTCCCCAACGCTTACACAGCACTTTCTGTTTCACACAGTGCCCCAGGCAGACAGCCACAGTCCACTCATGTTCCCCTGAGTCTAGTACTTCAATTAATGAGCAAGTAGTAAGAGAGAGGCTTTCAGCACAGAGACACTTGGAAGACTCACAAGAAAGAAAGGATATATACATCTCAGTCTGTCCCTGAAACACCGATTATGCAGTCCCTGGATTTAAACTCTAAACCTTGGACCTGGGACCACTAGTTCCTATCCCAACTCCAAACCCCAAATCTCTCGAACTATTGTTCATATTCTAACCTAGGAAAACAGGTTAATGAAAACAAAGTGCTTATATTTAGAGCTATAAAGTTTTATCACCCCACATAGGACACTGGTTACCTTATATTAGTAAGTTGAGGCCAGCAATTATGTGCCAAGGATTATTCAGATGGCAAATCAAATAAACTATCTACAAACACAGTTTATTCAGAGTACAGCAATTATCTAACACATGCTGTCCTCAGAAAGAAACAACTTACTGAGTATTCAAGTTCAAAATGTTGGAAAACACTGCCTTAATATGGTTACAGAAATCAGGAATACTTTTTTTCTTCTTCTTTTGGTGTCTCATTGTACTACCCAGGTTGACCTTGAGTTTCTGTGTTTAAGCAATCCTCCAACCTCAGAATAAAAATGTACTTTTAGAATGTGAAAATTTAACTACTATAAATGCAATTTAATCTTATAGATTAATTAATCAGGGCAAGGTGTGTAGCCCAAAGGTGCCCAGCACCTGCTTAGCCAGAACGAGGCCTTGAGTTTGATCCCAGCAACAAAATAAATAAATTCAACAAACAGAAATGATACAGCCCAAAATAAATACTGCAGGTCTTCTTTTTTTTTTTACAGATGAATGTAAAAGGGAGGGAGGGAGGGAGGGAGGGAGGAAGGAAAAGAGAAAGAAAGAAAGAAAGAAAGAAAGAAAGAAAGAAAGAAAGAAAGAAAGAAAGAAAGAAAAGAAAAGAAAAGAAAAGAAAAGAAAAGAAAAGAAAAGAAAAGAAAAGAAAGAAAAGAAAAGAAAAAGAAAAGATATGCTATTGAGCTATTTGCAAACTCACAACACCCCTTTTTGTCACCCACCCATGAGCACCTGAGATCCTGAAGTGAGCCATGGTAAAGCTCAGAAGCAGGAGAGTACAGTGGTCAAAGCACAGACACCGGAGCCAGACGGTCTGGTGTGGTTCCCGCCTCTGGCACGCAACAGCTCTGTAACTTCAGGCAAATGTCCCGTCTTCTGCATCAGTTAATATACAGGAAGAGCCTGACCCTTTTTACAGTCACAACATGAAGCTAGTTATTAGTGTTGCTGATGGCAGTGGCCCTGTATAAAAGTCTCTCTGCCAGATGGTTCTGGCCCATCTCTCATGATATTGAGGAATTTGCAAATTTAAAACTCCTCCAGCAAACATTACTCTCATAATCTACCCCTTTTCTGCTTTAATGCATCTTTCTTTCTAGGGCATTTAAGGTTCATGTACAAGTCACAAATACCAGAGGCATAGGACAGAACCTCCTGACCAGAGAGCTCCTGATAACTGAGAGAAGAAGCATTCTCACAAAACAGTTCCTTTGACACCAACTGCAAGGGGAAAATTACGATGCCCCAGGTGGTAATTTCTCCCACTGTCCAAGGGAGTAGAGGTTTTTGCTAAGAATTACCTGTCTGCTTGAGTAACAGGTTAAAATTCATACACTCAGGACCACAAAGGAAACCATACAGTCAGTTCAAGATCTGTTTTGAATGTTAAACACACTCAGCTGGTGCTTGGGCTAAAGACAGGTCTACTTCTCCCTCCACTGGGTCTTCGTGAAACCTCAAAGATGTATACTGTATAGTGATCACATTCAAGCCTCTTTATTTTCAGTGGGGATTGAATTCAGGATTGAATTCACACTGAGCTACACGTCCAACCCTTTCTTTATTTTTTATCTTTGAGACTAGGTCTCACTAAGTCATTAAGTTGTCAAGGCTGGGTTCCAACTTGCAACCCTCCTGCCTCAGCCTCACAGAGACAGGACTCTTTCTTTTAAGATCATGAAGCCTCAAAGCTGGGAAGGGTTTTATAAGTCATCTAGACCAAAGGTCACAAATACCCAGAATACCAACCAGGTCACAAGTCACAAAGGCACTGGCCAGCAGAGATTGTCACTGGGCTCCAGCTGCCACTGCAGGGCTGGGACTGCCGGAGGTTCTCAGTAGTTAAGAGAAGCTGGAAACTCAGATTTTATGTGTGAGCCAAGAAAAACACACTTGTGGGCCAGATATGGCCCAAGGGATACCAGGTTACACCTCAACCCTGAATGAGCGGTGCTTCCGGCCTGGGAGCCCACCCTCTGGAGGTCCGCAGAGCTACCGCACGGCAGCCACTGGAGGCAAAGGGGAAGAGAGACAGAGGCTCCAACATGGCGTTATTTGTAAAGAGAATAAACAATATGCCTGGCTCATATAAGAATTACTTTTTCTCCACTATAAAAGGACATTAAAACACTAGCAAAAACAAACTTTAGGTCCAAATACCGCTCCATTGATGATTTTGCATTTTCGTATTTTCTAAAATGAGGAGATTCCAAACTATGGCAATAATCACGTAACATACACAGATTTTATCATTAGAGAGCACACCCCACAGAAATATTCACCATCACCACCTCAACCCATCCTGCCCAGCAAACGCTGAGATGGGCTGTTCCATGCCTTCTCCTTCCCACAGCTCCCTGCAGAGCCAGGGAGGGAGCCAGGCTCCTGATGGACACCCAGCATAAGCACAATCCAAACAAAAATCTGGACCAGCTTTTCTACCATCATCTCAGCCAAGTTTCATAGAAGCTCAGAGGTAGAAGCAGCCTAGAAATCCCACACACCCCAACCCTCACCTGAACCATCTCCAACACTGTACCCCAGGTGAGGGGCTCCAAACTCTGGGGTATAAGGAACCCTTTATTTTGTGAGGTGATTTGAGAGTGTAAGTTCTTCCTGTCCCACATCCCTGATCACCTGTCCACTCACCATTTATAATCTGTTTCCCCTTCCTCCTTCTTTACATCCTACTTTCTTCTCAGAACACTGCCTCAACAGTTCCCCTGAAAACCTTCCTTCTCTCATTCACTTCTGTGTCCATCTACAACCAGCTAACTCTGCATGAACAAGAGCACACTTGCTTTTGACTCCTGCTCCTGGTCTACAGACACTGGTTAAGGGTAAACTGCCTCGGAATGGAAAGTCACGTACTTCAGAGTAGTGCTGAACTAGCTTGCACCCTAAGTCGGGAAGTATTTAGTGTGTTCCGAGGAAAAGGTGCTCCAAAGAAACAGTGGGTAGTGCTGAGGTGGACACGTTGCTATGATTTAGATATAAAATGTCTCCCCAGAGTCACCTGTGTTTAGGGTGGAGCTCAGGAGTGACTGGGTCATTGGAGCACTTTACTCATCAGTGGATTAATTCATTAATGAGTTCATTGCTAAACGTGCAGTTGGGAAGTGGGGGCTGCTAGAGGAGCTGGGTCGCTGGCGGCATGCCTTTGGAGGGCTTATCTCTCCCCCTGGCTTTTCCCTATCTTTCTCCCTCTGCTTCTTGGCCACGGTAGGTGGAATAGCTTTCCTCTGTCAGGCCTTCCACCACGCCCATTCTGCCTTGGAGCCAGCCTCCCAAGGACTGAAGCCTCTTAAACCATTAGCCAAAATAAACTCCTTTAAGTTGTGGGTTTTCAGTCTTTTCTCCTGGCAATAGGAACAGACGCGTGTTCCACTCAAGACATTTGCAGCAACAGGAGCCAAGGGTACCAGATACAGCCACATGACAGTGCACTGCACAATTCCAAGAGCACCATTCAAAAAGAGCAGGCTATGAGCACCACCCTCTGCAGTTGTGCTGCAGAGCAGCCTAGGAAGGAGCCAGGAAATCAGACCGGACAGGCAATGAGCATATCTTTCAGTCATTCTATCCACTCATAGTGATTCGCCAACTGAGCTTGTCCTCCATGAGTGTGTTTAAAAGTCATGGCGCAACTTATCAAAATCAGGCCTCCCCAGAAACTGTGAATCCTCAGTTCCAGGGAGGAAAATGGATGTTGTTTACTAACCAGCCTTTTGAGAAACCACAGCAAACAACACCTGAAATTTAAGAGAAAAGGACCAAGATTATGTTACCAAGGGGAAATGTTTATATTCTTATAAGGTTCTTTCCTGCTGCCTCATTCCTTCTGCCTTATAACTGTTTCCAAGGATCAATTATAACAGTGCATACACCTATCTTCCTCATGGGGCAACTGTCCCTGGAAACCCTAGCCCTGGTATTCCCTATCATGATTTTTAGCAACACAAAGACAGACACCACTCACTCTGAAATTAAATAGCTATTCTGACAGCTTGCTAAATTTATAGGCACCCTTTATAAGGCATAGAACACCCACCTGCGTGTCAACACGGCAGCCCTTGGACACATACCTTGTTCTCCTCCTTCATCACCTGCTCGATGATCTCAGATTTCACCGGAGGCTTTGAATACTGGCCTGAGAGAAGGCCGTGTCCTAACTTAGTCCTGGTCAGGAGGGAAACACAAGAAACAAAGAGGTTATTTGTGTCTTCCTGTATAGATATTAAAATCATCAATGAATTCCAACAAGTACAGCCACTTCGAAGTGGAACATTTTATCTTGATTATTTACAAATTATTTATGTACTTGACTGTTTACTCTGATTCCATTTTCAAATTTTCCTCAATACTCTATAAATAATTTTATTGTTGTTTTTAGAGCACTTACAAACACAGAAAATAAAGATTTAAAAAAGCATTGCCTTTAATTCTGCAGCCCAGCAATAAGCACTGTGAACACTCCATTGCATAATGTTATTTTGAACACTATAACCTGGCACTTACATCTGTGTGTTGAAATCTTGTGTTGGATCTAAAGGCGAATAGTCAAATATCCTTGGAAGATTTCCAACATACCTAGGAAATGAGAAGCAACAGTCAAAAAGAGTGTGATGGTGAAGCAACTGTCAACTTGATTGTCTTGGGGTCCCCCCAGAAGATTAAGAAGCACAGTTCTGTGTGGGTCATGGAGTTGTGGCTTTTAAGTCTATATCTGGCGCTTTCTCTCTGGCACTGTTCCCTCACTCTGTTTCCCAGCCACCATGAACTACATAGCTCTGTTCCAGCTTACCCTTCTGCCATGACATTTCTGCTTTGCAGCCTCACAATTATGGACTGGATCCTCTCAAGTCATAAGGCAAATAAACATCCCCTCTTTTAAATTATGGATGTCAGAATTTTTTTTCTCCAACAATGAGGAAGATAATACACAGAGGAACTGAGAGAAAAACAGCGCTGAAATAATCATTCTCATGAAGATGTTCTTGCCTGTCAAAATCATGGGCCATCCTGAAATGTTAATCCTTCTATCACTGGGTCTCAACATAAGTTGCAAGTTAGAATCACCTAAAGAGCTTCTTTTAAAATTAACAAAGCCAGAGCCACTTGCAGATATTCTAGTTTCCTAATTTATTATGTTTTGGGACTTAGGATTCTTTTAAAGTTCCCCACAAGATTCTAACAGGTCACCAGAAATAAAAAACACCAGTGTATGCTCTCGTAATCACCACTGCAAGTACAGAAGGTGAGGTGAGTAACAACTCTCTCCTTCGAGAGAAACAAGTTGCTCCAAAACTTTGGTCAGGCTCCTCTGAGCACTCTGGCCAGTCCCAACACAGGCTTCCCTTTCCGCTCTTGTAGCATCTATTTCGAGTGAGAATCCTGCTGAGTCAGTTGAATGAATATCCCCATCTTCGCATCTGACTTACATTCAGCAATACGCTTTTGTTTTTTTTAATTGGTACCGGGAATTGAACTCGGGACCTTGCACTTGCCAGGCAGGCACTTGTGCCGCTGAGCTATATCCCCGGCCCCTAGCAATACTCTTATAAAGACAGTTTAGCCCGATGCCCCTCATTCTTGATGTTTCCTCTTTAGTAATGCTCCATCCAGTGACCTTCACCCTGCTCCTCAGTTATAAATCTCTACTTGTCTTCCCTGGAGTTAGAGCTGCGCCCATTCTCCCTAATTCACTACAAGACCTCGGTCATGTGGTCCCTACACTTATTATGGCGGCCTTTGTTGTATATATCTGTCTTACCATCTCAGCAAGTGTGTGGATAATTTTTTTCTTTAAAATCATGAATTTTCCAATTATTTCAAAATAATAATGTTAGAAGCAGTGACAACAACCATTTCTTGAGGGTTTCCTATAGTAGCAAGTAGAGTCTTTATCACAATCATAACCGGAACAGATTGTTAGTATCAATGTGAGAGATGAGAAATTGAGGCACAAATTCATTAAGTAGCTTCCAAAGCTACCCAAGGAACCCAGAAAGGCCCTGAGCCATTGGTGGCTGTACCTGCATCCCTCTCCCTTAAACAGTACCCAACCCCCTCTTCTGCTGGGTTCATAGTGAAAGAACATGCTACCCTAACATCTTAATGCACTATCATTCTTTTCACTGCCTCAGTCACGGACTATTTTACATCCTCTACTGTTTGCTCCTCTTTCCCCCTTCAATTCTGATTCTCTGAGCCTGAGAGCTCTGGAAAGAATGATTCAGAAACAGATCCCTTTCTCTGGTCCTTCCTGTACCCTAATCTGCTTACTTCTCTGACCTCCTCTGCAACCACTCTTTCCCTGCCCACAATGCTCTGGCAATCTGCCCCTCCTGCTGCCTCAGGGCATGCCAAGCTCACTCTGCTTCAAGGCCATGCCATCTGCTGTCTCCTCACAGATACTTGCTTGGCAACTCCTTTTCAGGTCTGCTGGAAGTCACCCCACTAGACTCAGCCAAAACAAGGGTAGTCACCTCCACCCTTCCTAACTCCTTATCTCCTGTCCCTGGCTGACCTTCTTAGTTTGTTCACATGCATCACTATTTACAATTAAGCAATTCATTTCTCTTTTTATTTATTATCTATTTAGAGATTTCATACTAGAATGCAATCTCCATGACAACAGAGACTTTGTTTATTTAAATCACTGTATCTCCAGCACTAGACTAGTACCTGAAATGGATATATTTTGGTTCCTAGACAATGGCACTTTCAGGAAATAGTGGAAACTTTAGGAGATAAAGCCTAGTGGGAGGAAGTCAGAAATTAGATCACTGGCAAATTCCCTCCCTCTCTCTCTCTGTCTCTCCCTCTCTCTCTACTACCTGTGAGGTGCATTGTCCTTTTCTGTCACAAGTTATCACCATGACGAATTATGCAACCACAAGTCTAAAACAATAGGGCCAACTAGACTGAAACAAAACTGAACTAAAACAAACTAAACCTTTCCCCTTTCTTAATTTGATTGCTTTTGGGTATTTTGTCACAGTGATAGAAAGCTGACCAACACAGGAATTATTGTAAGAAAAGCCTAGCAAAAAACCATGACATACCAGTAGGTAATAATGACCTCCAATTGGATCCCTGAACTACTATAAATTTCTGGGTACCTGTGTCCACAAACTCAAGATTTGTGTCTCAAATTGTATATGAATAGCAAAGTTAATAGATCACAAGTCTCTGAGCCAGTCCTATTTGTATGTTTTTTAAATTTTCAAAAGACAGAGAGCCAAACAACAGATAAATCAAACTACACAGCTAAACTACCTAGATGCAGCAGTCGTAGGTGAATTTTTTATAATATACAGCATGATGAATGAGCTCATTAGCTGTCCTATGATCCAATTTTCATTATATTTCAAAACCAGACAAAACACGCACTGGAAAGATATACAATAGTGAAAAGACTTGTGCTTAAGGCAAGCCTGGCAGAGAAGGACAGAGTTACAGGGGTAAATCTCTGATGTCAGAAAGTCCATTTGACCAACAATGTAGCGTAACAAACTGAAAGAGTAAATAAGATCCAAAAGGTACAATAGATATAGTGAAAGAAACTGCTCAAAAGGAAAGAACAACTGGGATAAGGGAAAAGGGTAAAGAAGGAAGGGGAAAATAAAGAAAAGATATGTACATATACACAAGATAGCTAAGATAATTGCACAACTAATTTCTATTAGTTCATGGAAAGGAACAGTTAGTGCTTATATTGTTTGATCAATTCTGCATGCCTGTATCTGGTAATCTGAACAATGACTTTGCAGATAACAATATGCAATATAGTAATCACTGTTATTGGTTTTGCAATTCTGTTATCATTTTTATTGTTTTTTCTCTCTTTAAAATAAAAATAAATAAATAAAATGAATTGTAAAAAAAAAAAAATCCCCATTACAAGAAAATTAAATTAAAATACAGAAGTATTCCTAAATAATTTTTAAATTTATATTATACCATCAGTTTGTAACCTAGTGGCCCTCAAAGAATATCATGTAATTTGGCTACCTGACAATCCAGCCTACTTATTCAATTTGCACACAAGCCTATCCAGATTTGATCCTCAGTGAGAATTTACACTGTGGTGTGCATACATCATCTCCTTCTGTGGGTCAGTCTTCCTAGTTACAAAACAGACACTGTCCCTGGACCTAACTCCTTGAAGCTAGCCTGGAGAAAAGAGAGTTTGAAGAGCATAGATTTTAATCTAGGGATATCTGCTCAAAGAATGAAGGTGAATGTGAAAAGCACATTGCTCACAGTGTAACATATATTGTGAATGTTTACAAAATAGAACATAAAATATTCAGTAATATAATAGCAAATTTCAGAACTCTTGAAACATGACTAGGGGGAGATTCAAATGTTAAATTCAAACCACAGACATGATATACATTTTCCATTAAAGAAAAAATTTAGAAAGTTAATTTTTGGTCTAACTGTAGAATGTAAAATGAAAGAATTTATTTGTAGATTTGTAAAGCATTAAAAATATTGTTGGAATCAAACTCAGAACCTTCTGCTTGCCAGGTAGGCACTGTACCACCGAACTATATCACCAACCACTGATAGGTATCTATATCGATACTGATTAGATAGATAGATAGACAGACAGACAGACACAAGATAGGATAGCTGGGATAATTGTACTACTGATTTCTATTGGTCTGTTGAAAGGAACAGTTAATGCTTAATTGTTTTATTGATCTTACATGCCTATGTCTGGTGATCTGAGCAACTACTTTAAAGATAACAATATGTAATATAACAACTATTGTTAATTTCCTATCACCTTGTTTTGAAATTCTACATCATTTTTATTGTTTTTTGTTGTTTTGTTTTTTACTTTGGGTTGTTTTTTTGTTTTGTTTTGCTTTTCTCTTTAAAAAATATTGTTGGATTTTGTAAGAAAAGAACACAGGTTTCTTCCACCTTAGTTTGAAAGAAATAATAATTATACAACACCTACCAGGACATTTCTTCAACATCTCCAAGCAAGATCTGGGAACATGAGTCATGAGACAGAGCTACATTATTCCCCAGTCAAATGATAATAATACAAGCATGAGATGTGGGTAAGAATCTAAAAATAATATGGCACACCATGCACATCTTTGTAAAGAGTTTCCCATCTCAAGTTTGAAACTTGCTCTTCCAACAAGCTGCCCAACACCTTCTGTCCCTGCTCCTCTCACACAGCTGACAGGGGCTGTGTCCTTCCCAGCGTCCTCTCTGACCACCTCCTTTCCTTTCCTTTTCTTTCCTGGAATGCACAATGTTTATGTGCATGTAGTTGTTCTTACGGATTACTTATGTAGTGTCCATTCCTTGGTGTGTCCCCTGAGGGTGGGTACCATGTTCTTTGTTTACCACTAACCTGCACACACCCAGCACACTGTTCAGCAGAACCCAACACACTCGTCCTTGGTGGATGAGAAAATGAAAAATGGACACGGAACACTAACCATACATTTTCAAAGCCAGAAAACAGCAAAAAGAGGTTAAGTCTTCAAATATGAAGAAGAGGGAAGAAAAAAAGGTTACCTGACATACTTTTAATTATCCACTAGTTAAGATATTAAGATTTCGATTCCACATGAGTATCACATAGGCCTGTGCTATTCCTAGCACGCTCTCTGCTGTCAGTCTCTCTCACACACTTGAATCATGGTGGAAACCTACCTGCTCAGAAACACTGGAGTCTTCTAAACACACGCAGTGGCTGCCCATGAGTGTACCTTAGGAAGCACCCTAAATCTACGCCTCTAAAATGCCTGTGATACAGGACCAGCTTTGTCCAACTCAGACGGATGACACCTTTTTAAATGCCATCCACATAAATTATTAGAAAAGTAAAACGCCACTTGTAAAAACTGGCAATGTCAAATTGCTACAAAAATGTCTAAGTGCTCACTTCCAATTTCCATATTTATATCCTCACATAAAGCGGTTCACAAACTACTCACAGATCAGCACCCATCTGTGAACCACAATCGTGTGTGTGTGAGTGTGCGCGTGTATATTTGGTTTGCTTTGGTCGTAGTGAGAACTGAATCTAGGGCTTTGTGCACAGCAGGGAAGCACTCTACCACTGAGCTATAAGTTCAGCCCTTTTTATTTTAAGACAGGGTCTTGCTAAGTCACTCATTGGCTACGCTAGGCTCAAACTTGCAGTCCTCCAGCCTAGGCCTTCTAGAGTACTGGCATTACTGGCATACCACACCCAACTACCAACACTTTTTAATTTTGAGACAACATCTCTGTAAGTGGCCCAGGCTTGCCTCAAACTGGTGATCTTCTGGCCTCAGCCTCCCAGCAGTGGAGATTACAGGCATGTGCCATCATGCTGGCGGTGAACCACACTTTGAGTAGCAAAAATATGAAAACTCTATGTCCCCTAAAAATACTTTCCTTTCCCAGAGGGGCGACATCAGCTAAAGAATTCACTGACTCCCTAATACCACATCTGTACATGGGATTTGGAAGTATACTGTGAAGATTAATGATGAATATAACATTGGCACATAGAGTGATAGTCTAAAAGCCACAACTAATATAACAAACCCTCCTAGAGTGTTTGCAGCTTCCAAATCTGTCCCCATAAGACTGGTAAGTGTTCCCACCAAGCTTCAGGAAGTCACACCATGGACAAGCGGCAGGAGGAATGAAGGTGAGCCCGTTCCCTGGACACACTGAGCAGAAGGGACACAGGGACAGGAGACCAAAGTTCTGGGCCCATCAGCCGCGCGAGGCACTTACGCTCTCTGGAACTCTGGGATACTGAAGATGGCCTGCATGACTGAGCTGAGGTAGCAGCTGTTGCCCAAGTTCTTTAGGCCCGTGTACCCGGGGCCATACATGGGCTTTAGCTTTGTCCCCGACTCCTGGATCACTTCCCACTCGCTGACCCTCGGCTTGATGTCATTGTCCCGGAGCCCGTTCTCTGTCTGGGGCAAAGTCATTAATGAAAAACAACTTTAAATATGATTTCTATTCCAAGATTATGTCTCATGAATTATTTCTAATGTCAGTGGATATTTCTAGTAATCGCCCCTCCCCCAATTACATGGAGAAATAGACAATCTAATTAATAGACTGTGGGAGATGATGATAATTGCACAAAAATGTCAATGTGCTTAATGCCACAGAACTATACACTTAAAATAGGCTAGGTGGCAGATTTTGTTATATATATCTTACCACATTAAAAAAATGGAAAAATATTTACATGAGAAAAGAGAGAACGACTGAGAAGGAAGAAGACGGAAGGAAGATGAAAAACAGGAATCAAAAAAAAGAAACAGAAAGACCAAGGGAAGATGCAATACAACAAAAACGCAAGGCGTGTGGAACAAAAACGTGCGGACCACCTTCCAAGAGGAAGGAGGCTTAAAGAAACACAGAGAAAAATAAAGGAAAAGCTAGGTATAAATGAGAAAGAGGAGACAGGGAAACATGAGGAGAGATGGGAAGCGTGGGAGGAAAGTGCTAAAACAAAACACATACACTTAAGTAGCACCTTACAGGGAAAAACACTACATAGGCATGATATCGACCTGAAAACAGTACTAAATGAACCAAAGCTCTTCCACCAACAACAATGTACCAGCTAATTCTTTCTGTCACCCCAGGAGCTCTGCTTCCCTTCCTGAAACTAATTAAAAAAGATGTTGAGCACAGATTATTTTAAAGGTCATTTCGCTGTACCTTCTCCCTTTAGTGAACACAGAGTAATTTGCACAATGGACCATCAAAAAAGACAGAAACTGTGCAAATAAACTCCAATACAACAAAACTGTACCCAATGAGATGCCATTTTTGTTACATTTTTTTTAAAAATCTAAGCTGGTAACCGAAAGAAAATGCTAATTAATTAAATTTAAGAAGTACACGCAAAATTAAAACACAAAATCTAAGAAATAAAGATTCATGTTAGAGGAATTACATATTAAGTGAACTGCAGTACCCTCACCCACTCCCCCCACCTTCTCCCCACCCCAAGTGGGATTAGAGAAAAAAGACCTTCTTACCCCATGCATGTGAAGCATATCAATTCCAAAATGTGCTAAGTGCTTGGCCAAGTGAGGATCCAACACAGGTTCCTCTTCTTGGAAAGAATAAACATCTAGAGGAAGAAAAGAAATCAACACTGAGTTCTGTAATGGAGTCATTCAATATTTCACCGCACTGACTGAGTTCTTACCGTGCACCACGCTTGGGATATATCATTGAACAAAACAAAAAAATTCCTAACATTCAACTAGGAAAAAGACAGGAAACAAACAACATCACAAATAGGTATATTTTGTAAATATACACACATATCAATTCTTTTGACATTTCAGAAAGTTAACAAAAAAGTTTTCTGAAACAAGGAGGAAAAAAAAAAGTACAGTACCTCGAGTTAAAATAATTGAGATGAACGTAAGTTCCTAATACTTGATGTTTCTCACCCAAGCCACAGTGGCGTAAGTCCAAGGTCAGAAGGGGGAAGGTGAAGAAGGAGGATGCGATGGCCCCATCTGCCAGGGTGGGAGATGGGGGCGGGGGCGGACACGGTGAACACAGTGCCCTTGAATGGCTGATCGCACCAAACAAACTCTGCCAGTGGAACCCTCCATTCTTAGACCTCCTCTTCCCCATTCACAGTCCTTTCTCACACCCCTTCTTTTCTATTTTGGTGTCTGCAACTCACAGAACTAATAAGAGACTTGTTCAAACTCCCTCCTACCTCCCTAACATGCTCACCTCAGGCACACACAGAACCAGCAGAGGTGCCTGGAGCTGCAGGGCAACTCAGGAGACCCCACACATCCCAGGCCCTGCTCTACGGCACGCTGGTGTTGGGAAGCTCTGTTGCGGCAGGGGGGCACAGCCTCGCTCCTTGGGATAATAATATCCCACCAGATAACGTGACGCTTGATGCTGACCCTGGCTTCTGAAGTGAGGTGCACGGGCCTGAGTCTGCAGCGGCACCTGGGCTCCTTGGAAATGCACACTCTATTGCCCCATCCTAGATCTGCCAAATCGAAGTCTATACTTTACCAAGACCACCCAAGGCACAATTAAGTTTTAGAAATTTTACAGTTTTCAAAGCTGAGATCCCCTGCCTCCTCTATCTTCACACATCAATGCCATGCAGGAAAGGAATAGGTATTTTCAGGTCCATCCTGAAGAGAGGAAAAGGTGCTCACAAAGGTTAAACAATATCGCCTTAAATCCCACCAGGGTCCAAGAACCCTCCCTGACTCCCTCGACATCAGAATAGTCCTTAAGCTATCTGAGGACACCAATGACAGAGCGCAACTGGACCTAGTGCTACACATAGGGATGGGGACTCAAAAACCCCAATTTCTTCACTCCTAAATTTGAAAAACAAATCTATGACAAGAAAAATAGATAAAAAGGTATCATTATTTAGCACCATAAAAGATGGGCTGTCAAGGAGTTTCTTACTGGGAGATCATCACTGGAAAAGCACACTGTAGCACATGGTGACCTATGTCATACTATGGTGACCCTATGCCCTTTACCAGGTGTGTGGAGATGCACTGCCCCCAAAGGAAGTCAGTCCTTTTTTTCACTAGAGTAAACACTGTACAACTTCCTTTCCTACTCGCCTTCCCCTAGCACCCATTCTAACCTGTGGATAACAGCCTTCGTTTCTATTTGTCTTACTATAATTCAATATTCTCAAAAGCAAAAATGAAAGACAAATTCCCCAGCCTAATCAAGAAACATATTTCCAGAAAGTTTAAATACCAAAAAAAAAGACACTCTGAACTAGCAACTTAGTAAGATACATCATTGGAGGCCAGCCTGGGCTCTGTAAAGTAAGTTCAAGGCCAGCCTAAACTGTAGAATGAAACTCTGTCTCAAAAAGCGCATCCCCCAAAAAAAGAGAGAAAGAGAGACAGAAATCCACATACATCAACAATATTTTAATCTATGAAAAGGAACAGAAAAAGGTCACTCAAATTCCAGCTGCAGGGTGAAAATGGTGTTCTGTAAGCTCTTTGACTTTGGTTATTATCAACTAGTAAGATAGTTTCAAAGACTTAAGACTTTAAGCTGCTAATTATCAAAGATCTATTACAAAATAATAAAATTGCTGGAACTGTACCATTGGCATTGGAGTAGGATTTTGAAATAAGTGAAAACTCACACAGCCGTCTATGTTTCTTAACCTACTAGGGTCCCGTAACACTGGGAAAATAACACTTCCTACCTTCGGCTGTTAAATGTCCAAAGACACAGCTTGACTTGGTAAGACACTAGTGATATTCCTTACCTCAATGAAAAAAAACAGTTTAGTGGATAAAAGACAAGAACCTAAAAATAAACGATGATCCTTAATCTTGGCCAGCATAAAGAATTTATAAATGATATGTAGTTATAGAAAAAACTGTGATGGCTGAAAATACTGCCTTGTATGTTTTTCATTGGCAAATCTGTTTTATTTCCACCTTCATCTTAGCACAGTTAGGGCTTAGTTCAGAAACTATCATAGCAATAAGCATTGTCTAACAAGTATTGCCTTCCACGCTCTCCAGCTTGGCTTAAGACTGGGGGCCAAGAATGACAGTCCATGGTAGGATCTTCCCAGGAATAGACCAAGCACCATTTCATGAGTAACTATGTTCATTTTAGAAATAAACTCCGTCATTATTTTCTTTCAAGTTGTGACAAACTAAACCACAGAGAGCATGAGCCAGCACTCCAGAGAGAAAAGATAAAAGGAAATTTTTAGAACAGGAATACCCAACTCATGGGATAAGCATGTTAGAAAAGCGTCTGAGTGGTAAGTGCAAAAACCAACGAAGGCAAAAGTTAGGAGCAGGGATGGAAACTGAAGCTGAGATTGGAAACAAGATTGGACTGCAAGAAATGGGGCCAAGTGGTAATAATTTGTTACCTCTGAATTGGAAGATTCCTTTTATTTTTCCTTTTCTACTTTTCCCAAACATATGATAATACTAATTTTAAAAATGTTCTACAAGTAATTCCCGCAGATTATAATGATTCTCTTGATGCTACACTGGTAAGACCATTGGTCTTACTGGTCTCACTGGCACCAGTGGGCCACTGGTCAACCTTGCTCAAGCCACTTAAATTAATCATTCACTCATTCATTTATTCATTATATTCAACAAGTATTTACTAAACACAAAATACACATGGTTACTGAGGATGTAATGCTAAATAAAATGAGCAGTAAACATTACTACTTCAAATAGTGTTAGAAGGAATGCTGGTTTGGTGTGAAGGACCTCAACTAAAGTCTTCTTGACTAAGGCTCAGGCATGTGACTTACAGCTCTTTTTCCAAGCCCCAGCAAATGGCAGAGGTAAAGATGTATCTCACCAAGTTCTGTGTTTATAAAGAGCTCAAGTAGGGAGAAGACCAGAGCTCTTGATCAAACACCAAGTAGAAACTCAGAGAACAGAGGCCGAGAGAAGGTTCTCTTCAGAGTAAGTGTGGATCTGTCTACTCAAACCATAGTTCACCATGAGCTCATATTTGTGTACCTACAGGCCATCTGCCACCAGCAGAAAAAGAAGAGAAGGAGCAATTGCTCCAGCAATTATACTAGAAAAATAATCCCAAAATGAATATTATAGACAGTAGGACATGCAATCTCAGAGCTGCCTTGGGCATATCTAGACAACTCTCCTACCATCACCCATGGCACGGAAGCATCTTCTCAGATAAATAAGTAGTTTCCATGAGGGAATAAAATATATCCTGCCCTGCCTCCATGTCCCCTTACTCCCCTCCCATCGATAACCTCCTCCTCGTTCGGCCGAAACAATGTCTTCCTCCTCCCTCTACTGGAAAGCTTTTGTTTGTTTGTATGGTGAGCTGCTTCTTATTTTGTTTGTTGTACCCATGGGGACCAGAGTGGAACTGGATATGAGGCCCATTTTTATGATATATGTTGCCACCTGGCTTCGCCTGGCATTCCTGGGCAAAATAAAATCTCTGTGGAGATTTCAAGGGTAGGCCTTGAGGAGTTTCTCACTAAGCAGACGCATCCTCCTTTAGGGATAGGAAGCCAGGGTGAGTGGGTCATGCTGCCATTAAATATCTGAATCTACAACCTTCTTGGATTCCATAATCACTAAGCAATCTTCTAAATATAATTCAGCTTCCCACAGGGAAGGAATGTACTGGTTGAGCTGACGTAAACATCCCACTTACTGGCAGTTGTGGTTCTCATTATGACCTAAAAAACAAATGCCATGACTTTGGGATTTGTGTCCCTGGTGCACTGAATTAGCCTGAGGGGCCGCAGAGTGTGGAAGACCAAGCCCTAGGCAGAGGTCCTTCACAGGATGTGACCCCCACCTTCACCAGACAGAGGGACCCACCTTCCTGAGCCTCCAAGTCCACAGGTTCATCAATAGAGAGTTAATGAAAGTTAATACATGTTTTTACTAATTCATTTGGCTTTTAAATAAACAGTAGGTTATAGCCAACAATCTATTAAACAGATTTAAAGGAACCAAAACAGAATTATGCAAACCATGAATTAACATGAAATGAATTCAATCAGCACTACACAACACACACAGAAAGCAAACCTTATTTTTTTTTCAAGTCATCATTATTTCAGTTAGATGAATTCAAGAACCCTTATCACAGGATGTACAATTACATTGCTGCTGCCTATGACTGAATGAGTGTACGGCCAAATAGTGTCAATTATATAAGACACACTTTATTTTTTAATTTAAAAATTTATTAGAATAAAAGATACATTGTCAGTAACCCTCAAAATACTGCCTCTCGCTTCAAACACACGTACCCCATCATTCTTGCCACTTTCTGTAGTTCTGGAAAGTTCTCAGTGTCTTTAATTGTGTTGTGGCACCCTTGATATACAGGAGTGATTCAAAACATCTACCTTTTATAGTAATTTTGACTTTGGGAAAAAGAAATCACACAGTGCCAGACCCAGTGAGCAAGGTGGATGAGGACAGACCATAATGTTTCTATTTGACAGAAATTGCTATAAATGTTTAACCAATGAGGGGTAATCAAAAGATATGGTGAATATTTAAGTTTAAAAAATGTGTTACAGTAAAAGACACATGACCATTAATTCCTCTCAAAATACTCTCCTTCACTTCAAAAATATTTATCCTATCATTCTTGGCACTATCTTTTACAACAAATGAGACAAACTTTCTCTCTTGTTGCTTTTACTGTCTTCCACTGCCATGAACCACTGCCCCTCTGCCATGGGCCACTCTGCCTTGGAGCTAGCTGATTATGGACTGAAACTTCTACAAACTATGAGCTAAATACACATTTCCTCCTTAAAGAAAAAAAGACAGACAAACTTTAAAAGCTCTCCCTCCTTGACAACCACTACACACACACATAAACATGCACATACACACATACAAATAAACACACATGCATGACACTTAACAACTATGGCAGATAATAGGTTAATATGTTTAATAAAAAAATACTAAAAACTACTGTGAAAAACATCTATATATGTACACCTACTGAAGTATCACCTAAGAAATTTACAAAAAGCACTATAAAAGGCCAAGAATACAATGAAAAATGTTTAGTATCCCTAGAAAACCAAAATGAAACAAGCTACCAGATTAGAAAAATGTTATTTAAAAGTTTTAACACTCAAAGTAGTCAAGGATTTGTTGAAATAGGTACTCTCATATGCTGCTAATGGGACTGTAAATAATAATTGTTTAGAAGAGTAACACAGCAATTAAAAATTTTAAAGATTCAACCCTTTTTACTTAGAAATCTATCATAAAGAAATAATTAGACACACATCCAAAGATTTGCATATATACAAAATGTTCATCAGAATAGCGAGAAACTGCAACAACTCAGAAAAAAAAAAAAAAAAATAGATTGTAAATAACAGCAATACATTCACTACACAAGACAGCACAGAAAGTAAGAAAATCTGGCTTACAGCATTCTCCCCTTGCACTTTTACCTAAAGGCATTCCTACCTTGTAAACCTTTTTCTGTAATCTCACAGAAGGACAGGGAGGTTGATACAACAATCGCCCAATGCTCACTACTGCAGAACAATGATCCGTACCAGGTGCTGCAAACCTGGAGCCATATGTGTGTCTGAATTTCCTCTCTAAGCTCTGGAAGATCTAAGATGAGATCTGATTCATGTGTAGGTTCACTTACTGTGGAGGAAAATGCTTGGTACCAGTACCTGGGACCCTTACAATCACTTTTCTTTAATGAATAAAAATAATTCCATGAAATTGGGAAGCAGGGAAATTCTCCAAATGTGAAACAAACAAAAAAAAACCTTGACATGACTTAACTGCCAGGCCTCAGTTATATAATGAGTGAGAACCTAAAGCAGCTCCCTGGAATAGCAATGGTTGGCGAGAACTGTCCTACAAGTGAGTGAAGGGAATGGCCAATTAACTCAGAGGCAAGCTAATTCAGATACAGAAAGATAACCAAGAAGGAGGGAGAAGATGGCAAACACATGTCTTTTCTCCTAGAAGCACCAACTTACCTTAAAGCAAGGAAAAAACAGAGAAATAAAGCTGGGAAGAGGAAAAAGACTGGGCTGGGTGTTGGTCAGATGATCTTTAATAAATGTTGTCCAGGATGATTCAGTGATGGATCTTACAGCCATTGCTCAGTAATGAAGTTTCTCATTCTTGACAAGTTATTATTTTTTATTTTCCATCACAAAATGGCAGAGGAAATTAACTGTATGAACATGGCCAAATGCTGTGCTTTAGAACAGACTGTGTGAGAGCAAAAGACACAGAGCGGGTTCTGGAGCTAGCAGCTCTAGTAAGAAACCCCTCTCGTCCTTCAAACCACATGTATTCTATCACTGCCAGGCCGTTTTGTGGCCTGAAATGAATGCTAGGCCTTCTGCCTACTGTAGTGGATTCAATTATGCACAGTGACTTCAAAGATCCTGTTGCCTGCTTCTGCCCTCTTAGCCACGACAGAAACACAAGGATACTAACAACAGCAGCTAGCTTTTATAAAGCTTCACTGTGTGCACTGGCTAAATGCTTCTCTATGCTCATATTTATGAGAAGGTACCATTGCCATCCTCAGAATGAAACTAAAGTCTTAAAGAATTAGAAAACTCGTCCAAGACCTCACAGCTAATAAAAGGCAAAAGCAGGATTCAAACTGGGGCTGAGTTGAGAGCCTATACCCGCCATCCGTAAGGACTAAGGGTAAATCTAAGAGGCCACTGGCAGTCCCAAATCTGGTAATGGCACACTCACCTGCCCCATCCGGAGTGATGGTTCCCAGCTTCACAGCCAAAGGGTAGCCCATGTCTCTGTAATGCTCCAGCGCATGCCCATTGCCCCCAGAACTGTCAAAGAACCACTTCCCACACAGGATGGAGCCGTCCGTCAAATTCAACCAGAGGTTCTCCCGCAGGTCACACCTGGCACACTTCCAACCACTGGAAAGGCATTGGAGAGCAGTCAGAACACCCCAAATAACTAACTAACATCTGGGAAAACAAAGTCTCACATTGGTCAGTCACAGGAAATGCTCCATGAAATAACAGACACTGGTGCCTCCCTACACTGCCCCTGCAGACAGTACTTTAAGGGCTTGGGGTATAGCTCGGGGGTAGAGTGTGTGCTTAGCATGCCTAAGACTTTGGGTTTAAGTCCAGCACCCACACAAAAATACCCATTCTCATTACCCTTCCCAGAGCAGCTGGGCCACTCAGCACCCTGCTGGTGTACCTGCACTCAAATGTGGATTGGCCCTCCAGGCATCTCCAGGTGGCTCCTGTATGTCAGAAAACTGACACCTGACATGGGGACAGGAGGGGCGCTCATTTCTTCAAAGGTCACAAGTGAGGGACAGTGAAGTTTAAACAAGCTTAAAATATGAAAGATCCTGCATATACAAACATCTAAGAAAATATGTAACTGACAATTCAGAGTAAAAGTAGGGGGCTGGGGATTTAGCTCAGCGGCAAAGCGCCTACCTGGCAAGTGCAAGGTCGTGAGTTGGTTCCCGGTACCGGAGAAAAACCAAAAAAAAACCAAAAAAAAGAACACCAGAGTAAAAGTAGGACAGCAAAGCTCCTTTGGCCAGTTACAGGAGCTAAAGTCCCATTTCGCTATTAGACCCTCACCTTGGAGGAATCCTGACTCCATTGTCCAGCTGGGTGAGGTTACTGGCGTATTTAGATACTGGCAATTCATTTTCCCACGTGTCTGGGTCCTGCTTCCTGTACGGAGATTTTGAACTGAGAACGGCATCACAAGCAATGGTTACCTGTAAGACAAACCCAGATGTGACGTATAAAAACAGTGTGAGAGATGAATACATTCTAGAAGATGAATTTAAAAACCTGTTAATAAGTACAGCTTAACTGAAGAAAATTCAAATATCACAGTTACCGTAAGAGCAATGCTCTGATTTCCCGCACACACCCCTAGCTCTAGCTAGGATTTCTCCCTGAGCTGGAGTGTGCAGTATAGACAATGGCACAAAATAACAAGGACCCAAAATGAGTTTGTAGGCTCCAGCTCAGGCATCAGATTGAACCATTCCTACCACTTAGCAAGCAAGGTGAAAAGTAGGAGATGAATTATTTACTAGAGTGAAATTAGGTACAGGAATGCCCAGGATTTACCCGAGTGATGTATTTTCCCCCTAACAAATGTGCACCCAGATATCTAATATCCTCACCTCATCACACAATGGCATGTGGTCAAGGGCACTTCAATGGAATGTAAGCAGCAGGGCTCCATTTCTTAATTTGGTGCAAATGTGACCTTGGATGGGGACTTGCCTAGGTCTCTCTGTGCCAGATCAGTCCTCGTCGTGAGCAAATATGTGATGTCCTGCTTGGCACCAACTGACCAGGAAAGGGGAAAGACAGATTCTATCTCCTTCCAAACCTAATGGATCCTAGCCATATGCTTCTATCAAATTTGCTACTTGCCTGAAACTATCAACTATCTATAGCTGTTTTTAGGAATTTATATTCTGTGGAAAGGTAAAATGTACAGCCACTTTGGAAAACAGTTTGGCAGTTCCCTAAATGATTAAAGAGAGTTACCATAAAACCCAGCAGCTCTATAAGCAGGGATATACCCAAAATATATGAAAATATGCAACCACAGAAACTTATAAATGAATGTTCACTGTAGTGTTTTATAAGCAGATGGAAACAACCTAACGCCTAGCAGTGATAAATAGAATGTACGATAAAATGTAGTACGTTCACACAATGAAGTATTATTCAGCAAGAAGAGAAAATGAAATACTGATATATGCCCCATAGATAAATTTTGAAAATATACGCTAAATAAAAAAAGCCAAGCACAAAGTAACACATTTTATGATTCCATTTCTATGAAATGGCCAGGACCAATAAATCTACAGAGTCAGAGAACAGATTAGTGAGTACTAGAAGCTAACGGGAAAGAGGAGGGGCTTGCAGACTGACAGCTTTAGGGATATGGGGTCATTTGTTAGGGTAATAAAAATATTCTAAAATTAGATAGTGCTGATGGATGCCCAACTCTGAATATAATAAAACCTACTGGATTGTTTTTTAAAATGCCTAAGACAAAAAAAAAAAAAAAACATGTAGTCTATATCCCTAACATCCTGCACAATTAACTGATCATTTTTTCTTGAGGATTACTGACAATTAACCCTATGCACAAGCAACACACAATGGAAAAGGTTGCCTTAGCTTCCATCCTACCCCCCGTGAAGCCCATGGGCAATTTCTACAAATCCTCCATCAAAACTATATTTGGAACCTGCCTGTTCTCCATTTCAGCCAGAGTCTCAGCTACCATCATGCCTCACCCAGATGACAAACAACAGGCTTCGTCTTCTTTTGCTCTTGTCTTCCCTTCCGTGCCCAGCAGGTAGTGATTTGCTGTGAAAGTGAGGTCCTATCCTTCTGGGTCATAAACTCTCTGTTACACTTAATGCTGACAATGGATGAGACTTGACCAGGCACAGTGAAGAAGAGGTCCCTACCTTCAAAAAGCTTAGAATCCATCACACAGCACCCCTCACAAGGGGTAAATGTATAACTAGACTTTCAGTTATCAAAATTCACCTCCCACTACCTTTCAGAGACGCCTGTAAAATAGGGCTGAGAGCTCCACAAGTCCCCTCTGGATTTTCTCCACCCGCTTCAGATCAGTTTTAGGCATTCTTGGGTGTGGTACACAATGGTTTTGAATGAGATTCAGATGAACTCTTGTGTCTTTTCTTTGAATTTCCTTCCTGATGACATCCAACAAAATTTCCTCATACTTTTGGACCTCTATAAAATATTGACCTACTATTTTCAGAATATCATTGAGAATCACTTGAAGGCCCTTCTTATGGGTCCCAGCTAAAGGTCAGGGTCAACCTCTTATAATTATGCTTTGCATTATTCTCTCTTGGTTTTGTTATCTGGAGTGAAGGGAGGACAGCATGGTTCCATGCAAAGTCTCCACAGGCCTCAGGTTGAGCAGTGCTCTGGTACTGGCTGAAATTGGCCCCTAAGAGTTGAATGTGAAATTGTAATAAGTTTTGCACCCCTGTGTTGTGGCATGGTTGCCTATAGATGCTCACAATAGCCAAAGAATGGGAGCAGCTAAAGTGTCTGTCAACTGCTGAGTGGATAAAGAAAACGTAACATACACACAATGGAATACTGTTCTGCCACAAAAAGGAACAAAACCCTGCATTTTCAACAACATGGATAGAACTGAAGATCGTTATGTTAAATGAAATAAGTCAGGCATAGAAAGACAAGTGTGGTACTGCATGATCTCACTCATGTAAAAACGAACTCATAGAAGTTGAAAGTAGAATGGTCCTTACCAGAGGCTAGGGAGAACATGGGGGCAGGAGGGATGGGGTAAAGTTATCTACCCTTTTCACATAAAGACTCCATCGAGCCTGAATGAGAGAAAAATAACTTCTCATGACATTTATGCATAATATGTTTCTCCTTTTCTGACAGCAAAAGTAAGAGTTATATCAGACAAGGGCAGTGAGAACTCCACTGCAGAGACATAAGCTTTGGTATATAATTTCTGGGAATGGGATGAGGCAAGACCATTTTGTCCACTAATACATTTTATCCTTGGTAACTAACAGCCACATGAGTCAACACGGGGAATCTGAGAAAGCAGAGGTAATTTAATTCTGCATGCTTTCCTGAACACTATCACTGACGATGGGAGAGGATCGTTACTTCTAAGAAGTGGAAGGTCAACCATAGATAAGTACAGAAAGTTCTCGTTTCTGCGCGCGAATATGTAGATATAAAGTAGATCAGGAGAAAAGAACTGAAATGGTAGAAACCTTGTTCCTAGGAACATGGAAACCTTAGGCACAAATGTCCCGAGCTGGCAGCAGCAAGCAAGCAGATGGCTGTGGAAAGTCACGTAACGTCCAGAAGACCGGGGGACCTAACGACCTGGCTCTGGTTCTGGCACAGTGTGAAGAAGGAAAATCTGAACTGGCATGTCTAACCTCAACCCACCTGACCCCACGTCCCCTGTGACCTGGCTCTGGGAAGCTGAGATATACACAGAGTGGAAAAGAAGAAAAGAGAAGAAAGAGGAAAAAGGAAAGAAGATAGGGCATTGGAAGCAATACAGGAAAGGAGGAGAGCAGGAAACACACTGAGGGGCCCCACAGGGATTCTGTGCCCACTTACAAGGGTTTGAGAATCAAAGAAAAACAACCCTCCCTCCCTCATCACCACCATCCCCAGCTCCAAGGAGTTCAGGAAAATTACAATTGCTCCACAAAACTGGATTGGAAAAAAAGAAATGAGCAGGGAAGGGGAGGGGGAGGGAAGCTCACTACTAAAAATATAAAACCTAGACAGCAGTCTTAGTTCTCACAGGGAACAAAACTGAAAAGAACCGGTTTACGTTTCCCAGAGCTCCCACAGACCTGGGAGTTGTAAATGTCTCTTTCTTTTTATAACTGTGTTCCTGTTGTTTTCGCATCGGCACATTTTCGGCTTTTCCAAACAAAATCTCATGTGGAAGGACAATATGAGAAAACTGATAAAAATATTGCCATCCCTCTGATCAGAAGTCTGTCTCTCTCCAGCCGTCCCTCCATAAGTTGGCTGCATTCTTGGAAAATCTAAGCAACCAACTGCAACCTGGGGACAAGAAACAAGCCCACCCGGAAGAGACCGGCGTCAGGGGCAAAGACGTTCAAGCAGCACAGGAAGGAGTGGGCAGTGAGGTGGGTATACGGCCCCACGGTGCTGAAACGCAAGCCTAGGAGGCCCCTGTCACAGAAGAGAAGCAATGTGCTCGTGTTCATGCCCACTCTTACCCTCTTCTCTCATTCCCCCACCTCCCCCCCATGCACACACATCACACGCGCACACACACCTGACACAGAGTCACGCGCATCTAGCTAGCAGCCGTGCACACTCACTGACCAGGGCCGGTAACTCCTCAATATTTGGTAGTGCTATTTCATAGTGGTCTGGGAATATAACAAGTTTGGCTTCATCTTCATATTCGTAATCGTCGCTATTTAAATCATCATCAGTATCTAGATCTGAGGAGAAAACAAAAACAAAGAACAAGAAGTGAGGACAGAAACATCCCACGCTAAGGCAGCTCCCGTGGGGAAAGCTGGAAATCCACGAAGATGAGACCAAGGGTGTGCCATTTGCAATTTCCAACTGACATGACTGTCCATCTGCCCCAACCAGGAACAACAGTCCCTGCCATCTTTCCTACGTCGTGGATATTTATTTATCTGCAACAAATGTACGGAGACGACTGAGTCATATCATAAAGCCCTACAGTTAGAACAGGCAAATATGAAAGACTGAATTCTTAAAGATATTTAAAAGAACAGATTGTTACTTAAGATTTTGGGGGGTACCTGGCTTCTGATTTCAAAAGAACTGGCCATTTTATAGAAGGTGCATGCATTTGAGAGTACATAAACCAGGTTTAATGCTGGCTCCAGAATTTAATGTTACTTTGGATAAATCACAAACTCGCTAAAACCTATAGTTTCCTCGCTGGCAATGTACAGATAATAATATTTATCTCATATAGTTTACATAGAAGATAAATAAAAATTATAGACAAGAGACTTGGCCCACAATAGTTAATAAATAGTAATTATTATTTATTAACTATTATCTTCATAATAATAGTTAACTCTTGACAGTCATTGAGAGCTTGCACAATGAACCAGAGGAGGAACCCTATCATAGGAGTAGTCCTGCTATCCTCAGGCTGTGGAGAACTCTCAGTAAGATGAGCTCCCCTAGCCCATTGTCGATCAAGTCATCACCTCTTTGCTAGGTTAATCTCTGGTAAAGGTTAGGTGACGGATCAAGGAAACCTCCTGTCACAATATTTACATGGACATTTCAGCCTCATATTCACAGTAATGCCAGCGTAACAGGTCATGTTTGTATGTTTATATGTTTGGAACTATGGTGACAAACGACAGCAATTGAGCTATATTCCAATCACATGCACAAACCACACACAAGCAGATACATGAACACATGTGGCAACATAGGGTCTGTGGACAGGGGAGAAAAAAGTTATTTTACTATAATCTGAAGCAGTCACCTGCGAACCAAAGGATCTAGCTTCTATCGCCTTGTATGCCTTCAACACAAACAAGTATTTTTGTATACAGCTCTGTTCTTGAATTGTCAAAGGGAAGACAGGTTAAAGATAAAATATAGCAAAAATACAGTTCGAACATTTTAATAAGAGATTCTAAATAATAAGAATCAGAAATATCAAAATAAGGAACCAAACAACATACTAAGATAGCCTTAAGAGGTTAACTAGATAAAAGGCAAATTTAAAGATTAATAGAATCTTAATAGAGTTTAAGAAATGACCACAGGCATTTATTTAAAGGAAATAACAAAAAGACATTCTGTGTTATAAAAATTTGAATTCCCCAACTTGTATAATTTTTAAAAACTGGAACCTAAAGAACAAAACAGAACAAAAAACTGGAACATAAAATATTTAATGAGAATAATATTCAACTCAATAGAATATTGTTTAAAGGTAGTTATTTCAACTATGCAGCAACGTGAAAATGTTTATGCTATGTTAATGTTAAAAATCAAAAATGCATCTTCAGTGTAAAGACAATTTTGTTTTATTCATAGTCAAAAATTGGAAGGAAGCCTGCAGAAATGAAAATAACAAACATAGATGGAGATATAGCCCAACAGCACAGCACCTGCCTGGAAAGCGCAAGGCCCTGAGCTCGATTCCTGGTACCAAAATAAAAAAGAAAAAGGAAAAGGAAATAACAAATGGGTGAACTTTTCTCTAATCTTAAAGTTTTATTATTGTTATAATATTGTGAACGTAACAATCTCAAGTAACCAAAGTACGAATCTTTTGTTTCTGCATAGAGCCTCAGGTCATATAAGATAATACTTTCTCTTTTCCACAGAAAACACTCATGTTATGCGAATTCAGTGAGTTTAGACAGACCTAAACAAAGTCCAAAAAAAATTCTGCTTCAACATTTACTAGCTATATAACTTAGGTAAGTTCCTTCCAAGTTCAGCTTCCTCATGAACTAATGTTCATGTTGATAATATTACTTGCTGCACCAAAGTGTTAAGAAGAATAAACAAGATGAGGTTTTGAGGCACCTGGTGTAGAATCTGGTCGGTACTAGGGTCTCCACAGATAACAACAAATACCATTGTCATCTCCTCACAATCTCTACATTCCTGGCAACTAATACAATCAAAAGTGCCTTCCCCTTCTCTGGATGCCCCAGCCCCAAGCAATCCTGAAATATGTTTCAGGAAGACTATAGTACCATGTGGGCGGGCCAGGGATGCAGCTCAGCAGCACAGCACCTGCCTGGCAAGTCCAAGGTCATGAGTTCAATTCCCAGTACCCCAAAAAAAAAACCAGAACATAGTATCATGTGGGCATCCTCCATGTGATCTGAGTATAAAGAAGATATGACTTTCACGTGCTGCTAGACTTAAGCTCAGAGGGGGAAATTGGTCCTAATCACCTCTCATATCCCTGGTCCCTGCACGACACCCACCACATGCCTCCCAGCAACAAAGGAGATGTGTATTCCACATTGCCTTGGCAACTGTTACGGTTTGGACTTTTTTGCAAGGGAAACAATATAATACAGGACACATATTTTATAAGATTATTTATAATAATCACCCAAAGAATCATATACAAGAAAGTGCAGGAAATCTGTCCACACACTAGAGACCATAGTACACATTTGCAGTACCTAGAGACTGCATTTATCATGGGGCGTTTGTACGTGAACATAACACACCTTAATTCTTTATCGCCACTTTCCCCTCCCACCTCTCCTTGCTCCCTCCAACTCCTGTTCTCCTTGCTAATTTCAGTTTTCACAATAAAGCTTCAAGCGGATACATATGTATAATAACTGCTAGTGCATTTAGTTAAAAATATACCATATTTGGTATATCACTTTAAAAAACTGTTAAATAGTCACACTGAAGGTAACTGAGGAGCCTGAAATCCCTTAACTCCCCATCTCCCCTTCTTTCTCATAAAACACTAAGTTTTGCATTAGTTTTTTTCCCTCAAGGTCACAAACTCTCTTAGTGTTGCAAGTTGGCTTCCTGAAGACAATGTAATAGTGTCTTTGCCCATCTTAGAAACATTAATGAAGTCACCCAAGGTTCAAGGTTCATAGCATCACTAAGAATTCCAGCAGCTTTTTCACCCAGAGCCACAGAAATGCCTAAGCATTGTGTTTAGTTAGCAGCTAGGCCCAAACAACTGAGTATCTATGTTTTAACAACTCAGTAACCACTTGAGAAATTAATACATACATGTTAATTTTATTTCATAAGTACAGTTTATGGGATGTGTACACACACTGGGCGCCGTACAAATTCTCTGAATCAGACTGAACAGTGCCACTTTTGTTTCTTCCATCACATGGATTTTTACATGGTTCTTGCCTTTTACCATGGAAACCAGAAGTTAAAAAAAAAAAAATACGCTTTACGAACAGATGAAGTCATTTGATGGGATACAGGAAAACCTAACAGTAGAACTACATCAAGCTTGGTTCACACAGTATTCAACCATCACTCTTCCCTTGAAGATTTAAAATATCCCCCAGTGCTCCTGTGAGTTCACTGCAGCCCTCCAGATGGCTCAGAACACAGTTTGGGAACCAAACTCCCTACTGCCCTCATGAAATCAATAGTGAAGGTCACAACCAAATGACCCAGTGGTCTCAATGTTGCTATTAAGCCACTGGGAAAGGAGTTATTCATAAAATCATCAGGTGACCGAAAGGCAAAAAGAGACTCAATCTAACATCAAGCAATGGCCATCTACACCTGATAGATGTTTCGGGAAGGGGAACAGGAAGGGGAAGGAAGGCATCATAACACCCACACTTCAGTACTAGTGAAATAGCACTTTCTAATCAAAGAAATGAAGAGAAACTGCCAGAGCATTCTGAGTTCTCTCCTCTGTGAAGAGACAGCTCCATCCCTTTAAGAAAAGGAAATGTCAACTGCAGAAGCTACTAGCAGCCTCCCAGTAGTGTCCCTCTCCCCTTCAGTAAGGGACTTCCAACTTTATTCAGTGTTAACAGGGTTTATTTTCCAGTCACTGGTCACTGTGGACATGTGTCCAAGTTCTGACCTGAAATGTGAAAACTGCCTGAAGAACTGTGAGAAGTGGACAAAAGGAAGGTACTCTATTGGGAAATGAGATGTTTCGTCATTTCCTCTTCCTCTTTCCTGCCTTCCAGATTGGATGTGATGGTTGGAGCTCCACCAGCCATTTTGGACCAAGAAGTGACCATGAGCTTGAAAGTCACAGGCCAGGACAGGGAGTCAAGCAGAAATATGGGAAGAGTCTAGATCCCAGATGAACATGAGGCCGCCCCAGCAGCCTGGACTTACTGCTTCCCAGCATCCTCCGCATGAGGGAAATAAGTCTCTGTGTCACTTAAATATATCTTAAAATTAGCAAAAATGTTAAGGCTTTCTGTTACCTAAACCAGAAACAATCCGAATACAACCCACCCCTGAAATTAACTTACAAGCCCTATTTAAACGAAGGAATTCCATTTACTTCACCACAAAGCTGTTTGGTGTGGCAAGAGGAGAGAGCTTACTTCTGGGAGCTAAGAAGCACCGCTGCTAAGGACTAAGAATCGGGCTTGAAAACCAAGTTCTCAATGGGGTAAAGAAGCCGATGTAAAAGTATCTGGGTGTAAAATAACTGGCACAAATGGGGCCTGGAGCAAGCTCCAGAATGTTCATGGAATTCCAGGTTAAGTTTTTTAGGAATAAGCGCTTTTCTAGTTTGAGAGTTTTAGATGCAGCCTGTGGTTTACCAAGACATGGGATGTGAGTTAACTCAAAAGGAAGGTACTCTATTGGGAAATGAGATATGTTTTGTCATTTTCTCTTCCTCTTTCCTGCCTTCCAGATTGGATGTGATGGTTGGAGCTCCATCAGCCATTTTGGACCAAGAAGTGACCATGAGTTTGAAAGTCACAGGCCAGGACGGGGAGTAAGGTGAAAGGGAGCCCACTGGAAGGAAACAGTGGGTAGCAACAGAGGCAGCCATGAGTACTTAGTACAAAACCTCAGTGCTTTCTCTTAATTTTTTAAACTGTATCTTGACAATATTCTTTACCTTCAAGATAACCAAAGAGCTAGGAATGTAACTACTGGTAGATCACTTGCCTACATGTACAAGAAAGACCCTGTGTTCAATTCCTAGCACTTCAAATAACAATACTAATCATCATCAGTGATGTAAAATCAAGCGTCAAAATCTTTTCAGTAAGACACCCAAGTTAAAGACTAAAAGATCACCTAATTACTTCAACCAAAAAAAAAAAAAAAGATGAAAAATAACTACATTAAGTCAAAATGTTCAATTATTTCTACCTTCAAGAAGGCCATGCTGATGTCATTTAATTAAGAAGTCACATTATCTACATTGTGAAAGGGAAGCGGAAGGCTAATAACCAAGCATCATCAGGCACTCAACCATTTCAGCTTCGGGACTCATCCTGGGCTGCCCTGGGTCTGGCTGGTTGATTAAGGTCGGGTCACAAAGTCATGTGGTGAGTGGGAAAGACTGGCCACGGTGGAAAAGCCAACTGCAGACATGCCACAGGAAGCAAACAAGGACTTAGGAAGCAGGAGAGAGGTCAGCACCATCAGTCAGGTCCAGCACGGAGTAAATGAGAATCAAAGCAGGATGGAGACTGAGATCCATGACTGTTTCAATGATTTCACTTTTTAAATAATTTGCCTTTTCATGAGAATAATAACACATGTTATTTTTAAAAGCTTAAATACAAATAAGCAAAAAGAAAAATCAAAATCATTTCCATCCTATTATCAGGAAAGAGCTACTATTAACAATCTAGACTACAGCATATTCTTCCAGACTCTTCCAGTCTCCCAGTTATACTTGTATGTGTGGTGCATGGATAAACCTGTGGGGCACACAGGTAATTATGTGTACATGTGTGCACACATATATGCATGTATATGTATACTGTGTATATAAACCTGCATACATATAGACATATATACCCATATTCATATAAATTTTTTACCAAAACAAAATCATACTATGCAAACAAATCTGATATTTCTTTCAAATAATATCCCAGGCATTATAATAATAGAAAACTGTTTGGTCAAAAATTATCAAACAGTACTCACTTTGGCAGCATATAAACCAAAACTTATCAAACAATCTTATCCCAAGAAAATTATATCGGAATTTTAATGTGATATATGAGCATAATCACATGATATAGAAATCAACTGTCACTTCCCTAAGTAAAACTGAAGGGCGAAATCAAAACATCACCATTAAGGCAAACACCACAGTTACAATTGTTCCAAGGCAAAATCCACTGTTGGATACTAACATTAACAGGCTGAGAAGAAACAAGACATCAGCATAATCTCAAAGCAGCACCCCAGATGTTCATCAACTGCATTATAACTTTACAGTGAGAAGCCCAGCAGACGCTACCTTAAGATGTGACCCAGTTCAACATTACTGGTGTGAAGACATAGCAAGCTCAGGTACCTCCTGATACCTTGCGCTGAGAGGGACACATGACCTCTGTAGTAGTCTGGCCAGAAACTCCTAACTTCAGAGTTTTCATGAGAAAACATCAGACCAACCCAACCTAAGGAGCATTCTACAAAATACCTGAGCAATACTCTTCAAAAGAGTCACCACTGCTAAAGACAAAGACACCCTGAGGAACCTCCAGACTGGAAAGGGAGAAGGGAACAGGACAAGTGGATGCAGTGTGGGAAATCCAGACTGGAACCTACCACCAAACATTTGTGGAAAAACTCATGAAATTTTAATAGTGTCTTAAGTTTGGCTAATGAAAACACAGAAAAGAAAAAGTGACTCTTCTTTAAAGTAAAATGAAAAAAGAGATCAAACAGGATAATAATTACTCTCTATTTACTATAATTGCTTTAAAGTACTAGCCCCTACTAAGTATGCTAAAACCATCCTCCACAACAAGGTAAATGCAAAATATTTTCAGAGATTCTCAATTAAAACTGGCCTGGCGTGAGGGCGCACACCTAATTCTAGCACTCGGAAGGCGAGACTGGGAGGATCATTGCGAGTTCAAAAGCTGCTTGGGCTACATAGTGAGTTCAGGGCCAGCCTGAACTACATAGTGAGACCCTGCCTCAAAAAACAAAAATAAATAAATAAAAATAAAAATAAAATTGAGTCTCTCGTCCTTAAATTGTAGAGCAATAAAAAAAAAACCTAGTGTTACTTTAAATCAGACATGCAAATGCACGTACACGTACACACACACACATATGCACACACACAACCTGATGACACAATTGATAGCTATTATTTACATTACCTAAAAAAATCTTGGAATTCCTCCTTTTTGGTAAAGCTCCACCAGATGCCCCTCTTACCTTCTGAAAAGAAAATAAGAGATCATTAAAATGTTGCATATGAAATAAAGTTTTAGAAGAAAATGCACCCAATTTTTATTAAAAGTTGCATGAAAAGTTCCCACCTTTTAAAAAAGGCCAGCAAGAAATATTCAAGAGGGCTAGAGATTCTAGAATAACCAGAATGTAGGTGGAGCACAGGACTGCTGGTGCACCTGATTCCTCTCACCACTTTCTACAGAAAGCACTTCTGGAAAGGGAAGAGGTAATCAAAGGCCCAGGTAAAGGAGATGCTTAAACTTCAATCAGCAGGGGCTCCCAGGGGGTGCTGGAGTCCATGCGAGCTGAGGAGAGTGGGGGAAAATGATTGCGGCTCCAGGAAGTGAAAGTCCTGTCCCCGGTTACCCAGGGGATCCCCAGCTTGGTCCTATGCATGATCAATAACTACTGTTAAAGGATTTAATAAATATTTATATAGTCTCTGATACCCTGATCAGATTAAACCTCCTAAACATTGTGGAGCACATTAGATGGCCATGTTTGCCATCCTAACCCTGATGGGTGGAAGTCTCCACAGCAATAAACAAATGCCCAGCAATAGAGGCCATGTGTCTGACGCTCACGCAAGTAATTTTACTCTCAGATAGGATTAGGATTATGATAATAATTTCAAGTGGCCGAGACCATTTCCACACTGTATTTTTTTCAGTTATTAGACAAGAACAAGCTTCCAACCACCACAGCACGTGTGGGTCCAACCTCAGCACCTTTCCAAGCAGCCAGAAGCCTCAAGGCTTTGCCGTGCATTTGCTTCTTCTTTGTCTTAGGAGTCCTAAGTCTCCTTTCCCACATTTGATTATTTAAAATCAAAAGCCAACTCTCTGTGCTTCTTAGAGTAAGTTTTTATAGCTTCTTATATAGTTTATCTTTAACCATTTTCTCTAAGCTGAAGACTTCCAGGTTAGTATCTCTCCAGCGCCAAAGATCTGACCAGTCAACTTTGACTTGGATTTTATTTTTTCTTCAACATCTCACAGGTACCCTCAAGTTCAGTGAGTCCAAACTGCACTCTCCTCTTTCTCAAAATAATTCCTCCCCCAGAATTCCAGAGACTTAGACATCCTTTGGGTTCTACCTTCCTCTGTGTCGTGTTGATGATTAAGTCTTGTTATCCAGGCTTCCCAAATAGCTCTGAAATCCTTTCCATCCCTACTGTTCTTGTCTGAGAACTCGAGATCAGACTAGTGCTATAGCTTCCAAATGAATGAACTGGTTAAAGAAGGATACGATGGCACTGATGCGAAGATGAGCATCTTTTGGAGAAAGAAGACAGGCTGGTCAAATGGCATCTTAGGAAATGCCAATAGGTAAGGAGTAAACAAAGGAAGGCATGCTACTTTTCAAAAATGCAAAGGGCAGTCAGAAAAGAGGAGAGCTGAGAAAGGATAATGCCAAGAAAGCAGGGGAGGAACAGTTCCAATGCAAAATAAGGCCAAGTATTCAAATTACTTAAAACATCAGGTAACATCAGAGACAAAACACATCCACCAAATAGTACAGTGAGTAAGCGCTCATGGACACTCCTGGCAATTTCATAGATGAACAAAATCAATCAGACTTCAATGCTGAGTCCTAACGGAGATGTAGTAGTGACTATGAAAAGAAAAAAGGTGTTAAGGAAGCGTCGATCAATGGCTACTACAACCTCAGAAGAATACAAATTAGAGGGATGGTTTTGTGGAGGATTCTAAGATGGGAGACAATAAGCCAGGAGAAGGAAAGGCTGGGCTCTAACACATAGTACAATGCACAGATGAGCCAGTTTGTGAGCTGGGAGGAACCAGGACCATGAGGACAGATACACCACAGCCTTCTGCTGAGATGGGAGTGAAACAAAAGTGGGAACAGATGCAGACAGGCCTCCAGGATGCAAGCAGGAAGTTATACGAGTTCCTGTCCCTGGGTCCCAATTTTCTCTGTAACATGCAAGTCAAAACAGTTTTCCGAGAATGATAAATACTAACAAAGGCTTGAGGAAAACATCCAACGTTCAGAGTGGTCACTCAGGGCAGTGAGGAGGCCACAGGCAGTGAGGGCCCACGGAAGGGGAAACCCAGAAATCTGACAAAGTACTTACTACCATTTGGATGCTGTTTACCACCTGCTCCCAAAGGTTCACGTGCTGGAAGTTTGATCCTCAGTGTGGTTTGGGGAGGTGGCGGGACAGTTAAAGGTGAGGCTCCACGGGCACTCTTTAGGCCGAAGGGACATGCCCTCAGAAGAGACTGTGGGATTCTATCTCTTTGGCTTGCTGTTTCATGTGATTTCTTCCACCATTGGCCATTTTTCAGGGGAAACCAGAGCCTTAACACTGCTTTTTGGAATTTCATCCTCCTCCAGCAACTGAGATAAGTAAATCTCCTTCCATTACAAAGTTAGCCTTCCTGATGTATTTCATTATAGTAATGCAAAACAAACGTAGTCCCAGATGCCACGGTGGTATAGGCTTTCCACGCCAGTGTGCATGGGAACGGAGAGACCTATTAAGGGATCACCTGGTTGGACTTCTGCAGGACATTAAGGGGGCAAGACAAGGGGACAAGGGTTGGTTACAGGAACTGCTGATGACAGAATGTTTAGAACCATGGGTCCTAAGAACCAAGGTAGACAAGTCACAGGCCAAGACTTAAGGCGGTAGAGCAATGGTTCCAAACAGGAATGACCGAGTGAAAGAGCAAAAATGAGCGGAGACTGCACTTAAAGAGTGAAATGCTTCACTTACAATTTCAGAGATAGAGCTGACCGGACAAGACTGTCAGCATTCCACAATGTTGCCACTGGCTTCGTGACCCTGAGCAAGTTGTTAAGGTTCTGAGTTTCTCTTATCACTTGACAGATATACGGGCCAAAGTGAATTCCCTAAGAATATCCATGCAGCACCCAAGAGGACTAGTGAATATAAATCTTAACATCAGACCAAAATTAAACTATTTTAAAGGTAACCTTTGCATTTACGACTTAGACGACCTCCGGCCTTTCTCTTAAACAGAGTACATATTAGGTAAACTAAAGAGAGACATTAAGTAAGATTCAAATCAGAACTGATAAGAAGATTCAAAACAATCCACAAACATTTAGGACTGTCCAAAATGGACATTTGAAAATTAATAACATCCCCAACGAACATCAATAAACAATTAAATATGGAAACAATAAGACAACAGTAACATGAGTAACAAAAAGTATAGGGTACCTTAAAAGTCTAGCAAGATATAAATTCCTTCACGGAAAATTTCAAAATACTATTGAACTTCAAAAAAGAGACTGGAGTAAATAAAGAAGTATCTCAGGTTGAGTGGTCATTCAACAAATATTTATGAAGCACCTACTATAAGCTAGGCATTGTTAGAGGCTTAAGGACACAGGAGTGATTACAGCAGATGAAAGTCCATGCCTGCTAGAACTTACGCGATGGTGTAAATTATAGACTAAACTATAAATTCAACGTGATGGTAACCAAAATCTTAACAGTATATTTTTAACTAGATGAACTGATTTTTAACTGATTCCAAAGTCCATTTTAGAAAAAACAAATGTCAGGGTAGGGATAAAGCTCAGCAGCACAAGAGCCTGCCTGCCAAACACAAGGTCCTGAGTTTGATTCCTGCTACCAAAAAAAAAAGGAAAACAAATGTCTAAAAATGCCCAAGAAAGTCCTAGAGGGAAGAAATGAACATACAGAGAGTGTTGGTGCTACAGTACTAGATAGTAAGGCCTGCCACAGGCTTTCTTCACAGAGAGAAACGAGATCAACAGAACACAAGTGAAACCCACATGTGAATATCAACTTGAAATATTAAACAATGGTGCTATAAGTCATTGTGAAAGTTGTTAGTTATCAATATGCAAAAAGTTTTCTATTCTTCAAATACAAAAATAAATTACAAATGGATTAAAAACTTAAAATGCAACAACATATATACTTACTTTTTTTTTTTTTTTTTTGTCTTTTTGAGACAAGGTCTCACTACGCAGTTCAGGCTGGCCTTGAGCTCACTTTGTAGCCGAGGCTGGCCTCAAACTTGCAACAATCCTCCTGCCTCAGCCTCCCTAGTGCTCGAATTATAGGCATGCACCACCACGCCCAGCCACATTTACTTTTTTAAAAAGTTGCTAGAAGAAATATTTTATGACCTTGATTTGAGAAGCAATCTTTTAGATGAGACACAAATAGCATAACTTATATGAGAAAAACTTATTAAATCTAAGAATAGAATTTAAAACTTCATTTCTAAAAAATTTTTCATAGAAAAAGTACAAAGACTAGTCACAGAGCAGTAGAAAATTCTGTACATAATCAACAAATATATGATAACCAGAATGTAAAAACAATGTATCAAATATATAAAGAAAAAGATGAATTCACAAAGAGAAGCCAAAAATATAAATAGGACGATTAGAGAAAAGAAAACCAAAATGGACAATAAATATAAGAAAAGTTGTTCAGTCCTCACAGAAAGAAACATTAAGTTTTTCTCCGTCACTTTATAACAAAAGGCAAGAGTATGGCCAAGGGTTTGTGAAGCTGGGGACAAATAGGAACTCATTGCTACAATGAGGAACTACATTGCTACAATCATTCTGGAGAGAGACTGAACTTTCTCTAATAAAAATGAGGAAAAACAAACTTATAAACTAGCAGTGCCACTTCCAGATCTATTTCCTAAAGAAATTTTGTACATGTCCCCTGGAGAAATGTATAGAAATGTTGGTTTCTGCATTGTTTTTAGTAGGAAAAAACAGAAACAATGGAAGGATTCACAACAGAAGAGTAGAATAAATTATGCGGTACTCATAGGCTAGAATACCAAATAACTATTAAAATTGGTTAAGGACCCACAGAGGCATCTCAACGTGCACAGATTCCAAAAACAACACTGAGCGGGGAAGCTCTACACAGAATTGTAAGTGACAGGGTGACGGCGTGTCTCTACATCTTTAAAACATACAGTCCAAGTACACGTTGCTCATGGGCACACAATGTAAATCAGATATAACGACATGCATGGGAATGAAATGCAACGACTCACAGCAGTGGTCACTTTGAAAAGGAAGGGAACCAAAAGGACCTGAATTTTCAAAAAATCTGTATTTCTCTCATTAAAAATCAATAAGTCAACAAGTAAGTAGCACAAACACCCACATGTTTTTCCACTGCGGACTTTTGGACCCATGAGTATGTCTAGCATTATCTTCTGTACTTTTTCTGTGTTCTTAAACTTATATTATCTTCTTCCCCATCATTCAACCCACATCCTTTTCACAACTCCAGTGAGGAGTCCAGAGGAAGAAGCATAAAAATGGTTAAGGCAAGGTTAGGGGAGAATCTGCGACTTTCCACGCACCGCGCTGCTTTTGTTTTCTAACATCAAAGGGAATGAGCGGAAGTGACGTGGACACAGCCAAAACGCCATGGTCAAGCACACTGGAGCAGTGTTACAGGGGAAGCATCCAGGTCAGTTCTCCACAGTGTGTATCTCACCTCTCGCACGTGTCTTTTCAGGTGCATGTATACACTCTGTCCGGTTTTTCGAAAATGTCTTTCAACATGTTCCCTTCCAAAGGCCAAAAACGTATTCATGCACACATAGAGTCCACCTTCAGAGTTCTAGAAGAAAGAGACAGGGTAAAACATTAACCAAGGACACCTAGCCAAGTGTAGTCTAGATACAGAAAAGGAGAGGAGGAAGAAAGGTAGAGCATGAAGACCAAACCTAGCTAAAGCCCACCATCACTCGTGTATGCATTTGTGATGACCCCTCCACGGCCCCAGAGCCGCTCACAATGACAGCTCCCCGCCAGCTCCAGTTGCAGGAGCTCCCAGGGAGCCGTGCTCTCAGTTTACTGAATACAGGCTACATTCACAGTCAGATGAAATGCTCAGAGTCCTCGCAAAATAAACAGCTGCTGGGCCTGGGGATTTAGCTCAGCAGCACAGCGCCTGCCTGGCAAGCGCAAGGTTGTGAGTTCGATTCCCGGTACCGGAAATAAATAAATAAATAAATAAACAGCTGCTAACTTTTAAAAAGGGGTAAAGGAACTTAAGAAATGAAAAAAGCTGGTAAAGGATCCAGTACTATCATTCCTGTCATATTTTATCATTTCTTCCTCATTCATCCATGCGAGAATCTCCAAGAACATAAAGTTTTAGATCCTTTTAGGTTTCTTCAAAGAGATTAGTTCCAACATTTAGTGACACGAGTAAAATATGACACTTTAATAAGTACATAACTTGAAAAGTAAATAATAAAGGGGGTGTTTCCTATAATAATCATAGCTATATACTACTGCATGCCAGATATGTCTCAGGTGCTTTTTGTGGCATATTATTTCTAATGTGAATCTCTGCAAGCTGCTTATTAGTATTTTTATTTTACAGTTTTGAAAAAACAAGTTCACTAGCTTGGAAGAATCAGAGTTAGATTTTATCTACTTTTTCTCTTCCTATGCCACATTTCAAAGCACATGACATTAGCTCATTACAGAGATAAAACTAACATAGTCAAAGATACTGCTCACATTTTAAATACCTAGTGTTCCCTTAATTTCACCTCTCTTTTTCGCTTACTTTGCATAACCTGCTTCTCTATAGACTACAAAAGTAGCCACCTTTCCTCTAGGGATGGGGATTTTATGAGGTTCCTGTTGGTCTCACCTCTCCAAATAATGAAAAACAGACTTCTGAAACTCCTGTCAAAATTGTTAACCAACACCCATCAAAATTCCTTTAGTGAAGTACAAGTTACAATATCAAAACCAACACTGATAGTGACTATCAAATATGTAAAAAATAATTCTTTAAGTTCCAATAACTCAAGAATAATTTAGGGCCAGGCATATAGCTTGGTGACACAAGTGCCTGCCTAGCAAGCACAAGGTCCTGAGTTCGATTCCTGGTACCGAAAAAAAAAAGAGTAATTTGAAAGTGAAAATGTCTAACAATGTATCTATTGCGGCTGGGGATTTAGCTTAGCGGCACAGCGCCTGCCTGGCAAGCGCAAGGTCATGAGTTCGATTCCCCATACCGGAAAAAAACCAAACCCAAAAAATAAATAAATAAATAAAGCTTATACTGTAACAATGTATCTATGATTTATAAGCCAGGATACAAAGAAGTCCACCACAACAATATTACAACAGCATTACCTCAAATATGTGCCCCTTACTATAGCACGTACATGATAATAAGGCAAAAAATAAAAAGGGAAGGAACGAGGAGGAAGGGAGGGAGGTTTACATAGAAAGAACTAAGATGGTCTCCTTGTGTTGATGGCTATATACTTCATGTGGACAAAATCTACAAACTAGTGCATTTAGCAAGATCATAGGATACGGGTTACTAGACAAAAGTACGCTGCGATGTTATATTTTAGCATCAAACACTTGCAAATGAAATTCTCAAAACTCAACTACAAAATAACATCCCAAAACATGAGTATAGGGTAAGGCAATTTGTCACACAGGTGTCTGGGCTCCAGGGATCTGTAGAAACACGGCCGTGGCAACAATTCCACCTCACAAGGGAACCCGAAAGATGAAGTTTAAGGGGGATGAAATGTATGAAAATGCTTTCTGTTCTTACAGCAGCACATAAGCCCTGATTATTGAGTTTTATGGGTAATTATAATTATCCTAAGTATTTTTCAATTGGGGAAAACTAGCCAAGAGAATAAGTGATTCTGACAGCCGCACAGGCTGGAGAAAACAAATATAAATTTAGACGACTACTGGAAGAACCAAAAACTTAGCAAGCAAAAGGAAAGAAATGCTCAAGGGCAGTATTTTCTAAAGAAAAATACACACTTGCATTACAGTGCAAGAGTTCATAAAGTAATATGTGAGATAATCATAAAGCCTTCGACAATTTCACTGTCAAGATTTGTTGACTTGTTAGGGAATTTGACAGAGATTTAATATAGCCAGCATTCCTTCTCAGTTCTGGCAGTTGCCTGATGTTGTCAGAAAGCCCATAATCAAATAGGAAAATTCTTAACACCCAGACAGGAATAGCCACATAGGGAAAGGTTCTTTATAAACACCCACAGGCATCTTCTCTGAAGCAGGCCATGCTTTGAAGGCGTGCCCAATGGGCCTGACAGCAGTTCTAAAACTTCAGGAAACACGGAGACAGAAGACCTTTCCAATGCTGCTCCACATGGAACAACACCTCAACCTAACGACGTATGTTTTCTTCCCTCTTCCCTTACTAATATTTAAATATGAGTCCTATAATATCCATTCTTTCAGATTCAACATTGGCACTCCATGGCGTGTGCTCTGAAGAGCTTCTTTCAATAATTATGAAAAGACTAGCTGGTGAATCCCTCCCAAACCCCCTGTGAACAAAGCACAGAGGATGGTGGGCAGCCCAGGCTCAGAGCTCAGCTAAAGGACCTTAGGGTTTCAAACTTTCAACTTTGTCTTCTCATTAACCAGCCACCCTTCCATTAAGAGCATCCCCCCACCCCCAAAATAGCAGTTCAGCACTCACCTCTGTATGATCAAAAATGCACCCAAGAAGTCAGGCAGGTTACAGAACTGGACCAGTTGAGAGTGAAATGGAAACGGAAGGAGAGTAGAATACAAAACAATACTTGTTTCAAGTAATGGTAGTAGAGATGCTCTGTTAAATCAGAACAGATTACAAATGAAATCCATAGAATACTGAGTTTTCAAAAAAAAAAATGGTAGCATAAGAATGGAGATTCCAGAAATATATTCATGCTATGATAATTAATTAATATATCTCAAACCATAAGAAACAAAAACAGAGAAAAGAATTGTCTAATAAAAGTTACTGAAGTGGACTGTGTATGTAATTCGTGATAGAACACTTGCCTGGCACGCATGGGGCTCTGGGTGTGAACCCAGTCACCAAAGGGCGGGAGGTGTAACTCAGCAGCGGAGCACAGGGTCAGCGTGTGTGAGGCTCCGGATTTAATTCCCCGAACAAAAAATGACAGAAAAGAAAAGAAGAAAATGCAAATTACAGAGACAGCTGGACATCAACGTAGAAGAAAAGTAAACTAGACGGACATCTTCAATTCTGTGATGAGGTCCAAAACCTAGGCAATTTAAAAAGTAGAAAAAGGGGCTGAGGCGTAGCTCAGCTGGACCGGGTAATGCAAGGCCAGGGACCTAATCCCTAGCACCAAAACAAGAACAACAACAACCAGACAAGAACAGAATAGCAGGCTGGGGATATAGTTCAGCGGCACAAGCGCCTGCCTGGCAAGTGCAAGATCCTGAGTTCGATTCCTGATACAAACCAAACAAACAAACAGAATAGCATCTTCACATCTGATCCACTTACAAAGTGGAACATAGATTCTGGCCAAGAAAATAAAGAGTATCATTGGAAGTGATGGAACTAAGTATAGAAATGTAAACACGAGTTTTATAACAAAAACTATAATGGAACAAATAGAAAGGCAACAACGAAAGAGGAAAGACGTAAACCAAAATGAGCAAAAGCCTATATCCAAACTTGTAAGGAACTGATAAAATTACAGATGTCAATACCCCAACTGGCTAAAGAGGTTTTTTTAAGACCATTTGGTTTCAAATGTGTAGAATCATTAAAATCAAATCATCACATCTTTACATCCTCCTAAAATAAGCACATTAGAATAATCTCAAGACATAAGTATATGCTAACTAAACCACCAAAAATTATTAAAACCACGGAAGCAAAAGCCACCTAGAAAACCCATATAGTTATCCCCACAGTACAAAGTAGTTCAGACTTTCCAGACAGCAATAAAACTGACCCTTTGACACAGTATTTCCCCTTTGGACATAGACTTCAAGAACACAAAAGAAAGAGAAAATAAACCCTAATTTGTAAAGAAATATTCACGAATGCACTATTTATAATAAGAAAAAGCAGCAATAGTCATGAATAGATAAACTAAGAAAGCACACAAACTTAACAAAAAAATTACTTAAAATGACAAGTTTATGAAGTATTTGTAATATGTATAGGAAATGTGTGCAGAGTTAAGTATAAAATGTACAGAAAATAATTTTAATGAATAACAAACACAGCCGGGCATGGGGGCGCACGCCCGTAATCCCAGCACTTAGGAGGCTGAGGCAGGAGGATCATTGTGAGTTCGAGACCAGCCTGGGTCACAAAGTGAGCAAGACCAGCCTGAACTGCATAACGAGACCCTGCCTCAAAAAGACACACACACCAAAAAAAAAAGGAATAAAGAACACATCATACTGATGGCAGGCAGTTGGGGCTGAGGGAGGGAGGGCTGCGCAATGGATAGGGTCTGAAGTGAATGTGGAATGCAACAACCAGTTTTATATTTACTTAAGCTCTTGCTGTTTGGATCCAGAGCCTCAAATCCACTACATTCTTGTTGGTCTAGAGTGGTGCTTCTCCAGCTACTGCCATGAAGGACAGGCTGGTTTTTTATTTGTTTTGTCTCACTTCTATTCCTTAAGAAGAGCTACATGACCAGTTCGTTCACAGCTCATGCCACATATGCACATTTTTGCATGTGTGGTTTCACAAAACCCAAGAAGGTCTCTCTCCTGTTCAAACAAATCTAAGGAGCTAGCCGTGGCTGCAAGGTCAGGTTGCTGTAGAAATCTCTA